GATCAAATAATGAGCTACACTCCGCTGCTTGTGTTGTTGTGTGACAGTGTGTGTGTGTGTGCGTTGCTTGTGTTACAGGATTTGCCACTTCGTAACTGTATTTTTCTGCATGTTGAATTTTGTGTTGATACAGACGCAGTAATTTTAAGCTACAGTGATTCCACTCATATGTTGGGAACCATCGACTGCTTTACCGTTTTTACCTCGTTTACATCAATTCGTTTTGACTGGAAAACTCTGTCGATCAATAAAACTACAGTCCATAGCAAACTGAAGCAACAAAAAGTCGTACTTTTCAATGTTTGTTAAAAAAAGTCGTTACAGTGTTTGTTATATACAGTGTTACAGTTTTTGTTTGTTACAGTATATACAGTGTTATAGTGTTTGTTTGTTACAGTGTTTTTTAACGGTGGTAGTGTAACGCAATTTGTGGTACGTGTTACAATTTTTGTTTGTTGTTAATTGTAACCACGGATGCAATTTATATCACACTAAATGGCGACGTCGGAACACAACTTGGTTTATCAGCGACTCACTGTGGCGGAAAAGGAGGTTCCTTGTCAAGATTAATGTTCGTGCCTTCTGGGCAATTTTTGCCTGTACTTTCTACCATTTTGCGGTAGATTTTTTCTGTAAAATAATCAGTCTCCTCTGGCTGGAAATCTTCAGGAGCTGAATTTTTGTACCGGATTTCGGTTTAATTAGTCAACTTTTTCGCGAATCAATAAAAGTGATCATTGCCAATTGTTAACTGTCAGTGTAACGGTAGTTTATCCTTATGCACGGCAAGCAAATCTCGACTACTGGTGTGCATTTTACTCATCTTCACTTCCTCGCATCGAAAAAATATGAGGGAAAAGAGAAGACGATGAGAGAAGTAAAAAAAAAAAATTCAGATAGAAAATAATTCCTATTCATTATCCATTAAGTTAACCGCGAACTGAATATTGAAGATGGATTCACTAAGTGAGTAAAGTATGTCTCGCCAATTTTATTGCAAAACAACCTTTCAAAGAAGGATTAGGGTAATGCAAAAAATAAAGAAATATCGTTGAAACGGAGCAAGTAAACAGCAATGACGACATGATAGTATATAATAATAATCAATTTAGAATTAAAAGCACAATAAAACTGTGCATTAAAAATGTACATGGGGAAAATTAAAAAAAAGTAATACAAGTAGCTTAAGCTTGGGATTCAGCTATCCGTTTGAGCCTCCTCAATGCCGGTGCCTGCAGATGCAGTTGTTTTTAAGAAGCGCACAGACGCTTCCTAATAAGATTAGGCACACGAGTCACTTTAGTGGCTTCATGGTGGAGTCATGACCTGCTCTGACGCAGAGACATTAAAATTAACGCACTTCTTCCGGCTCTTCGTGGAGCATCGACCTGAATAATAAGACGGGCAGGAGTGTTGTGCAATGTATTCAACATCTTGCAGATGACCCGGAATTTGCTGCTCATTGAATTTTTTTCGGCGGAATGTTTCATGATCATCAGACCAAAGACTCTTGATCCGGGCATAGCGAAACTTTTAATTGAATAAAAAAGCCTCGTTTAATTTATAGAACTTATAACCGTTAAATTACGCTTGTTTAACTATCATTGTTACAATTACAATGTGTAGCGTGAGCAAGCACCCTAAACGAGATCCATTAATTCACCTTACCATTCGTTCAATCATATACGGCGTGAACTCTAATAGCGAGGCATTTCAGAAAGTCCATCAAGTCGTCGGAAATAATAAAAAGCAAATATATTTGAGCTTGACCCACGGTTTGGCTGCTGCATATTTGATCAATAATGATTCAAGGAAATACGCGTCATGTCGTCTGCACACAGCTCGCTGTCGTTCCAGAACTGACTTGAAAGTTCAAATTACTTTAGTTAGTTTGCATTATTAATAAGCTGATCAGTTGCCACCGAACATGCCAATTCATGGTTTCAGTAGACAAGTACAGCAAATTTCCCTAAATTTAGCACTGTGTTTTGTACACGATAATGCTTAGTAGAAAGATAATAACAGGAATTTTCATAATAGCTTCACTTCACTTCACTTGCGAGCAACTGCAAGTATGTCTCCGATGCTGTAATTCCAATCAAAGTTGCCCGATTAGCAACTTCCCGCAGCAAGTTTGCTTGCCGAGAAATAGTGTGTCGCATTTTGTTTTATTGCTTCTTCAAGTCTGTGAGAAGGTTATAAAAAGTTTTTTACGATGAATCTACTGTATTACAGGATTCAAAAGACATGATTTGACTCCCTTAATTGGTTTTGTAGTATTTGCCATCATTTTATAGGATTTACATTGCATTTAAAAGTTTTAAAAGCAATATAATTATGCGGAAAACTCGCCAATAAAATTCTGTGCGTCGAAATTTACCGAAAACTTTGATTGATATTTGACCGCTCTCATCTCCTGGCCAGACGATGCCATGTGGTGCTCGCTCAACGCCCTTCCTCCCTGACAATTTGTTGTCCGTGCTGGGAGATCTGAAACGCAAAACCGCAATCATTATTTTTTACGAGCTTGGGGCAATATTTCTATTTGAGAAACTCACGCATTTCTTTTTCAACGTTGACTCGAATGCATTCCCTCGGGCTCCAAAAAATTTGATACCCTCTGTCGTGAATTATTCATCTTTTAAATTTTATTTGAATTGAATTTTTCTCAAGTTTACATGTCGACGCTCGCAATTTTATTCCCAGCCCGACAAATGTTTCATTTTTACACCAAATTTGACAATCGTCAAAACATATAATAAGTCGTGCCCAGCTTTTAGTATTGTTAAATTCTATAAATAAAAATCAATATCTTAAAGTTCGCTCATTAGAGTTCAGAGTCCGTTTTGTCCCGCAAACCTGTACAATCCCTTAAATTAAAATATTATTAAAAACAGTTGTTTTCAGTATTAAAACAGTTGTTTTCTGCCTTAGATAGCGAACAATTTTCAAAGTTTTTATTGATTATTTCATCTGCTTTGACTTTGACATTTTGCCAAGGAAATGCATCGTTAATGCTATTATCGTTCATATTGAACAAGTTCTTAAATAATTAAATAATTTATGCCCTTAATGACTAATAGAAATTTTCCTATTGAACTCCCATTAATAGTTTGACTAAAAATAGCTGATGGAAGTTCGCTTAATACCGCCAGAGTAATTTGATCTCGAGTTTTCCAAACAAATTTATCAAGGGCGGACAATGGTCCGGATTCGTAATGCAAGACAATTTTTCAAGTTTTAATGAATTAAAGGTGCGATTCTAATGGAAATTATCTGACATTTTCCCATGATTCAATGAGACGAGCATGTGAGCTGACAAAATATTTATGCTTTAAATTTTCAGCAATGGCACACACGCGCACGAAACGCATTATACGTATTCTCATTAGTAAATATTATTAAACGTATGATTGGCGGGTGATCAAGCGGAAAAAATATGTTGAATGAGAGTCCTCACTAATGCAAATATTGGAAAATTTCAGTGCAACCCTTGTTGAACTTTAGATAATAACGATTTTTAAGTTGTTAAAAAATGGCTCCGATGCAATTCTCTACAATAAAAAAAGTGTCAAGTCCCAATTACATTTAACTAAGTTTATTTATATTCATACTTGGCGTTATTTCCGCGTGACGCTCAAGCTTCAAGAGTATTTATTGTTTGACGGCGATGCACCGACGTCGCAAGTTGATGATGGTTTTACGGACATGGAGCGCTTATACGATGCCGGAGTATGCATGAAGTCTGCGGTAATACAGACTCTGTTTACGGCCCAGCGTAACTTTCCGTATTCACGCTGAATATCCCATCTTTCTTAGTCCCCATCGAATATCCGATCTTTCTGAGTCCCTATCGAATATCCGATCTTTCTGAGTCCCTATCGAATATCCGATCTTTCTGAGTCCCTATCGAATATCCGATATTTCTGAATCCCTATCGAACATCCATTTTTTCTGAATCCCTATCGAATATCCCATCTTTCTGAATCCCTATCGAATATCCCATCTTTCTGAATCCCTATCTAATATCCAATCTTTCTGAGTCCCTATCGAATATCCAAATTTTCTGAATCACAATCGAATTTCCCATCTTTCTGAGTCTCCATCAAATATCCCATTACCCTGATTCGTCATCTTCTTTTGATTGTCTGATTTAATTGCCTGACGCTGCAATGTGTCGTTTGGTCAGTGTTATTTTTTGGTCAGCAATATTTTTTATTAAATTTTCATGCATCTCTCAGAACGCTTGATGCAAGGCTTGGTTAGAAGATATAAATATAACGCTGTAAGAACACTTCGCTGGTTGCTGGTGATTCGGTTGTGCTTCACAATTCGATCTGCTTGCGCCATAGTGATGATCGCTTACTGAAACGGAAATAATGTTCGTTACTGAAATATTCTACCTCGCAGTTGACTAATCTACTCTGCAGAAATGTATTTATTATTCTTATTGGTAAGAATGACTGTCCCAGTAAAATTAATTATACGGCATGGCTTCGGAGTCACGCGCCACAACGCTACAATGCCCACGAATTTTTACCGCAATTAACCATGTCGGTTTCTTCCTTGACTCACAAATTGTTTTCTACGTACTGCTTCTTTGGAATTTTCGTACTCGTAATTTTCTTGCAAAAAAATTATCTTAGTTGGGCATCACCCTATCTCTGTGACACCACACAGAAATTGTGTCTGAATTCCCTGTCTTTGTGTCTGAATTCATAGTCACCAAATTATTTCCAAGGCACCTACTTGCAGATTTAGTTCATCTCATTTTTACTAATTTTTTTAAAAGTTCACAATCCTTCAAAATTGCGGAATACATGTTGATTTCACTGTTGCCTCACCAGCTGTTGCTTACTACGCCGCCCCTTTCTTCATAATTTCCGCTATTTTCATTCACAGTTCACCACATCAATGTTACTAATGCCACTCTTCTTGGAACATTTTTCCCACTCTAATTGCAACTCCTGCTAATTTTTTCTAACTCTCCGATGCGGCAGATGCACGCGGGCCTGGTGAGCGTGAGCGATGGCAAGTCTCGGCCGCAGCAGCGTAAGCTCATCCTCACGTCGGACTCCCTCATCCTGCAGCGCGAGACAACCGTCATGGCCGGGCGCGACCCTAACGACGGTCCAGATGGAAGGGTCAGTCATTCAATTGTTGTAATCTGCAATATTATCATTATTAGTTATGCTATTGCTGGGTTCTGCTTTCATGGTGAAAATTCGTGAGGAAAACTGTATTACTGTGTGCCGTTAGCATTTGACTGATTGCTCTTAGGATCGGACAAATTACTTTAGGATCGGACAAATTGCTTTGTCTTTATGGTTTTGAGTTTATAATGAGAGTGGGACAATGGGAGACAGGTAATGCATGCTGACCAGTTATGTGTGCACCAGTATAACATGTGATTCACTTGTGTGTGCACCAATAGCGTGCATGTGCACGTTACATATGTGACTCAGATGTGTATGCCAGTATCGTGTGTGGCAATAAAATTTTAATTGTTGGACTTGAATTTCCATTATATTTGCGGACAAATTGACCGGCAGGACGGGAGATGTTAAGCAGCACTTTTTATTTTCAATTTTAATATATCCCAGAATAAATAATGATTCTCTGCTGGTCAGATAGATTATACTTCTTGACACGATCAACGAAATTAAAACTTGTGTACTGTAAATAAAAACTGAACCCAAATCGTGCATTTAACATGAAACCACTGATGCTTTATCAAACTTCCGTAAATTACGCCCACAGATCTACATAGCTACCATCTAGATTATGTACCATCTAGCTTCATAATTTTATTTGAATCACCATAAATTTCAACCAATGACGCACTAACCAACTGCCATGAGTAATCACCCCTAATGCCACAACCATAACTTCTTATAGCAACTTTCCGTTGTTCCTCCAATGCTGATGCCGGTACATACCGAGATGAATAAAGCACATCACTGAGATGAAGAAGCAATTTATTACTCAGCACGTACGCTGCATGGAGGACGTATCTTTTTATGGACCATGATTACTTGAGCTGTAGGGGATCTTAGCAGAATTTTAAGAGGCCATTCAATAGGCGTCTGTTGGATGATGATATACCCGCGTTAACGTGCAGCTATGGCACGAAAAGCGCTATCATTAGAGCCTTCTAAAAAATTATAGCTGAATAAATATGAGCTCGTGAGCCTTTTATAGAGCGGCTCTAGATTTTATCATTTGGTTTTGAATTTACCGATAAATGCTGCTATATAGCAATGCTGCTATATAGCAATGCTGCTATATAGTAATGCTGCTATAGAATAATGCTGCCATATAGTAATGCTGCTATATAGTAATGCTGTTATACAGCAATGCTGCTATATAGTAAGGATGCTATATAGTAATGCTGATATATAGTAATGCTGCTATATAGTAATGCTGTTATATAGCAATACTGCTATATAGTAATGCTGTTATATAGCAATGCTGCTATATAGTAAGGATGCTATATAGTAAAGATGCTATATGGTAATACTGCTATTTAGTAAAGATGCTATATGGTAATGCTGCTATACAGCAATACTGCTGTATAGTAATATTGCTATATAGTAATGCTGCTGTATAGTAATATTGCTATACAGTAATGCTGCTATATAGTAATGATGTTGTATAGTAATGCTGCTATATAGTAATACTGCTATATAGAAAATATGCTATATGGCAATGCTGCTATATTGTAATGCTGCTATACAGTAAAGATGCTATATGGTAATGCTGCTATTTAATAAAGATGCTCTATGGTAATGCTGCTATACAGCAATACTGCTGTATAGTAATATTACTATATAGTAATGCTGCTGTATAGTAAAGATGCTATATAGTAATGCTGCTGTATAGTAATGTTGACGTATTGTAAAGATGCTATATAGTAATGCTGCTGTATAGTAAAGATGCTATATAGTAATGCTGCTGTATAGTAAAGATGCTATATAGTAATACTGCTGTATAGTAAAGATGCTATATAGTAATGCTGCTGTATAGTAAAGATGCTATATAGTAATGCTGCTGTATAGTAAAGATGCTATATAGTAATGCTGCTGTATAGTAATTTTGTCACAGTGGGGCTACAGACTAAACGACGAGTCGTTTTCTATTATTTCTCCTCCACTCGGATTACTTCAATTAGAGTAATCGAGGTCAATGTAATTGGGTATAAGTTGTAAAATTTAAAGTGGTGCAAATATAATATTAAATTTGAATGCATGCATAATTTTAAAATTTAACTATAACTGCAGTTGAAAATTGTTGGCAGAAAATATTGTGCCGATTAGAACTAACGTAACTTTATTGCAGTTTTACCAAAATTTTGAACGTATTTGCGCAATTCTGAAAAAGATAAGGTGTAGATACTCTATAGAGCATAGCTGTAATAACATCGGTATTGCGTATATCAAACTATATAATAATAACAGGGCGCCTAGGCTAACATGACGCGCGTTAACTCCAGCAAAATTAGGTCGTGGATCTCCCCGTCTGTCGTCTCGCAGGTCAAGTCTCCGCTAATTGCTGCTCAATAGCTGGCTAATTGATCTAATTTTCTTCAATAGAATGAACTGATGGAAATTACCGACTTGAACGAACAGCTTTTAATTAAGATTGAACGAGACTTGCTTACATTTGGTTCGCTATAAAGTTTTGGATTTTTCGTTTAAGCTTTAGCCATCATTCTTTGACAGAAATGAGACTTGAAACTCAACTTATTCGATGTCATCACTGTATCAACTCGATGTGTCTGAGTTCTAAGATCCGCAGTGACCAGTAGTATGTTTTTCCTGAAGTAATTAAACTTTTGTTACCAAGAGTAATTAGACCCACAGTGATCTTGAAACTCCACTTGAAAAATCCAGTTCGATTCTTCAACCTCTTGATCTTTTACAAATTAAATTCTACAGATTCGTGGATTAAACTCTTTTCTGGGCCAAAGAAGCGGTCTTCCTTTTACGAGTTGCGGCAGACTGAGCTGTCAAATTTCCTTCACTTCCAGCACCCGGAGCCTCATTGGAATTCCAGTCTTCCTGCCACTAATGCCTCGTTCAAAGTCTTTATTATTCCAATTCCAGATCCGGAGAGTTCGCGTCGTTCGTCAGAGAAACTCCGGACTTGGACTGAGTATAAAAGGCGGAGCAGAACACAAATTGCCTATTCTCATATCAAGGATATTCAAAGACCAGGCGGCAGACTTGACTGCCAGGCTCTTTGTCGGTGACGCCATCTTGAAAGGTGAATCTTGGCTATGCAACATTTTTCTGGTTTATGTTTACCAGTGAACTAAATTCGAATAGAATTTCAAAAATTTCGTTATTTGATTATTCGCTGACCAGTGAACATTAAACACTGTTTACTGACGAGTGATAACGTTGTTGGTAATATCTACTGATGATGTGCATACTGAAAACCGTATTCGCATTATTGCGTTATCAATAATAACTTTGTGTGCAGTGAACAACAAGACGCTGCTACGCTGTACTCATGACGAGGCCGCGGACGAGCTGAGACGTGCTGGAGAAGAGGTGACGCTCACCGTCCGCCACTACAAGGCTGCCACGCCCTTCCTCAACAAGGCTGCTGGTGCGTTGTTATAAGTCACACTTGAATGAATAACGAAATTCGAAAAACCTCGGATTTCGAAAAAAATTTAACCTTCCGATTGAATGGATTACCAAATTAAAAAAAAACCTCGGATTTTTAAAAAAAATTAACCTTCCGATCGAATGAATCACCAAATACGAAAAACCTCGGATTTTGAAAAAATTAACCTTCCGATCGAATGAATCACCAAATTCGAAAAACCTCGGATTTTGAAAAAAATTATCCTTCCGATGGAATGAATCACCAAATTCGAAAAACCTCGGATTTTGAAAAAAAAAATTTAACCTTCCGATCGAATGAACCGCCAAATTCGAAAAACCTCGGATTTTGATAAAAAATTCTTAACTTTTTTTCTGAGGTCCAAAAACACCGTTAAGTGCCTCACGCGGCTGGGAGTAGTTCCCATAATGTTTTGATGCATACAAATGGGAACGCAAATAATGCAAAACTTACTAATTAGACTAACCCCAATTTCTCTATTTACCTGAAGCTGCGTTCGTTGTTTTAAATTCTGAAGACGATTCTCTCTGGTCCTTCCCTCATGCTCATTTAGATTGCGCTGAATTCTCTAGGGGAGAACTGAACCTTTGAGCATATGAATTCTATTTGGCAAATTAAATAAATTCTTTTATGGCGTTGTTGACAATAAATTGAGTCAACGGTGGAACTCGAAATACGCAATGACAAAGAATGAGAAAATGTGTGAGTTTTCTTGAAATTTCTCAAGAAATGAGTAGCAATAGTATTTGATCATTATTATTTTCGCGTTCAATTTTAAGGATAATAGAGGCATTGATATTAATTTTAACCAAATTTATCTTGACCAACGTTGGCTCAAAGACATTTCCAATAAAAAATATAACTCAGTACTCACTGCAGTGAGTGACAGGGAGTACATTTTCTCAAAATCGACGAAAACGTGAAGTCACAGACAGACAGACAGACAGACCGACGGACGGACGGATGGACGGCCATGACGAGCACAATAGCGCCTTTTTTCCATTAATGAGAAATGCGCTTATAATACCAATTTAACAAAATAAAGCTTCACTTGAATCTTTTTCGTTATGCAATTACAAGCTATGGTATTCAAACTAAAATTTCATCTCATTTCATTAATAATTCAACTAGATTTCAAGTGCTGTAATTTCTTCCGGAACAGATTCGAACTCGGATCTTTCGAACCAGACTCAGCTGCAGCCAGATTCCGGCTGGCGCTCGCCATCTAACCCGAACTCACCGACGTCAGACACCACCAAAACTGCATCCTCCACCACATCTCCAAGCAACGAACCCTTAACCAATAAACTATCCTTAGATTCCAATAAAGCATCACCGAACACCACTAACCTCAATAAAGTGAACTGCTCTCGGCATAACAGCGTTACTGGCTCGAGTTTGCACAGCGAGGTCACGGCTTCCATGTCCGATGCTCTCTGCAATGGCGGGCAGATGGAGAAGCAGTGGATCGACGTAGTCACGGGTGAGATATGCAACGCCCAGTAACAATAAAATTATTGTATTGCTCCGTAAATTATTCCAATTGTTTTTATTATGATGAATCTCTTGCAAGATGGGGTTAGTCGCTAGAAGCTCTCCATATTTTTTTCGGTATTAATGACTACCTGGTAATTTATGGTCCCATTCATGTGTGAATTTTTAATTTATTCGATTTTCAACTTACGAAAATATAATCGAGTAAATAATTACTACAATATTTTAAAGCAGTCAGTACAATAAAACGTGTATTTGCTTCGTAGATTTACTCTGCAATTGTAGATCAATATTTCGTTCACAATTAAAATCTACTATCAATAGCATGCTTGCAGGTCCATCCGCACATTCATTCTATAGCAATTAACAATTAGGACCATATCCATTTTTCGCGCGTCCTACAACCTGATACTGTGTGACCTCGGAAATCAACGTTGATTTGTTCCAGGAGCGTCGACTTCTACAAAGGTCGACCATTTAATAAAACTTGACTTGTAGCGCAAAAATCCATTTAAAATACTTGAAAGAAACAGCCGAGTCAGAAAAATTTCTTACAATAAATGAGTAACACGCTGACTAACGATGAATGAGCGAAGATGGGCAGCTGTTGTTAATGAAATTCGTGTAGATCTCGTCAACTTCAGTTATGATTTCACTAAACTTTTGCGTTGACTTTCGATATGTTGATTTCCAATGCGGCAGACTTCCACTGTAGTAAATTTCTGCTCTAAACGCATACCAGAAATTGTATCAGGCGTTCCTAATGGACTGGCCGAATAGTTAAGATGAGTTCGAAATCGTATGTTCGAACGCTTCACGTTCGGTCAAAAGAATGCGACTTTTTTCGAAATTCTGGCTTAAAATGACGACCAGAAACAAAATTTTGGGATACGCATAGAAATGGAATAGTTTTCATTTTGTTTGCTGTAATCCAAAACTAATTTTAATTGTGTCCGAACTCGGTCAAACATCGCAATAGCAAAATGGTCACTCAAGATTCGACGTAACCCACATGATTTTTAAATGCAAATACCGCTCAGTTTCGCTCATCAGTCACTATTTGACGAAATTCTGCCTTTAGGATAAGAGCGATGTTAGACTCAGCTGCACTATCTCGGCAAATTCACTCGCTTCAAAGTAACCTGATTCTGAAGTTGACCGTTTCAAAACTCAACGTTCCTCCAGGACTCCCTTTTAAAACTTGGCACTGTGTAAATTTGACATCCGGGCTTCGTCCAGAAAATCAAAGTTTCTTACTTTTTTCTTATACATATTCTTCATGCGATATCCCCAACTTGTGAATCGATTTATATGTTTTAATTCTAACAATTTTTGGCAGCACAAATTCTTTGCACAAGTTATCACAAATCTGGTTTTTCATCTTTTCAATGCCACAACATTCCTGACTTTCCCCTGAAAGAACTTCACTGATAGAAAGAATCTATCCGTCAAATTACTTAAGAGAAAACAAATCTCGTCTTACCACAACATCGCAGCACCTTGGCAGTTTTATTGCCTCGATAAAAGTCTCCGGAGTTTTCACGGGTATTCGATATATTCCCCTGCGTGTTTGCTGTCTGTTGTTGAACAGAGAGCATTGCAAGTAAAAACTGAAGATCTATTGGATTATTTTGTTAACGAGTGTAAATGGTTTTCCAGGCAAAATGACTGAAGAGCTTTTATGTGGGATCACGGCGGAGCAAAAAGCAATGCTCATATCAGTTCGAGCTCAGCTCTCTTCGTTATCAGTATTGAACCGCGTTAAAGCTATCTAAATTGGACCGGTCCTACAGTTATTGTGCTGGGAATAGTCGAATTTCAGCTAAAGGAAAACACAGAGCGGTCCTAATTGCTTTCTGAATTTGAAGGCCAATTTTGTAGTTGAAACTCGCTTCATATTGCATTGCATTCGCTCCCACTGTCAGTGTTTGAATCTGCCGTGTAAATATCAAAGTTCAATAACCCTTCATGCGAATATTCATTGATGTTAATTTATTCAAAATAAAATAAACAGTCATTCACCGTAAATTAGAAATAGATTAACTAGATTAAGACCGGATATATAATTTATTTGTATCTTGAAAGTAATATATAGTAAACTTTCGCCGCAAAATCACCAGACAGGCCTCATAGCTCAGCACTTTAATTAGATAACAACATCACATGGCGACAAATTCAAGTTCCTGCACTAAAGTTTCTTATCGGACTTTTCCTCCATGAAGTCTCAAGCTTCCAAGGGTCCTCTTAGGACAAAAGCTGGTGCAATTTCCTGAGCCTTGTACCAAAAAAAAGTCATGCTAGGTCAAGATTCATGCAAACTTTAGTGAACAGTTTAGCAAGTGCAGCTTGAACTCGCTTGTTGTGCATGCATCGCTGCAGCTCTGTTTTTGGTCCTTTTTGAGGGCTTCATGTTGAAATTATATTTCAAAAGACAGAATTCGTGTAGGTTTGAATGCGAACTCTTACTTTTTACCGGTGGTTACAAGCTACAACGTTACAATATTTATATATTTTCATGCAATTGGAATCACGAATTTAGAAATCTTTGACTTAAAAGTATGGTTTTGTGGTTATATGTAAATTCCTTTAACTGAGGGCCACTGAAAATTTGAACCTCCAGCATCCTTGCTGAAAATTATCATACATTTTTCAACATCATGAATCTCTCAACATTTGTTAACATCATGACAACTTCATTATTTGTTAATATCGTGACGTTGATTCAAATTGATTAAAATTCTTACACAGATTACTAGTTTGTGCTGACAGTTCCGCTGATGAGAGCCTCTTTGAGTATCGCTGACCCTGACTTAAGCTGTTTGGAATGACATTGCCGATGATTAAATTTTTTTTAGTATAGCTTACACTGACTTAAACTGTTTGGAATGACAGGTCCGATGATTGAAGCTTATTTTAGTATAGCTGACACTGACTTAAGCTGCTTGGAATGACATTGCCGATGATTAAAGCTTATTTTAGTATAGCTGACCCTGACTTAAGCTGTTTGGTCCGACAGTACCGCTGATGATGGCGTACATCACGCGCTACATCTTCGGCACGGACAAGCTCAGGCCTCACGCGTTTGAGGTGCGGGGCATCGGCGGGGGCAGCACTGGGGTGGTGCACTGCGCTGACGCGGCGGTCATGTCTCAGTGGATCAAACACATCACGAACAACATCATCGGGCTCACCAATCTACAGGTGATCAAATGCAAAATTACCAGCTTGGTTTAATACTTTTAATATAATAAATACCTTGGTTTAACACCTTTTTAAAAATAAATAATAACATTTTTTAATAATAATGTTATCATGTATGCAGTTTCCTGAAATAATTGGCGTTAGTTTCATTAATAGCTACGTCGTTAAAAGCATCTAGAATGATCAAGCTTGTTGAAAGCACAGTAGATCCCCAATACGTACATACTGGGTACAGTATAGCACCCTGAATGTGTTTCGAAACAATTGTTTTTTTTTTATTTTGAGGAAGCATCTTCAACACTGAAGTTCAAGTTGAATTATATTTGAGTTTCAATAACATAATAACAATGTTATACTTCTATTATTTAATGAATAAAATTTACCCTCGTCCAGAAAGTAGTTGTGGGATTTACAATTTCGATTAATATTTAAATTTCTATAACTTTTTCCTCCAGATGAAGCTTTACAACTCCAGTTTCCCTGCGAACGAACACGTACTGTACATGGGCTGGGTGTGCGAGGGAGTGATCAACCACAACCTCCCCTGGCAGAGCTGGAAACCTAAATTCATCGCTCTTAAGGGCACCGACATTTATATGTTCGACAACCCACCCGTGAGATACCAGCAATTTCTTTATATGATTATTTTTCACATTTAATTAGACTTTTGACCACATACTTGTGAGTATGTCCTGACTTATTTACAAGGTTTGTTACACAAAAAAGCATAATGAAGAATTTTTTTAGCTCCATTTGCATAATTTGCGATCACTGTGCGCTATTGTGATTGAAAAACCATTTTGAATTGTTTTTATTAAAAATTTTTATGTTATTTTTTTTGTCTGTATAACTACAGCTGCAACAAATTGCACTCTAGATTCCTCCTATTGAATTACAATTTTTTCTAAGCATATTTTCTGAAACGTTGCAGAACAAGCGGGCACATTAATTATGTACAATGTGGCACATCAAACTCTAAAACCTTGTATTCAATAATGCTTTAAAATTTTGATTCTATTATAAAATTGCTGAAAGCAGTTATAACACAACGGTTTATTTCCCGTATTTAACACAAAAAATAAGTGCGCTGTACTCTGCATACTTTTAATTTTGTTGTTCTATCTCATTAGCGCCGCTGTGCTCCGCGTTCGCTGCGTCTTGTTAAGCTATCTCATTAGCGCCGCTGTGCTCCGCGTTCGCTGTGTCTTATTAAGCTATCTCATTATCGCCACTGCGTATTGTTAAGCTATCTCATTAGCGCCGCTGTGCTCCGCGTTCGCTGTGTCTTGTTAAGCTATCTCATTATCGCCACTGCGTATTGTTAAGCTATCTCATTAACGCCGCTGTGCTCCGCGTTCGCTGCGTCTTGTTAAGCTATCTCATTAGCGCCGCTACGTCTGTGAAGTCAAGTGGCCTTGATGGTCAAGCTTCTCAGCTTTAAGCTGTTTAGTTTGGTGACGTCATGGTGGCTGTTTACTGACATGCCAGTGACGTAATTTACTGAAGTCATAGTCGCTACTTTCTGATTTACTGACGTCTTCGATGGTATTTAGCGATCAGTGTCTTTACTTACCGACGCGCGATAGTAAAAATACAGGCGTATATATTAGGATGGTATTAATTAGAATCCATATTGTTATTTACTAATACTTGTATCTAGACGTCTAAATAAGGTAAAATGTTCGTCAATATTTACAGCATCGTCATTTGCGTCCGTTTTTAACGGTAACATCTACACACATTGACACTGTTGAATCAGTTTGGCCATTTTAGTTCATGAACCACTTTTCGGATCTTATCCTGTCATTCGATCTTTGTCACTTTGTCGCTGCAGAAACATCCGGGTTCCACATAAATGTCTGTAAGCATTGCAACATTATTCTTATTAATTATTTCCACGTCGTCTCTTCAACACGAGACGCTCGTCTTTAGATGCTTACGTCATCAATTAATGCCATCGAGTTCCATATACACTGCATTAAACAACTGTCTGTTGAATGAATTTGTACCGCTCATAGATTAAATGTCTATATGTAGCTAACATTTGCAATTAATGTTTAAAGTATCCCAATTGCGGAATCAGAAATGAAGGAAAATTTAGTCTGCCTGAATCACTTTCTTGCTTTCTTTCTTAAGCTCTTTGACTATTAATTCCTCATAAAACGCAAATGTGACCCGCTGGGGTGTGATAGTTTTGTACCAATCCAATTAGTCCGCATGCAAATTAAATGCGTTCCGCTGAAGTGCTAACGTAGATAGCCGGGAAACATTCACAAAATGTAATTTACCAGATCCATCATTTGGACTCACTAATTTCCATGAGACAATGTACTGCGAATTGTACGTAATTATCTTGGCTACTGTAGTAACAAAACAAATTTTAGTTTGTTTAATAAATTGCAATAGTGATAGTAATCATTAACTGATCTATTAGAGGTATCAACACGTTCTTAAGTAGCATACGCTGTATTTTTATTGCTTCTGTAAATACACATAATACAATTAAACCCCCTAACTATACTGATGATTTCTTATCGACCAGCTGAACACTCACAACTATACTGATGGTTTATTATCGACCAGCTGAACACTCACGACTGGGTGGAGAACGCGTCGGTATGGGCAGTTCACCAGACGATGTTCCGCATCATCAAAGAGAGCGAGTACGTGGATGAGCGGCAGCACTGCTTCCTGATACAGACGGCGCTACAGGAGAGCAAATACCTCAGCGTAGAGACCAGGCAGGATCTTCTCCGTATCGAGAACGCCTGGCATCGCGCCGTATACAACGCAGTCACACGCCTCGGCGTATGTGAAACGTTTATATGAAATTCCGTATGACTGCAGCTAGGAAGTGGCCATTGCGGCTGAATATTTTTTTTATTCTCGTCTAAAAAATCTATGCAGTTTATTTTTCCGAGAGAGAGAGGCTAAATGCATATATTAGGTCATAAGTTTTAGAGGCTGAAATCAACCGATGTAAGGCGTCTGCACACGTCAAGACTTGCTGAGTTTAATCTATTCTATGTTCTACCTTTTCTTTATTACTTTCAATTTTTCTCGTATTTTACACGCTGAAAACTGTGACTCTATCCTGAAATTCTTCTTATATTCATCCAACTACTATTGTACAATAGTTAGCTTTTCTTCATGTGCAATAAATTGGCAATTCTCGCCCCGCGCCCCTATTTCAATAGTTTTATTTCTATACATTTTACTCTTCCAAAATACTCGTATATAATAAAATACTGAACATATAATAAATCCAAAAAAAATCCAGCCAGTCTTAGCGTCTTGCTTATTAAATAATAATAGACATATTATCATAAAATGTTGTTGACAGAGCAAGACATTCGCGGTAACGCAGCGAGGTCGGTCGTCAGGCTTAACGCTGGACTGGGCGCAAGGGTTTGCCCTGTACGACACCGAGAGCAGAGAGTATCACTGGCGCTACAAGTTCTCGCAACTGAAAGGCTCCTCCGACGACAGCAAAACCAAACTAAAACTTCACTTCCAGAACGACGACAAGCAAATTGAGACAAAGGTATAACTTAGAGTAGCTAAAACTTCATTAAAAGTTGTATCTATTCGGTGATCTCAATGGTGCCCGATAGCTTACGAATTCGGAATAGTCATTATATGAACGTTTCGAATTTGGTACTTCCACTTGGGTATAGAACAGTTACCATCTTCAGCAAACAATAGGACATGTATGAGTATAGCACTGTTTAATATCTGTAAATGACATGTGTCTATCATAAGAATTTCACTCACTCTACTTACCGTACCTGTATAAAATCAATGAACGATTTTTATAAACTCTTAATGATTGTGTGGCAGCAAACTCTTCATGAATGTATACATGGCAGAGGCTACGAGCCCCTGAAATGGCATAGGATATCACAGCGTGTAGTGTGAGAAGGAACTCTGCCTTATAATCACGTTAAAATTAGTGTAGGTAGAAAAAAATTAATGAAAAACTGATATTGATTATTATTTCGTGTCCAGGAGCTGGAGTGCGCGACCAACCTGCAGAACCTGCTCTTCTGCATGCACGCCTTCCTCACAGCCAAGGTCGCCGCCGTCGACCCAAGCTTCCTGAAGGGGAAACCAAAGACGCCGGCGTCTTAAGACGAAGAAACCAAAGACGCCGGGGTCTTAAGACGAAGAAACCAAAGACGCCGGGGTCTTAAGACGAAGAAACCAAAGACGCCGGGGTCTTAAGACGAAGAAACCAAAGACGCCGGCGTCTTCAAGTCCTCTGCATGAGGCAGCATCCACAAACGTTCGCCTGACGCTCGTACGTCTGCGATGGTCGTATTTTCGCGTGTTTTGTTGGCTGTGGTAATTTCACTAATTGGTTTATATCTGATAAAGAATATAAGATTTCTGAAATCTACAAGCCGGTCGTTGAAAAATTGTTGTTTAAAGTACTTCCTAATATTTTAGCTCCACGAGTAAAAAAATTTGTATTATAAGATGTCATTCGATCGCGAAAATATTATTTGAAGATGGTCATCTGAGAGAGAAATTAGTGACAGCTCTTCTGTCAAACGGCACTAGAAAAGTATTCAACTGCATTTAACAAATTTAATGCAAGAACAGGTAATATTTGTACAGTAAATCTTGTTTATTGCCAATGCTTTGTTTTTGGTTTTGTAACATGGATGAATGAGATTAGCTTGTGGATAGTGAAATACTTTCTCAGAAAAACATTCAGTAGCGATTTTTAAGGCAAAAATCAATTATATAATGCTTGAATTTTTTGTATGTGCTTCCCAATTTATTTTGACTCTCAGAATCTCAGGCTATTTTCCTATAGAAATAAGATCCACTAAATTGAGCACAGTCTTTTTCCTAATGATTTGTTTTTTGGCACTTGATGTTGATGGTCGGTGAGCACAATTCTCCTCCCACCCTTGCCCTCATTAACATAAAAGATCTCATAGCTTTAAGGTAACCTTGTGAAAATAGTATTGACGATCCGTTGTCGTTAGGAATGTTAAAGAGATTTACTCGTCCAGCGCGCACCGTAGCTATTTAAATGGTCATAACAGTTCTTGTTGTGCATCGTGAAGCGAGATCCGTTAAGAATGTTGTATATGAATTAATAAATGCTTCGGTCGGATACCTTTACGGTATAGTAAAAGAATTGTTATTGAATTGAAATTATTCTGAACGAAAATATTGTTGGCGGAAAAGCTTACGGTTTGTTATGATTTCTTAGAACGAAAGTGGCAACGTGCTAGCTCATCCCTTACATACGCTGCAGTCCACGATAAACGCCAAAGGGTTTTCAGTAACATTTCTGAATTATGTTGAAAATTATCCTTTTTTATGATGAAAACCAAGAGGAAAACGTAGGTTTCCACTGAATCTGAAGCTCTGAAAAAATACTGTTGTAGAAAAACATTGTCGGAATGTTATACGCATCTAGTTTCATGAGAGAACGTTGCATATCAAGCGACCTAAAGAAATATGGCGGCTGTTGTTTTGTTGAATTTTCAATGTCTTCCTTTGGCTACAATGACGAATGCGTTTATTCCTTCATTGTTGAATTTTGAGAAGTGAACAGAATTTCGGTATCATCACCAAGCTAACGAACTTTTAAAAACTCAGTCGTTATCTCGTTGATACGAAATTTATTACCTTTGGTGAAAATAGCTGACATATTTCAACAATATATAGTCATGAATTTTTCTTTTCAATCCATAATCAATGAATCTTCTTAAAACTATTCAAATACTTACTTAGTAACTTTGTAGAGTTAACCCTCCCATTGTGAGTCACGTGTTCGTGTTCGTGAAACTGTTAATTGCGTTGCTAAATTTTTGTGTTGAAATTTTTATACGAAGTTCATCGGTTGCGATTTTTCATGTTTCGATTTCGGTTAACTAATTAAAAAATTTTGTCTAAAAATAATTGAAACAATCTACCTTTGTTGGTTCTTCGCTCTGCATGTCTCGTGAGATGCGACTCAGTAATCATCAATTGCTTCTGACTCTAATTTCACTATAACTTTTAAAACCAAAGGGAAATTGAATTTTGTTTCGTTGTTAAATTCTAAAAATTACACACTAAGCATATTAGTTTACGGTTTTGTGTCATTGCTGTTACATGACAGCGCCTAACTTGTTCGTGACATGTTTTCTTTCGTCACTCAAACTTGATCCGTCGTGCATAATTCGATCATTCCGATGAGCCGAATTCAGTTATTTATGTTTATTCATTGGTCGATCTTACATTATAATATGAATTTTAATGAGACAGTTTTGAGTTATTTTAATAATTAACTGAAACATTTGGGAACGAATTTTTAATTAATTAAATTAAATATTTTACAACGATTTTTGATTAAGTAAATGATACATTTTTCAACGCTTTTATTATTAAGAAAATGAGACATTTTTAAACGAATTTTTAATTGAGTAAGTGAGTTATTTTTAAACGATTTTTTACTTTTTAATAGAGGAAATGAGACATTTTTAAACGATTTTTTAATTAAGCAAATGAGACATTTATAAACGATTTATTAATTAATTAAATGAGACATTTTTCAGCGATTTTTTAATTAATTAAATAACATGTCTTTTAGCAATTCCTTAATTAAGTGAATGAGACTTTTTAAATTAATGTTTGTTCTCCGTTTAAGTGTTTCCAGCGCTGCAGGTTGCGTTTTGACAATCGAATGTGGAAGAAAAACGTAAAAGAAAATTTGATGTCGATTCTTTTTGAATTTTGTGATGATGTTTAGAAAATTGGAATCAATGTTTATATTGGATCTTCGGCAAAATTTTTTTCATATACCTCTGATTTAAATTTATAAAAATCGTTTGAATCGGGAAAAACGAAATATTTATACATCAATTTATGATATTAGGCGATTGAAATTCTATTCGTACAATGAACTATTTCTGATTAGGTTTGTCTTGTTAATCAGAACCTGTGATAGATTATTGAATTTCATTGAGAAGATAAAATATATTTAAACGGTATAGTTGCACGACACAACAAATCTTATTTTTTAATTTCTGCAATATTAATTAATTGACGGAGAGTCACTGCAGCATCGGTAGCCACGTCAATGAGTCATGCTCATCGTATTGCATTGTTTAAATTTTATGACGTCATCGATGAGTCATGCTAATCGTATTGCATCGTTTAAATTTTATGACGTCATCGATGAGTCATGCTCATCGTATTGCATTGTTTAAATTTTATGACGTCATCGATGAGTCATGCTCATCGTATTGCATCGTTAAAATGTTTTGACGTTATCGATGAGTCATGCTCATCGTATTGCATCGTTTAAATTTTATGACGTCATCGATGAGTCATGCTCATCGTATTGCATCGTTTAAATTTTATGACGTCATCGATGAGTCATGCTCATCGTATTGCATCGTTTAAACTTTAATTTTTTTGACGTCATCGGGTGCCGGGAAAATGTTCTCTGGCGTCACGGTTCCTTGCTGGTAGTGTTTGTTGTTGATGCGTTATCTTGACATTTATCAACAAAAGAACTGTTCTCTAATTCAATATGAATTATTGTTATCCTGTTAATAAAATTTATTAATCTATTAGGCATAAGGAAAAGTTTATCAGTACAGGGAATATATCATTAATCTAGTATTGAGATTTATTCTGACATTTTGTTTGTGATTTCTTTGTCTTATTATGGAAATTAATTTTAATCCATATCTCATGATTCCTTTGTATAGTATAACAGTACATTACTAGATGTCCTGTCAAAATTCTATAAATTATATTGAGCGTGCAAGAAAACACGACTTGGTACCAGTATTTTTATTTAAAACAGGTAGAACACTTCTATGTAGAACAGATAGAAGACTTTTATTTTGAAAAAATAAAACACTTTTATTTAGAACAGAGAACCCTTTTATTTAGAACAGATAGTACACTTTTATTTAAAACAGTAGACACTGAGGTGTCGCTAATACATTTCGTCAATAACTTTTCTTTTAACTGACCATAGTTTTTGTTCTGCCCACAATTTCAAGCCTTCTAACTTACGCTATGGATAGAATATTGTATAAAATTACACTGATAGATTAAAATTTATGCTAATGAACATGAAGTTTTAGGCTGAAGATTAGAAATTCAACCAGTTTGAGATGGGATTATTCAATAACTAATTTTTTTGCGAGAAATTTCAAATGTAAAAGCTGATGTTAGTGAGACTGATTGCACGGTTATTTCCCAATTTCTTCTTGTTTATTTTATTTTTTAAATGAAATTGTGAAAGTAGAAAACTGCGATGTTGCGGTTTTTAGAGGTCGGCTTTTGTTTCCAAGGTTGTTCGATGGTTTGCGGTTTTAACCTTACCGGTCGTTACAGGAGACTTGCTAATGACTTGCAATTGTTAGACAACGCTTTACAGATGCATAGTTAACTCAATTTGTTAAGAAAGAGTCAACCGAGTTTTACTCTTAGTGAAATCGCATGGTATCTTCCTATTATTGATTGGGACTGGAAATTTATTAATAAGTTTTGACATTTTGTTGTGATTGTGTTCATGGCTAATAGCAATTCAATACGTTTCGTCTGAGGTTTACGAATGAAGTTATTCCTTCCCAAAAGGTGATAGGTTTTATCATTCAAATTAGGCAAATAATTCTAAACCAAACCCTATTTGTGGTTAGGCTCGTTTACTTATAATTCAGAGGACGAACGTGATCAATTAAACAAACAACGATTATGTCGATTGTTCCCGAATTATCAGTATCCATTTTTACGATAATTGACAACGATCGAATGGTTCAATGAATTCTATCTCTCAATCCCGGTCTATTCGATGACCGACAGGATTTTCAGTTGATAAGAAGAATTAAATAACGACCGGTCAATTCGATCAGCCTCAAGAACAAAAGCCGTTTACAAAAATCGATCATTCACACAACCCTCGTTACTTCAGCTTTCGATAACAGTGTCATATACTTATCATCGATAGTATATTTTATGATAATTGTATCATTAAATATACTATCGAGTACATTTTTGTTAATAATTGCGACTTTAAAATCATGGATCCGCAAAGCCTTACCTTCAAATGGAATCAAGAAAAATTTGTGTTCACAGGATTTTTGCCTTCGTATTATTTGTCGTATTTATTAAAGTGTATGCGCCTCTCTATATCATAGTCAACTTTCCCAGACAATAATAGCTTTCATTGGAAAGTGTAGTCATAACGAAAAATTTGTTGCGGTTTCTGTTCTGATGACAAATTTCTTCGTCTCTAATAATACTGTTACTATTCAATAAAAATTATGGTAAGATTGAGTGTGTTTCAATTATTCGTGCTGACGGTACAAAAATTTTCTCGGGCGATATAAGTTTATCGCTTATGGTTAAAATTATTATTATAAGTTAATTTGTGTATATTGGCACCTAATAATTTTTTCATTCCTAATTTCTATCCTAAAGAGTGAATAATATTCAATGAGTAGCTTCAATTTGCCAGCTTTCGCATTTTGGTAGTAAGACTTGTACATTTTTGATAGGTACTGCCTCCAATTAAATTCACTTACATTTTAATTGTATTTTGATGAAAGTCATTTTTTTACTAGATAGAAATTCAAGTGCGGAACAAACCTGGAACTAAGCTGCGATGTGCGCGAACGACTGTTGTTGTGCAGAGAATTGCAAGTTTCTCCAAACATGTATTGCTCATGTTCATGCTAAGCACAAAAAAAACATCAGAAGCAAATGGTAATATCTCATCACCAGAAATATCTTGATTTTAAATTTTTTGACGCACATGGCGCTACTTAGCATAATATGGTATTACCAAGAACATATTTAATTCTTGTTAGAAGATATTTGTTACTGCCACTTCATTGATTCTGTGGAAAACTATTCATTCAGAATACAACCGCAATAAAAAATTAAAAAAATTTCTACACTCCACAATATTGTCAGTTTGAAATTCATCAAAAAACAACAGATTTAACTAGATATTCGCACAACACCGAAATTTCATCCAGAACCTATTACAGGCGAGTAGCAACATCGCCACTAACGTTCAAAGAGTTCAAAGTCAATAGTCTTTGAACTTTACGGCCTCATTGATGGTTGTTATTCACTGAAGGTAAAGAGCTGAAGACTGAAGGTGAAGAGCTCCATTAGCGCTCTTTAATCACCCATTGCGCAAGCAGGTAACCACACACTCACCCTCGCGCAGTAATAGCTCGGTAACTCGATATTTGCATGCCGAGCTTTGCCTATAAAGTCAACGAGAATTAGTTTTCTGTCAATCGACATCGAACTCTTCGAACGAACGGATCTTCCCTCCGAACCTCTCCTTCCTCACGCGTGTTCATACTCGTCAAACCTGACAGGTAAAATTTATTTACATACGAACTAATTGTGAGTGTTAAAAACCTAAACGTGCTCCTAAATTCCTAATGAAAAATTAAATACCTCATTGACCGACCTCATTCGTGTTGGGTCAAATTTTTTTAACTTCAACAAAGCCCCAAATTTCTATCGAGAGGTGGAAGATGTTCTGCTGGATTACCGATCAGCTTTTTTTGAATAGTGGATATTAAATCGGAATGCGACTCATTCATTATTCAATTACATCATTTCAAATGAAAATGAAACTCAAAAAAATAAAGACAAAGAAAAATCGAATCAATGAACGACTCTTGCAGTTAATCAAACATTTTTTTTGTGGGATAAAATTTTGAGATCTCTTTATATTCCTGGCCTAGAATGGGAGTCTCAGCGATGGTAGTGCTGGTACTGGCGGTCGCTGGTACAGCTTTCGGCACCGGAGTGATCAGCACCACCGCGGGCGTCTCAGCTGCTACTATCGGCTTTGGTGTAACTTCAGCATCGTCTGCTACGGCTGCTACTGCGGCTACTGCTGGTATATGTGCCATCTTTATGTTCAATACGAAATTAAGTTTAGCTATAGATTGTGATTATGATATTGATTAATACATTCGTTACGCGTACATTAGTCATTTAACAGCATAAAAGCAGAAAAAACGAGTCGTCAAGAGTGAGAGAACAATGCAATTTCCATGATCTTCACACTTGCTTAACACTGCAATCTAAGAGCAAAAAAAGCTGACCCACGATCATTTCAATCCTGTCTTTTTCACTCCCTTAACTAACACTTTTTTCATTTCAGCTCTTGGAGTAGCAGGCGTTGGCACTGCAGCAGTTGTAGGGGCGCTAGCGGCAACAGCCATCGCCCGCAACGTCAGGAATGGGCGCCTGAGGAGGGACGTGTCTTGCGCGGCGGGCGTCGGCAACCCTCAACTCTTGTTAGCCCTCGCAGCCAGCGCCGACCAGCTCGGCTGTGGCCAGAGACTCGTCTGCGAACTCCAGGCTACAGACGACCAGCAGCTCACGCCTACTGAGCTCCAGATCTTGGAAATTTTTGGGTGACTAGTGTGAAATTTAATTCTAAAAATATGCAGTTTAAGGTGATCATAATATAGGATTGTGATATAGAAAATATAAGTGATAATTTGCTTAACGTATCTGGTTTATATGCGCATTTTCATTCATATATTTGCCGTTTAGTTACGGGAATGCTAAGTTAAAGCTTAAGCATTGCATCTTTTAAAAAATTAATTAAATAATCTAGAAGCATTCACCAAGCGGAAAACATTTATTTCAGCAAACAAATATCTTTTATCACCGAAACCATACATTATTTACTCACAGCGCCATGAAGATTTACTAACATAATAATCTATATAAACATTATCTTGTGTACAGAAGAGATGTGCGTCCGTTGAAGGCGTCACAGATGCAGAAGCCTGCGTCACTGTACCACTACGCAGCGCAGGTTGGCAGCAAGGCCGCCTCTACCGACGTCTGTGCCGAGACTTTTGACTTGTGTCCCCTCGACAGGGCTGCTATCATGGACGCCTACCAGCGATATTCCGGCGCCATGGCTCTTGATTTGTAATTGTTAGACTGCGCTGACGCAAAGATTTGAATTCCACTCTCTAATCCAGTAGGAGGTGCATAACTAATTTAAATAAATCCAAATTTTAGAGAGGGCTTTCAAATAGACTAGCAAAGAAGTTCCCCGTTAATCAAAATCAAGCGCGATATAAATTAGTTCAGACTCATTGTTTGGCTTATGTTTCTCTGATATAGAAAATGATTTTTTTTCAATTTTGTGATGTTCGTCCTTTTGCCATTTTCTTGATAACGCGCGACGCGATTGCTTATAATAAATAATTAAATTCAAATACAACACATCTTATTAAGTGGAAATAAACGATGCCTTTCAATAATTATGTTGAAAAAGTTCAGGTGCAGCACTGTTTGTTAAAATAGTTAAAAAGTTCCTTATTTTCTTCAAAATAAAAAAAATAAACTAAAGCGCCTTTTATTTTTCATCAAATATTCGATAGTTATATGAGTTGTCATGTTGTAGAGATTGCCAGTGAAAGTAGTTTAGTATAATGTCGCTAGTGGTTGAAGAGTTCATATTCTGCAGTCTGGACTTTCGCAAGAGAATCAGTACATTGATAAATGAAAAAAAATATAACTCAGTACTCACTGCAGTGAGTGACAGAGAGCGCATTTTCTTGTCGACGAAAACTTGAGGTCACGGACGGACAGACAGACAGACGGACATGGCGAGCACAATAGTGCATTTTTTCCATAAATGAGAAAATTCTCTAAAAAATCGACTGATCAAGTCATCAGATATTTTATTTTTGAAACCTAAATGATATGATAAAAATCGAGGCCAAAGATAAATTCGTGGTTGCAGAAATCACTGCAAAATTTATTCTCCAATTAATTAGTAAGCGATAAATCTCTGAAAATTTGGTCCTTTGTCGTGTTTAGCGGCACAGGCTAGTGTTGACATCCAGAGGTAATTAGTGTTTACTTTCGCTTGTCGCAATATTTGCGAAATTGTCTCAACAAAGTTGAAATTCCGAGACGATTATGTCTCGGCCGTCGCAGGCGCTCGGCACATAGCAGTAGCACCTCGTGTGTCAAGGGTTAAATCATCGTAATTAGAGCTCTTTCGTGAATCACTTCTTCATGACATCACGTGTTCCAGTACAAATAAGTTTCGGTACGCTTTAGTTGTCAATTTGCATAGCCGATAAACATATACCATTATTTTTACATTTTTCTACATCTTACCCGCGTGAACATTCGTATTTTATTTAGGAAGAAGAGCCTGCAAAAGACCATCATAAAGAACGCAAATTTCAGAGAAAATTAGTAGTCACTGACTGAACAATAATCGTGTGAAAATCTCAATTATGAGAATATCAGTAAGTATTTAAGAAATCAACTAAGAAATTTGGATGCAGAAGAAATTCTGTTAACAAATGAAAATACAAAACAATCTAGTGCCGAAGATTTTTCCGAATTGTAAAAGATTTTGCTGCCTGCTCAAACTGAGTTTGATAATATATAACGAGGTCTTTTCCCGTAAATTCATTCCACCCTTAGTATCCTGTTGTTACGATGACACCAATAATAATTCCCAACTTTTTCTTTATGTTATAAATTGATAATATACCCAAAAGCCGAGAATCTTTTTCAAATGCATGCTTTGTAATTTGCAAATGTAGAGTGCACCTGAATTTTAATGTAACGTGTTACTCACTCAGACCGCCAGCCGAGGCATGCGGGTATGCAGATAAAGTAATAGGAACAAAATTCATCAGTGACGCGGAAAAGCTAGGGAAAGTCAGAGTAGTTATGAAATTTCTTTTTGCTTCTGACAGTTGAGGTCGTGTTCAAATTCACTGAATCAGAGTCAAAATGTCATTAATTTTTTTGATAAATCTGAAACACTAAAATCCTTTCATACTTTCTCGCGAAGTTAAAGCATTCTGATCATCGTTATACTCAGGCTTTACGTTTAAAGTAACTCCTAACAACTCCTATGCTCTCGTCAGAAAGACAGACAAATTTCGATCAAAATTATTTTAATCGTTAAAATGAAAAATTATGGATGAAATCATGATGCAATAAGTTTAAAATTTGAAGCATTATTATTATTCATAATTTTTTGACACTTAATCTACGTCTTTTCGGGAATGGCAATGAATAAGATATTGACTGAAATGTTTTCAATTGAAATTTTTTGATGAAAACGAGGAAAGGGAAGCTCATCGTCGTTGAGTAAGAATTTTTACCTTATCACGGTATATTTTACTATATCTTTTTTACATGACAGGTTGTTCCTGTTATAGCCTATAATTTTAAGAGGTCGATTTATTTCTCAATTGAACCCTATCACTTCTACAGCAAAACCTGCTCCTTTTGGCCCTTATCTTTTTACATGACGACTCGTTCCTCTCTCGATAATGCAATGTGTACTGAACATTGAATCAGTTACCCTTTGACAAGCCGAAGACAAGTGTGAATTCAATTGAATGAGTGGCATTAGAGGAAAAAAAACTAGTAATGTTAGACATGATGTGATATAATATGATAAATCACACTTGATATATAATATTATATTCCATTGTATTATATGTATATATATATCATACGATTGAAGCACTTTTTGGAAAAACTATTTTGGAGTGCACCTTTAGCAACTTATTTCTGGCTTTTCAATGTAATATTCAATATTGTAATAAGTCCCCAAATATCCTTCAAATAGAGAATAGAGTCCACTCAATTTCGTTTAAACTGAACCGAATTCATACTTGTTCTTGATTCATTGGTAAGGATAAACTAAAATTTAGTTGCAAGTAATCATCGGATACAAAAATCAAGTCCACATCTACATTCAGTCATCTGTAGGCTCATCCATGCCCGGGGGCAAGAGTACGCTGATGTCTCCACCATCGCGGCCGAGGCGGTTGGCTTCTTGATCCATTTCAGAGTCAGCGGCGGGATCACCTCTGATCTGGTCAAACCACTCTTTGGCGTCACTGCAGGCAAGATTATCACGCATGTTTGTAAAAGATTTGAAGTCGCGAAATTTTTCTAGAATTAATTGTATGGAAAAGTTATTTGATTTTCAAGTAAAAAGGTAGAAGTTCATGGGTAAAAGTTAGTACCTGCAATATGGCCTGCATCAAGAGATCATTCATAATATTGAAAAAATAATCTAATTGAAAACAAATTGAAGGGCCCACAAAAATGAAGACATGAAACACTACAATTTTAGTCAAGTAAATTAAAGAGCATGTTCAAAATACATCAAGTGTTGGCATATAGATTTTCGATCAACTTCACACAATAAAACATCATCCCGATATTTCATTATAAGTTTTCCACGATAAACTATTCTTAAAACCCTGTGGTTTGGTATTAAATCTAGACGCAAGAAATGCAGATACATTTTTAACAAATGGAAAATGACAAATCTGCCAACTTACCTAATTTTTTCAGCCGCCCATCTGCCCCCAGGCCCTCGGCTTGCGGCGTCCCGGTTGCCTCGGGCGTGGAAGTATTTGTCCGCGCCCACATAGTCCGCTTGATGCATGTCCCTGTATGGAAAAAAAACAAGTGAGGGATAATTAATAATAATTTTTTAAAATATTTGTTGTTATAGTTTATACAATATATCTATGAGCACAGTATATACGCTCGGCGCATCACTCACTGGTACGCGTCAATCATATCCATTGCCCCCCCCATCGCTTCACCGACATGGTTGCACGCTTCCGTTTGAAGCAGAAGTGCGACCAGCACCAAGGACGCGAGGATCAAGCGCATGGTTCTGCAGCTGGAACGAAACTAGTCCCAGGGAAATTAGTATTTATTCAAGTACTTAGATCGGAATTTGTCAATCTATCCAACATTTTTGAAATAGTAAACACATGTTTAAAGAAATTAACTATGGGCAAGAAATATTCCAATAGCGCATGAAAACTAAATAAATAATGTATAAATTTTTGTCGCGAAACCCATTATCATTAATGTCCGTCGGAAGCCTTCGCCTTGGCTCGCAAAGACATCGGTATATCACATTAGATTATTCTTTTCAACTTGATGATAGAAGTCATCGACTACTTAAAAATTGGTTTATTATTGACTTTCACTTGCCAAGCTAACCTCTCACATAACTGCAGGGATCGCCCTGTTAGTCTTTCATTTCATAACCACTGATGGGCTGTCAAGTAAACAATCTTACAGTTGCAAGGTACCAAAATCGCGAGTTATATTACTTGGAATAAATTATAGATTTTTATCGAATTGGCAGACCGCTTCAGAAATTTAGGGCGCATTTACATTAAAACAAAATTTTCAAGTTGATCTTTGCAGTAGGTTAGTTCAGCTCATTGTCATTCGAATTGGCATCTTTGTAATTTTCAAGATAACTCTCATATTATATTATTCATATCTTAAACAACAATTATTGACAATATTTACTTCACAAAAGGTCCCTACGTTGAAAATGGTATTTTTATTTCAATACTCGTACGTTTTAACATCTAACTTATTCGAAGTGACAATAACTAGTCAATAAAACATCTTTGATCATGTTCATTTGATTTCGACCCTTATGTTCCTCTCATACCACGCTCTATGAGGGTAAGGACTGGCACTTACCCTACACATTCACCCACTTTACCAGCGCCAGTATCTTAGCTGCATTTACGATCTAATCTTGAACTTTCCGCTATTTCTCGAAGCGCTGCCTCAACTTTTACGTCTTGCAGCAAACTCACCTTGCTTCCTTCAAAACGACGAAGGGTTCAGAGATTATCCCAAATATGAATGAGGATGCCATGTTGAAGTGTCGACATTATATACCCGTTTAACCGTGCTCTAGTTAGCTTTCGAAGATGCTCAGTCATGTGCCTTGTGGATTCGGTTACGTTATTCAGAAAAGCTTTTGCTTGCATCGTCCTTCGCATCCCTCTGCTATAAGCATACCCACGTTTGCCCGTGCTCATAGTTAGCTATCGAAAATGCTCAGTCATGGGCCTTGTGGATTCGGTTACGTTATTCAGAAAAGCTTTTGTTTAAATCTTCCTTCTTCTCCCTCTGCTATACGTATACCCACGTTTGCCCGTGCTCATAGTTAACTTTCGAAGATGCTCAGTCATGTGCCTTGTGGATCCGGTTACGCTATTCAGAAAAGCTTTTGCTTGAATCGTCCTTCTACTCCCTCTGATCGATAAGCATATCCACGCATGCACCTATCTCGCTTCTGAGAACTGTGATCAAAACAGAAGTTTATGCGTAAATATTTCGAATGATGAGCATTCTGCACGTTTACTAATCGCAATTTTGCGGATGAAGCTCACCGCGATTTTTCCGAAGTGTTATAAAAGCGAAGCCATTCTTGGGAAAATTAATTCTTGACGAAGTCTTTTCTGTTTAGTTACACATGAAAATTACACTTTGTTACAATACATTAAAAGCAGAAGCGTAATGGCGGCAGGCATCGAAAAACAGAGAAAAATTCGCAAAGTATACACTGTATACGTTCCTAGCCTGCTAGGTGTATTTTTCCTAATGTATTATTCTGTGTTAGGCTTGAATCCCAAAAATATTAAACAAATTCAAATTATATTCGATAATTCCATCCAGGAAGCCTATGAAGCAAAAAATAGAGTTTTTGGAGCGAGCGTCCCCGTTGACTAAGAAATGTTCAATAAAGCTTAGACGCTGACATCAGTGCAGTTCGTATTAATCCAGTAAACTGGAGAAAAAAAAACGAACAAATCGTGATGCGTCTTAAACGAACTCACTTCGTTGAAGTAGTTACAACCCCTTACGCCCCCATCTTAAATTTGTTGGCGACTAACCTGTAATTTGAGAGGCAATTTATAGGCCATATAACTTGGGGGAACGCGTGTAAGACGATCGGAAAGGCAGACTATGACCATTTGACTTGTAAATTAAGCACTGAAAAGAATTTTTTTAATAAATTTAAGAGTATATAATAACGCGGTTGATTAACATTGAAGTTAAGGTGTCACGGTCATTGATAGCAAGGCTCAATGAATTACTTTCTTGTTAGCCCCCACCTAATTAAAGGAGCAAACATGTAATTCTAACCGAAATAAATACAACGAAAAATTAAAATGATAATTGAAATATAGGTAATTTGAGATTTTCTAATAATAGTAATTATTGTTAAACGTGAACAAGTTTCTCTTAAATTATTTGCAATTAGTGGTTATTTCATAGTAGTTATTTAGCTCCAGAATTCCAGAACCTATGGATCAGAGAATCTTGGACTTTTATTACAAATCTAGAAACTCAAACATCGTAATCGTAATATTCATAACCATCAATTTCAACTACAAGTTGAAGTTAACCAGTAATGACAAAATATTTTCAATGAGTTTGATAACAGTCATGAAGACGCTTACTTTGCTAATAAGATAAAATGTATATTATGTATATAAAATGTGTACGAATGTAACGCTATATTGTTACAAGTAGCGCTCTGAGCCCATATAGCAGTTGACGAGCCCCATTGTTTTTACTAACTCATATATTATATGACAACTTTTCGTAGCATTTACTGCTCATCTTACTTTAATTTACAGCTTAAACTATCCATTGACTAGTTCGTCATACGAATTTTTAGTTCAAAGAGAAAATCCATTAATATTGTAACTGGTATCCTGCGTTTTCTCCATTGCTCTACATTATTCAGCGTTTTTAGAATAATGTGATTGTGGATTTGAAAAGCTTTCTTTAACGTAAATTAGAAGCCTGCCACTGTGTCACAGCTTGCAATAGATAAATTTTAAGTAAAGAAATCCAATATACTAAGAAGTGATTAAATTTGTGGCATCATCCAATGCGGGCTGGTTGTGTATATAAAAAGTTAAATCAAGGTTCGCTTCATATGACTCGCATTTTTACATTCGAAACTAAAACTTATCGAGAATCTCATGTCTGTCAAGACATGAGAACCTCATGTCTGTCAAGACATGAGAACCTCATGTTTGTCAAACATGAGAACCTCATGTTTGTTATCAAACGCTGTGGCTGCTTGGATGAATGTAGATCGTTCGATCGCTCTAATGTCCTCTCTATTGAAGCAGGCAGCTGACAGCGGAAATAAAATTCAGCAATGCATCTTTTTGCGTTTATTTAGAATCATAAATGCCTTGGGGACTGAAAATATACTAGAATGGGTTTCTTAACAATTCTTTCAACTGACGAATGCCATACCATCTAAGACTGTTATGTTCTTGCCAGGTAGTTCTCATGATATTATTGCCTTACATGCGGTGACATGATAGCCATTATTCACGTTCAGGTATACTTTGTCGTAAGATAGGTAATGTTTAATTTCATGAAACTATATTTTGACACACTAATGGCTTTGACAACATTCGTCTAGTAGTTGATATTGAAAAAACTTCTCAGACAAATTGGGGTCAATATCTGGCCCAAATTTGTTCTACCTAAAGCCAACATTAGGAGTAAATAAGACCAAACCAGCAGTACACCACGTATAAATTGAATACTTGCAAACCTGTGACTTGCCTAACAATTAAACTGGTCCGCAGTGCAAAGTAACTGCCGTTAACATGAAACCAAAGCCTTTAATAGCATGGTGATTGCAAGGTCACATTTACAATCAAGAGTAATCACAAGATGAGTTGAATGCAAACAGCAACGAAAGAGTGCTGACGCAGAGGTTACAGCTGAATGTCATCTACTCAAGGAACGATCCCTGGAACTTGAGATTATGACACAAAGACGAAGATGCCCAGATTTGATAGTGCCCTGTAAAGCAGAAACCTAAAAGGCCTCAGTGCTGCAACGGTGCGTTACCCGACAATACAATACAATAAACCACACGTGAATCGTCACAGCTCTAATCGTAGCAGAAATTATTTAATCACTCCTAGCGACAGCGACGACCATTTCAGCGTTAGAAATGGCTGCTTGAGGATGGACCTCTCTTAGCTGGGCGTCGGAAACCCTCAACATACGTACGCCCATACTTCAATTAATACATGTATTAATAATTCAACCATGCGTACGTCCTCATCGACAGCGCCTATACCAGCTCGGCTGTGGCCAGAGACTCCTATAGCTTAGTTACATATGTCCAGGTTACTGGCGATCAGTAATTTTCGTCTACCGAAATCAAAATCAACCAATATTTCTTGCGTTTAGACATTTTACTTGTTTCTGTTCCGAAAGTCTTATTTAAAGAATGAATTTATTTATTATGCAATGAACTGCAGTCATATAATTTATAACATAAGTTGTTCTTTCCGCCAACAATTTTAATTAGAAAATAAAAGAAAATACACAGAAAAAATTCTTCCTTGGTAGTTTGTCAGAAATTTTTAGTCTGGTTACTTGCCATTACGTAAACGTTCTGTGATTAGTCTTCGTTACAAAAAACTTATGCTTGCACAACGAATCGATATATATTTTCAACGATATTTAACATAGGTTTTGTAGCATATTCCTCGCTCAAGCTCTCTCTTCAAAGAGTTTAAAAAGTCTTAGTAGTTTGTGCAAATTTGTCTCTGTTTATTTGTGCAAAAAGTCTGTGTTTGTGCAAATTCATCAAGTAGATTTTCATTGTTGCTTTTGAACTGCAATTATCTTACCGAAACTTATAAGCCATCTATTGGACTGGACGCGACCGATACCGTTTTACTCTCCTTTTTTCCTGTCCATAATTTTAGCAGTTTGTACAGTAAAAACTATTCTCAATTGAGACTGGAAAACGATGTAGATACGCGGCAATCTGCGATTAACTTTCGAATTTTTTCATCTTCCACTTGTAGAAACTTGTTATCGGCCACTTTAGAAGATAGCGGTACAATTCGTAGATGAGTATTCGTATTGCAGACATATAAGATTGTATGCGAAATATTAGGTAAAGAAAATAATGCTAACGCAACCAACTTCAATGTTCTTCTAACCTCGATTTAGGTTTGAACTTGAAGCCTGTAAGTTTAGTGCCTCTCGTGTAAAAACTGTTTCACAATTAATACGTATCTGGAGCGATGCAAGGTGTTATTGATAGCAGCTGATTAAATAGGAAAAAAAATATAATAAAAGAGACAGACGTTGCGTTACTTAGCTTCTCATATATCTTAAAGTTGGAGACTCGGAGTGATTACTCCACCAATTTCACGTTACGATCAGGTTCAGGTTCAAGATACCGGTATTCATTACTTATCGTTTTGTCAGGTGGTTGCCGAGTGGCACTTGATTTGGCACGATGATATACGGTTCTCTTTTTGGACAGGTTCGGCAAAATATAGTACAGAGAGAGGGTGTAATGAAACACTGATACATTTCATATTAAATTGAGAAATTTAAGTTCACATCCTATGTTAACAACAAATCTCTAGTACATGAAACAGGCGAGCTGAACACAAAGTCCAAAATCTATCAGTTAAATCATCATCATGTAAAATCATCTAATTTTACCGGAAAAAAAGCGTGTGATCCGTTGCAGTTCTGTTGAGCAGTACGACTGTTGTAAACGACCGTAACTTGCGCACATTTTTACGGCTGTACGTTCCGCGACCGTACCGCGGATGTCCCCGCGCATCGCAGCCGTATTTCAAGTGGCCGTACTGCAGCTGTACCGCAAGCGTCTCTCTTCACAGTTGCTCTTTCTTCATAGCTGTCGTATTTCGTTGATATAGATGCCACACGGCCAGTCTGGCCGTAGGTTGTTTACAACGACCGTACTTCAGAATAGTGGCGTAGTCTTTATCGTCGATGATGTTACTTCGGCTCAATGCGGTGCTTCGGCGGTTGAAGATGAATACAATCGTACCGCTTCTTCTTGATGGAAATCGTGACCATATCGTACTGATGATTCTTGGTGTAGAGCTCGAAACTTGGATCTTCTGATGACGTGCGTTATTATCGTTGTACATCTCGTGGTTTCTCTTAGTATAGTATAGTATAATATAGTATAGTATAGTATAGTATAGTATAGTATAGTATAGTATAGTATAGTATAGTATAGTATAGTATAGTATAGTATAGTAAATGAGACTACGCTGGTTTTAGACGTCGCAGAATTTTCACAGATAGCGAGATCCCGCTCCCGCTACTCCTTTCTCCAATACAACCCGGCCTAGGCGTTATATCTAGCAATAGAACTCTCGTAATTAAGAGCAAATTAATTTATATATTAATTTCCGTAATTTTTCTCCGGAATGACACATTTATGCCAGTATTGTCTGTGATGTTGCTACAAACTATAATTCCATGCAAGAGGCGACTTACGCATCACCCTATGCAATTTTTGAACACAACACCGGAAAGCCATTCTCCCCCGGAACGCAAACAGTGGTATGAGGGATCAGGCTACCACCTTGGTTCAAAACTGCAGACGGAGCTATATTTGTAAACAAAAGTAAGTCCGTTGAGCTGAAGACACAGTCCGTGACAGCCGAACCATCGAGCCATGTAACTTCGCTGTTGCTGAAGTGCGCAGTCACCCAAGCACATTTGCCTAGCACCAGATTTAAATGAAAGAGATCCACTTGCTGGGCTGTTGAATTAAACAACAATTCAAAATTAATCATGTAAGTGACGAAATAATATTTTTAGATGCCTAGTAGTTCAAATCAACAAATTTATAGGCTCGATTGATGATTCTCAATTTGGAGCGAAGAAATTCACGCAGCAACTCGGACTTGCTGAAACCCATTCTGTTGAAATCTTCGCACAGAGATTGTGTAGGTATGAAAAAATATACATAAAGCTATTATATCCTTTTTTGATTACAAATGTGTTCAATAACGATTGACGATCATTTATTTCAATGCATTTTCTGTTATACATCAAGCATTTTTCAGGCCATGTGCCCATCTTTTCTGCTTTGCTTTACTAGTAGCTTTAAAAATAATTGTACAACAAAATGTTAGGATGAATGCTGCTTTAATTTATTATACGTTTATATATTTAAGGAAACTTATCAATTCATAGTACTATTCATTCAGTTGTAGCTCAGTATAATTATTTCATAACACTTTCTGAGCCTCTTCTGTATATCTGCTACTTTCAGTGGTTATTTTAATTTCTTAAACAAAAGTACGGTAAAATACTATCATAAATCAATTTGAAACTACGTTTAAAAGTTCAGAGATGAAACGATACTATTGGTTTCATTATAGTTCGATTCAGGCATCATCTAGCCTAACATAGCATTAAATTTTTTTTATATTATAACATCTTCCGGTAATTTATCAGGTTTAAAACTATAAAGACAGTATATATAGATTTCAGTTGTGGACAATATTATTCAATTTTCAACAGCAAAAGCGTCTCGAAATGTTGCTCACCTTTTAATAGAATAGATTTGCAATATAATTTGATTAAATATGTGCATATATCACCATAGCTTATTCCGTAACCTCACCTCCAACGCGGGCCGCTGCAGCTGATCTCTGTTCTTTCGTCTTGATGATGAGCGGCACTCCGCCCTCCTGGGCACACATGTTCATCTGAGCTGCCACTGAGCCGTCACAAGTCACCGCCGTGGTTACGAAGATGGAACCGGTTCCCGAATTCGTGAGACATGGAGACACTGGTATGGTGGTCATGGTGGTGGTGGTGATGATGGAAGGAGTCGTACCGGTGTTGGTCATGGCGGTCGTGGTGGTGGTAAGAGTTGAGTAGGTGTTGTTCATGACGGTCGTGGTGGTGGCGGTGGTGGTAGGAGTCGTGTCGGTGTTGGTCATAGTGGTCTTGGTGGTGGAAGGAGTCATGCCGGTGTTGGTCATAGTGGTCTTGGTGGTGGAAGGAGTCATGCCGGTGTTGGTCATGGCGGTCGTGGCACTGGTGGTAGGAGTCGTGTCGGTGTTGGCCATGGTGGTCGTGGTGGTGGTGGTAGGAGAAGGTGTCTGGGTAGCATCAGAGGTCGTTGCGGTATCTCCATCTTCAACAGCCGCCACATTGATGGCAGCAGGCGGGTCTGCCGTTTTTTTTTTTTTTTTTTTTGTAGCAAAGAAAACGAAATTACATTCGTGCTTAGAAGGTGTTTTATTAAGCTATTTCATTTCAATCAGCTGCGCCACAAAAGACGGCTCTACAGATTTGGTTTTGATTATTTATTTTAAATTATTTATATTGACATAATTTTTCTATTGACTAATGTATTGAGAGCGTTCTCTTCATTCAAGAAGTTTTAATTGCCTCACAGACAGCAATGAATTTTCAATAAACAATTTCTGCATATTCACATTTATTTGGATTTTTCTGATGCAAAAAAAATAGTATCGAAACATATGGGAAAGGGACTCACTGAACTTGACGAGCGTCACTGCTTGCGTATGGTCACGCAGCGCAAGGGCTGTTGTTGCGTTCTGTGTTATGTTGCACTGCGATGAGTTGACGTAGTACGTCGCCGCCGTACAGTTGACCAGTACAAAGCAGATCGATTTGCACTTGCCTTCAGAAATTGAGAACAAATGAGATGGAAGGAAGGGAGCATATTGCGCTTTACTTCAGTTCCCTGCATTTGCTATCGCCCTTCCAATTATCGAAAATAAGCGCAAACTAATTATACGTCGGCCATACACAGCTTCAGAACCTTGTTTTGTCAGCACGCATGTATCCATGATTAACTTTATATTAAACTTTTTTCATGGCACGAACGCTGAGACGTTTTACTGTGAATTAACTGTGTTCGTTGACACAATACATCAGCAGTAAATAAATATATATATACTTATATACATGCAGATTAGAGAGATTCATCGAATGTGGTGGATGCAAATTAGAACAAGTGCTCTATTACACACAACGTTACATGACTATTCCTGCGTGTGAAATATGAGTACAATAATCACAAAATATCGTCTTAAATTAACAACATTCATTGTTAATAATACAACTTTTTGAGGGTATTGATGTATCTATATTATTGAACACTTCTGAACAGCGATACCATCTGAACCTCAAATTGGTTAATCGAATATATACATATTCGCACGGAAGATATGAAAAAATATACTATATCAGTTAAAAAATATTATATATGCATCAGTAAGGGTGAAAGATTTACAAAAACAATTATAATATAGTTAACTCACAGAGAGACTCAGCCTGCATGGACAGCACCGAGTCAACGAGCTCCTGGCCCTGCAGTACATTAATGTACACAGCGGCGCCTGCAGCAGCAAGCATCAGCAGCAACATGAGCTGCAGTGCTCTACAACTCAAAGACATTTTACTGCGGTGGTTTATGCAACCTGAAAGTGAAGCAAATTACGTAAAGAATTTATTTATTCCGCCTGAATGTTCCAGTCAACTTTCAAACTAAACGTGCTGACATATTGAAAATGCTCAAAAAATGCTGTTGAATGGCTTTGTTGTAAAGTAAATAAAAGGAAACTTTATCAATCAAAATACAATGGAGGGGAATTTCGTTACAACGTCACTGCATGAAAGGAAGAAGACAACGTCAGAGGACGTGCTCCTACAGACCAGTGCCCTGCTGCTCCGCATCTAGGGCCGTACGATCCAAAATAGTTACAAGTTCGTAACTCCGTCAGCCATTCACTGATGGATTTTTTTGCCAATCAAGACGAGAAATCGGACGCTACATGTACTTAGGTCACGACATGTACTTATGCGAGTTTTGATATTACGGCCTCTGAACCTTTACGAGACTTGCAGTTGCGATTTTCTGCGCCTCGAACTTGTTGGCTACGGCATCTCTCATCAGCGAAAAGTTATGTTCCAAAACGCCATGGAATAATTCCCGTACATGACTGTGATTCAACCATGGAACGCTAATGATATAGTGGAGGTAACAAGGGGATCACAAAAAGTCGTGAGTTGTACAGAGTCGCACATTCTAGTGCGTGGTACATAGCTCATGAGCGACCAATAATTTGCGATCCATGTAAAAATATGAAGCTTTTCAACAAAGACCAACATGAACTCTCGGTACATCTCGTTCGATATATTGACATATTTTCTGGAGACATGCAATGTCCGTCGCTCGGCCACAGATAATTGCAGCAAAATACAATTAAGAGGAGCATAATGATTATCAAACTCTTGCAAACGCGCATGATCCATGCATGAAAATCGCAATGTTGGGGAAGCGTTAATGATTAGCATGGATTTTTATATGAAAGGATAGAATCCGCAAACCAAAAAACCTGGATCTGATACCAAAAAAATACTAAATATTTCAGTAATGGTCGTTTATCCACTAATATTTCATCCTATCTACTTAAACGTCGTTATCCGTTTCAACGAGTAACCATCAATTTTTGATCTTTCAAAATAATTGAAACTATATAAGCTTTTATATGGCTATGATAAAAATTATGACAGAGGTGAGGTTTTCGTTCAGGCATTTCGTAATGTCGTTCGAACGGCATTTCGTTCAGGCATTTTGAAATATCGAAAAATTAAACAAGGATTTTTCTGTTCTATCATAGGAGCAGAAAAAGCAATTGAACTTTCCTCCATCAGGCGAGAAAGGTTTCAGGTCGCTCGTGGCATGGAAAAAATGGTTAGAACTATGAATATTAAATCGAGAATATCGTTACGACTGAGACTACATTGTCGATAATTCTTGTATCATACTAATTTATTTCCATTTTTCGTTTGGTTCCACGAAGAATATATAGATATAAACGAACAAAAAATTCATCTTCATTTAATCAGGATCTTTTGATGCTTTTCAATTTTTAAACGAGCATGAGGATGAACTTTGCGGTCTGTGAAGGAAAAATCTGTATTTTAAGTACAAGTAATTATGCCCTGACATATGAGCAGCGTACGTCGAAGGTACTTATATAGTGGATGCGCGCGCGGATAAGAAACGGTTATGCTTGTAGGTTCTATCAGGTGAGCAATGGGCGGTAAACCGGTCAATTTTGGATGGAACTTTTTTACTTTAAAAAAAAATTTCTTTAATTGTGTACATTCGTAACCTAAATTTGTAAATGTATTAGATGCTCGTTTCTAACACGACCAATCTCTTTTAAAAATAGGCAAATGTATGAGTATAAGCTAATTCTATTGAAATTAATATTAAGTAACAGTCCTCCACTAGATAATATATCTACAGTTTATTTGACAATGAATGTCAAGTACAGTAATATTGTTCCTGTCCTCGATAGGATGAAGGCTGTCAGCAACGAGGTGTTGCTGAAGCGCTGCTACAAGGCCATCTTTCTGCCAGTGAGTTTGTCATAAAGCTAACATTTACTGTATCATTTACCAAAAATATGTTTTTGTTATTGTGAATTTATTGAGAGTATTGGGTAAATATGTTCGTGAATATTTTAATTCTAACGATCGAGATCTCCAGCAATATGTGTGGGTGAAGTTTTACTAGCTAATATGATTGAAAAGGATTTTAAGGGAAATGTAGCAGTGTTTATTGCTGCTGTTAATTACTACTTGTTAGTCTGCGATTAAGACAATTTATTTATTTCAATAAGGTGTATTGAGAATGTCTGAGGTTTAATGAACTTTAACCTATTGAATCTTTCAATGAAATTCTAGCTGAAGTAGTTCTATGAGTAACTTCACTTGGGAACATATTTGACAGAATATTCGAGAGAATATTGGAGGGAATCTTTGAGGGAATCTTCGAGGGAATATTAGAGAGAATATTCGAGGGAATATTCGAGGGAATAGTTGGAGGAATATTCGAAGGAATATTCAAGAGAATATACCAATAAACACTCCATCAATAATTTAAAATTTAATAAAAACAATGTTTATTCACCAAAATTGAGACACACTGACAACATTTTATTGAGAACATGATGAATTTATTAAACAACATTTTTACTTTCAAATTCTGCTTTCATTTGCACTTCGAGCAAACCGAATGTTAATTAATTTCTGATTTATGTACATGAATCATTCATGTACTGCAAGGCATTGCGCACCGCCATTTGTAAAGTATTTATAAATTAAAATACATCTAAATCATGTTACTGCAGCGGTGTTGGCGATGGCACATCAACTTTACTATTGATTTATTTTAAAGCCAACATCACGCAATCAGAGACACCGTCAATCTTCACTCAGAGAAATAAGGGAGACTTTGTTTAGCTCTACAAGAGCTACATGCAGAAAGTGAGCCAGTATTTGGACAGTTTTGCTTATTTGAATGTTATTTATTTACAGTTTCCCGGCTATTTCACCGTCACTCCAGGCAACCCCCCACGTTTCGGGGGCGCCATGTTCCGGGTGTTCGATCAAATTTTTCGCAGACTTGGAATTTGGTGCGTCAAATATTAATTGAAATAAATGTCTCCAAAATAATTTTTAATGGTTGATGAAATTCTTGACTTTGTATTTTCTGTCTGTCATCTGTCGGATATCGCTTTTTCAATATGCAATAGTACGATAAAGATGATGTGACTGTACAATTATTGCCTAAAGTTTCTATGCAAACATTTGTCAAAAAATAAGCTGGCGGAGCTATATATAAATTTACGTCAATTTTTTTCAAATGCAATTTTTTTTGTGGTGGCACTCGTAATTGTGCCGAAAATAATTTTTTCGTCTTCTTTATTTCTATCAAATAATAGCCTGTGATCGTGAAGGTTAATGCAAATTAACATCTTGAAATCGAAACTGATTGTGAAATTGTGGACATTTTGACAATAAATGATATTACAATTTTTGAAACAATAAAATTTTTCTGTTGCAGCTACCAACCCTTTAGTTCCGAAGGAGGTTCCGGTGTAAAGCTTCCAAATGGATCGTGGACTGGAATGTTTGGAAAACTTCAGAATGGGGTTAACAGCCAGCATCAATGTCACTAAATTACCTACTCACTCATTCTTTAATTGCCAGCAGCGAATAAATTTGTGTTTAATCTTCAAAGTCAAGTTGAAGTTGACTACCAATAAGTCCAAAGTTATGATAGAAGACTCATCGTGTATTTCACGTTTTATCATGCAACTTCTAAAGTTTTAATGCATAATTAGTCAGCTTTATCACAATTTTTTAAAATCGTATATTAAATCACAGTTCACATATGATTTACTCATGCAACAGGAGGCTGATGTTTGCGGGTCATCCGCTATTGTGACACCAGAACGCAAAGAGGTCGTAGACTTCTCTGAATACGTCTACATCGACCACTTCAGTACTGCCTACAGGGAACCAACGATCGAACCGAACGTTTTTGGGTTTATTCAGCCCTTTACTCATCAAGTTAGTTTCAATTTGTATACTACACATTTAAAATATGGGTCGAGTACAGTGGTTAGTCAGAATATTCACTTAAAAAATAAGCAATTAATTAGGATTTGAAAATTATGAACATTTTTTTAATAGTATTAATTTTTGGTTGAAACTGGTTTGGACGAGATAAAAAGAGCTTCGGGAAAAATCACGGGTTCATGTTTCGAAAATTAAACATAGAAATAATTGGAGCTCAAAAATTGCATTAAATGTGGATTATATTCGAATATTTGAATAACATCAATCCTTATTATGCATGTACCAAATTGTTTCAACTTTGCCATCAGGTCTGGATCATCCTTTTTGCTGCGACGCTCCTATTCGCTGTGAGCGTACACGCAGCGCATAAGATTATACATGCATTGAAAAAGTTGAGTGAAAAATAAGAATGTAATCAGACAAATATGCTAGTCAAAAAATATTCATCAACATGAGTTTATATCACAAATCATTATTTTGATTAGCAGCATTAGGAAAATGATGTATTTTCTAGTGTATCGACTGAAGAAGGCAAATCATTAACAAATTTTCGAAATTCACTAAGTTTCGGATCTCGAAAATTTTTTAAAACATTTACCGGATTTTTTTTTTCATTTTATTTATGTCAAACAGAGACCAGGGGCGTCTCTAGGTTTCGAGGACAGGGGCTTTCACCCCATAAAATTTATGATCATATTATACTTAACAGTGAGTGATTGTATGAACATTTAATTAAACTTATAATCGGGCCACATTAAATTGAATTCATCGGCACAGTTGTAAAAAACTAAAAGCAATTATAATTAATGAACATAACCTTATTCAAAAGAGTTTAAAAACATTTTAGGGGTACCTAAGCTCCTTTAAAATAGGCGCCACTCTTAGTAAAAATTTTAAAATTGCTTGAATAGAATAAAATAGAAGTGTCGGCATTGAAGAAATAGGCCCATGATGATAGGCTTGTTTACCGTGCAAGTTAATACTTTACAATGATATTTAATGAATTTACTATTAGTCATTGATGGGCGACATAATCTTCGTCGATATCACGATATATTCTTCGCATAACTAGCCTCAAAAAAATCATCTCATCCCAGACGAGATCGCGGACATGCCGTGCCATCCTTGTCCAACGATGTCTTCCTGGTGATGCGACATCTGCTCGGGCAAGGTGAACAAAAAATAACTGGCCCGAGCAATTATTTAGATGAAAATTCGAATGAATTTGAATAGTTTGTTCATTTGTATCAAAAATTATGTATATATTTGGAGTTTGCTAACGAGACTTGTAGCAAACATGGTACTGTCCAGATCATACTTGTAGCAAACTTGTACTGTCCAGATCAGACTTGTTGCAAACATGTACTGTCCAGATCAGACTTGTAGCAAACTTGTACTGTCCAGATCAGACTTGTTGCAAACATGTACTGTCCAGATCAGACTTGTACTATCCAGATTAGACTTGTTACAAACTTGTACCGTCCAGATCAGACTTGTTGCAAACATGTACTGTCCAGATCAGATTTGTAGCAAACATGTACTGTCTAGATCAGACTTGTAGCAAACTTGTAATGTCCAGATCAGATTTGTAGCAAACTTGTACTGTCCAGATCAGACTTGTAGCAAACTTGTACCGTCCAGATCAGACTTGTTGCAAACACGTACTGTCTAGATCAGACTTGTAGCAAACATGTACTGTTCAGATCAGACTTGTAGCAAACTTGTACTGTCCAGATCAGACTTGTAGCAAACTTGTACTTAACGTACAATGAGGGCTTGGGAATAAAGGATTCACAAACATTCATCAGAGGCATCCACATTTTCCAAAAGCACTCACATATTCCGGTTAACAAAGAAACGAATGTGGTGGATCTGCGAGTGTGTCAAACGTGCGAGATTTTTTTGCTTATTCTAAAGATATCTCATACAATTTAATATCAACAGATTAATCAATGATTTTAGATTTTTCTCCATAGCAACAAGTTTGTATTAAATCCTAAAAGAAATATGATATAACTCGCTAAACCTTGCCAAATCTCATCCTAGGAATTTCTTAACTTACTATTCATTTATCATTCAGCACGGCTATTCATTTCCTGACGTTTCGTTGAATAGAATTTACCTTATTTTACTCTCACTTACCGTGAACTCCCGACTAACAACGTAAACGATACTATTGTCGTAAAATGAAAGTAACTAAAAAATATTAATTCCTGAAAACTCAAACCCAAATACGAATATAATTAATAATATGAAGCTTTAAGAGTAACTAATTTTTTGGTTACGATCATTCCCGGCAGCTGAAAAAAGCAAAGGGCTCGAGGCAGGGTCAGGCCTGCTCCTCGTTATCACGTGGCTCTTCGCCACGTTCATCGTGTGCACCGTGTATCAGTCCAACCTGGTCGCCATGCTCGTCATCCCTCAAGTGAAAATACCTTTCGACTCCATCGAAGAAATGCTAAATCAGGACAAATTACCTTTTCGTGTCACCGGCAACTCTTTCATAGATGATGCAATGAAGGTTTGAGGCAATATGCAATGTTTGTAAGGCTTTAAAGAAGACTTTTCTCGTTTGATTATTTCGAAAGGATAATTTGGCAGCTATTCGGTCACAGCGTTTTGTGGATCTCTGAAATTGTGAAAATTGCATATAATGTAGGATATAAGAGTATATATTGTAAATTTTGAATATTAGTTGTGATGCATTGATTTTATTATCACCAAAAAGCGCTTGCAATATGGTGTTGGTATATATTAAGCTGAAAACGTTATTAAATATTCAACGCCTCCCACTTTTTCATCAGGAATCAGAGCCGGGCACTCAGCTGCATCGGATGTACGAGAAGCATGACGGCTACGGGTACAGGCTAGACGAAGTCATCACCAACCTCCTCACGGGGCGCTATGCTTTTGTAACCAACCGCAACGTCGTCCTCGCTGTCATGGCAAACTTTTTCTCCAAGGTAGAGTAAGAAAAGAGTACGTTCAACTGGCTTACTCGGTATGCAGCGTAGGAAATACCTTACACTGGTACTTCATTAATTACAAATTTCTTTACTTGTGAGAATTATTTATTTAGTAAATGCCATTAGTCCAAAAAGTAAATAGTTGAGATGTTATGGAAGGCACACAACTATACTAATAAAACCAAAGTCTAGGCCATCATCGCGTTGAAACCTAAATGTAGGATTTTCATCAATTCTCTACAAGATTTATCAGGAAACCAAAGAAGAAGACGATTTAAATTAATCAAAATAGGTTAAGAAAATACCGACGATTTCCGAATCGCGAATATTTACAAAGTTCTTTGAATATTTACAGTAGTTTTAAAATTTGTCGAGTGAACATACCTGTAGGCTTATTATTTCAATTCTCTCACCCACGTGTAACGTATTTATTCTAAAGCAGTAGGCCTTGATTAATGACTTGTTCTGCTTGACTAATATCGATTTGATTTGATGTATTAATGGTTCGATTTAAGGTATGGATATTTTGTGTACATACTATTCTCTAGGTATGGATCTTTTGTAGGCAAGATAGTATTATTGAAAATCAAGAAAAGCATATTTCTCGAAGCGCATTTTGCTTCCACAGACCGCCAGGTGCGGCATACAGGTCACCACGGAAGCCATCCTGGACGTGCAGTTCGCGTTTGTGTTCTCGAAGACCTTCCCTTGGCAGAAGGAGATTGACAACGTGTACGGTTAATGATAATTTAGTTAAAAATAATATTAACTCATGCAAACCTCTTAACTAATACGACATACAGCAATTGAATGCAAAAATCTGAAATAAAAATTAATCTTCGATGTTATTATTTCCTAAACTTGTTTGTTGTGTTCTAGTTGAGATTGAGGTTGAGTCAAAATCTAAGCGCTTTGTACAGTTTAAAAGACAGAATGAATTATTTTCCTTCTTCCTCGTAATGCTATTGCATTGAAATCTTTACATTTTTAAACAGAAACCTGGTTTAAATGCAGCCTTCAGCTCCTATCCCCTTGAAATTGTAAATAGATAGGCCTGTCTCCTTATGTGTATTTGTTCTTATTTTGTCAATTTATGTTTATATCTTCGATGTGAATTTAGTTTTCTAATTGATTCTTATTTTCTCATAGGTTTTGAACTTTTGAACTGACGATGGAGCTGGACTCCGAAACGTTTTCATTCTTAAGAAATGGTTAATATTCTGTCTGTTTTCTTTGCTTTTAAATTCCTGATTGAAATCTTCATTTCATACTATTTCGTGTATTATTTGAAGAGATGTCGAGTTTTTATATAAAATTTCAAGGATGAGCATATTTCTACCCAACATGCAAGCAACTAACACGACTTCCCAGTGAAATTTTACAGACGCGGCAGCTTCTGATTTGGGTTACCAGAAGCTGGGGCGACTCTAAATTCTGTTGGGGTTGCAGGCTTGTGCGGTGGCGGGAAGCTGGCGTGCTGGACAAGATGCTGGCAGAAGAGCTAGGCAGGAACGTGTCGGCGTGCATCATACCAGGCGCTAGGATCAGGAAAGAGATCTCCCTCAGGCCGCTCGAGATCGCTGACTTCTACGGCGTGTTTGCCCTATTCCTACTAGGTTAGTTTGAACACATTTATTATAGCTCGCGTATTGTATTGAACTTAAATGTTGTATTGTAGTGCATGTATTATTTTGAGCTAATGAGTTGTATTAAACTCATGCATTATATTGAGCTGGTTTATTTTACTGAGCTCATGTACGGTATTGAGCTCATGTAGCCTCGAGCCCTCAGGCCGCTCGAGATCGCGAACTTCTACGGTGTTTTTGCCCTATTCCTACTCAGTTAGTTTGAACCCATGTATTCGTAAAGCTAACTTAACATTCAAGGTCGGCATTAACTTAACTTTCTCCCTTCTCATTTCCATTCGCACATTCCGAAATAAATCAACATGGCTCATATGTGTTTCCAAGATTCAAATGGAGCCAAGACATTTCAACTAACTTATTTTTATGAAGACAAATCGCTAATTTTCATTTGTTATTATCTTATTAATATGAGAATTAATTACACTGTAATTACTGTACACTGGACTGTAAATTACAAATATGAAATATTCCCTGTGAATTCCTTATATATATATTCATAGCCGCGATATCCAGATTAGATAAGTTGACATGATGAGTGCAATCTATTGTTCCTCCAGATAAACTTTCAGGCAGACTAAAATTTAAATATTCCAAGATATTTACAATTTAAATTGCAATTGGAGAAATGAAACGAGAGCCTTGAGCAAAAAGTGTTGGTTTCAGAACAATTTATCAGTAGCGTAATAAATTCTCTTTAAATATTAATAGTTAAGATGTTCGTAGTTCAAGTCCCCATATCATCACAATGTTCATTTGGCATATCTTTTATCTATTTGAACGTGAGTCGACTCACTATAAATAATGATTAATGAACTATAAATGCACTACTTGCATGAAACTATTTCTATCTTCCATGAGTCGAGAAATCTTTTCAGTCTGGAAAAACACAGGCTTCAGACCGCTTTGAATTATGTTCAACATTCAGAGCATGAAAAGGCAGAACTAACTTCAGCCTATGAAGGGCTGAACTTCAGTGTATCAGTAGACTCAACTAACAGCTGATATCCCCAACTAATGACTCACATATCTAAAAAAACATAATAAAGCTTCAATGGCTACAGTGTGCATATGTCACCTTGTGGGGGTGACTGCAGTGGATCGCGTATAACGATAATCATGTCTGCTGTTTGTGCAGGAATAACGATTTCGGCGACTGTGTTCGGCTTTGAGATCCTGGTTAATCGCTTATGTAAAAAGACGTTCGTCGCCACCGCTTCGCTATCAGAGTGAAAAAGATTTGGCAGAAAAATCCAGCTCTCTTGAACAAATGCCAACGACCTGAATTTCTGATTTGGACCTTATAGCTACTGGCACGAACATACAACACAACGGACGAATTTAATCAATTGAAAATTCTGATGGATCATGTATCGTCTATATATACAATTCTGAGGGATCAAAATTTAAGAAAATTTTCAAAGGAGAGGTCTTCATGGCGTCACATTAAAGAGCGCGACTGAGTATACATTGTCTTCACTCGCTGTCGACTCGTGCCCGAGCAGGGACCTCTGTTTCTGCGCTAATATTTGCCATTAATGTTCTGATTGAATGAATTCTAAAGTAAAACTCGACTGCAATCTTTAGGGTAGCTTACACGAAATTCGGCCTGAGAATAAAACCTACCTTTGAAATTTGAGCGGACTTAACTCCGCTTGAAGATCTTCATGCTTGCGTGGTTTTCAAAGATGACAATAAACCTTTAAAGATGCTTTATATCGTCTATATTTTTTTCCATCTTACATCATGCTTGAATCCATACGTTCCAAAAAATTAGTGCAGGGAAACAATTTATTTTCATATCTGAATTCGTGTTAATTTAAGTCACATTCACATTTACATTTATGAATCAACTCCAATATTATTCAAATCTGATTTGTTTGAAATTCGCAAATAAATTGTGACATTACACATTACTACAAAATTGATTCGTCCAAAAAGGGAATAATATTCCCAATTTGTGCCTTCATTTCTATTAATTAGAGAATAATCTTCCAGGTAACGTAACACTGTGAGCTAAACTCCAAAATATTCGGAGAAATAAAACTTGCAATTTTTAGATTTTTTACTTGCGGAGAAGCAAAAACTCAATTACACGCATCTCTACAGATTTTGATACCGAAATTTAGTGTTTGGTTAATATCTCAATAACGTATTATAAAATTTATATCTTATTTAGCGCTAGAATTAGCAGTACAATGTCGAAGCAACATAAGGAATCAATCTTAATTAAAATGCTATAAAGTACAAATCATTAAACGTTCTCCGGAAAATCAATTAGGTACATTCCATCGGCCTAAGAAAACCAAATAAGGTTCGAATCGTCGTTTCAGTTTCAGAAAAATATTTAGCTAAATAATTTAACTAATTCCAAATTTATTAAATATTCTCTCCACTTAGGCTGTGTTATACGAGTCAAATGAATGAAGCATTCGTGGGCAGCCTTCAAAAGATAGCCGGCGATTCATTTAGACGCAAAATTTTCATGATTCAAGCCATCAGTCAAAGCAGTTCAATATTGAATAAAAATTCCGCTCAATTTCTCAAAAGACAGGACTTGACATCAAAACATAACCCACATCCTGTAATAAGACTGAACCAAGATTCAGTGTCAATATACTAGTCCATTTTTCAGTATTTTGAAGGCAGTCCCGCAGGTCTGTACTTGTTGAGGTCGCCACCGTTGCGGCCCCAGCGGTTGGCCTCTTGGTCTCTCGCCGAGTCAGCAGCTGAGTCGCCTTTCACCCGCTGGTCAAACCACTCACGGGCGTTACTGTTGAATAAATTTTAATGTCTTAAAATTCATATATTAAACAATTCCTATTTCTCCAAGAATTCCATAAATGGAATAAAAATTAAACATTCCAAATTGGAGTATAATGTTTTTGTTTCATACAATTTTTTTGCTTATGTGCGCAAATTTACGATAGTCCAATTTATGACCAAAGAATGCATTAAAATTTTGTGGGAGTTGAACAATTCTTGAGATGACGTTGGTAGATCAAAAAGCAAGTCTAGCAAGTAATAATAATATCTTAACGACGTTTCGAATGTAACAACATTCATTTTCAAGTTAAAAATAACATTGAATAATAAAAATTTGTTGGACATGAGCACATAATACAAGTAAAAAGGAAACAACACAAAAATTTCAAGCCAGAAAGTCCCCCCGTAAACTGTCACAAAGTTTAGACGAATTGGGCAGTTTTGAAATAGATAGCTGGGGTCCAATCCAAAATGACGAGGGCTCCAGCAATCTTTGGTCGGTTAATGTTGTGCACCTCTGCATGATGACGATGCTGGTGGGTTTCTTCAGCACGGTGCGAGCGAAGGTCTTGTAAGTTTGTCTCAAGGGGTTATCTCTGCCCTCCAGACTGAAGATGGCAGGTGAGGCGGTCTCAATGGCGTGATTGTTTGCCCAATTACTCCAATGTAGTCTAAATGATGAAGAAGCTTAAAACCTTCTTTGATGCAAAATTTATAGACTACACCGTCCTCTTGGAGAACTTTCGCTTTTTGGATGGGGCTATTGTTACGTACAGTCCAAAGTTAATTAGAAGTTGTTGTCAAGGGTATCACCAAGAATATTGAATTCTTCAATGATCTTGAGAAAGTCGCTTGTTTGTAATACTCAATGTGGTAATTGTTAGTCCAATTGCTTCAATGTAGTCGAAATGATGAAGGAGTCTAAAACCTTCTTTGAAGTCTACAAGCTCTTCTTTTGGAATAATTTGGCTAACAACCACAACATCGAGACCGTCTCACCTGCCACCTACAGTCTGGAGGGCAGAGGAACTCCCCTGAGACAAACTCACAAGACCTTCGCTCGCACCGTGCTGGAGGAACCCAACAGCAATGTCGTCATGCAGGGGTGCACAATATTAACCTACCAACGATTGCTGGAACCCTCGTCATTTTGGATTGGACCCCAGCTATCTATTTCCAAACTACCGGATTTGTCTATAATTAGAGATTGTTTGCGGAGGGACTTTCTGGCTCGAAATTTTTGTGTTGTATCCTATTTACGTGCATTATGCACTTGTGTTTAACAAAATTTCATTATTCAATGTTTCTCTTTACTTGTAAATGAATGTTGTTACATTCGAAACGTTAAAATAAAATTATAACTGCTAAGCTTGTCTTTTGATCTACCAACGTCATCTCAAGAATTGTTCGACTTCCTGAAAATTGTAATGCATTCTTTGGTCATAAATTGGACGCGTTTAAACAAGAAAATTCTGCCAACTAATACTAATTTTAACGATAGTTTAAACAAATTATTACGTATAAAAGACTGAAATGTGTTTATGTGTAACGAACTCATTCGGAAAATACAAGAGCATGAGGCATCAGTTTTTCTCATTACCTTAAACATGGTATCGTCGAAAGAATGTCATAGGCAAAAGTGTTTTCAACTATCATTCACTCAGTCAACATACAATGGCATGCGAGTGCGTGACTTCGTTCACTCAGTCAACATACAATGACATGCGAGTGCGTGACTTCGTTCACTCAGTCAACATATACAATGGAATGCAAGCACGTGACTTCGTTCACTCAGTCAACATGCAATGGAATGCGAGTGCGTGACTTCGTTCTCTCAGTCAACATACAATGACATGCGAGTGCGTGACTTCGTTCACTCAGTCAACATATACAATGGAATGCGAGCACGTGACTTCGTTCACTCAGTCAACATGCAATGGCATGCGAGCACGTGACTTCGTTCTCTCAGTCAACATACAATGGAATGCAAGCACGTGACTTCGTTCACTCAGTCAACATGCAATGGAATGCAAGCACGTGACTTCGTTCACTCAGTCAACATACAATGGCATGCGAGCACGTGACTTCGTTCACTCAGTCAACATACAATGGCATGCGAGTACGTGACTTCGTTCACTCAGTCAACATACAATGGTCCATAACATTACCATTGCGTTGAATGTGTCGCTGTAAGCCACACAAAACATTCCCCCGTTCACCTGATTTTCTCGGCCGCCCATCTGCCCCCGGGCCCTCGGTTGGCAGCGTCTTGGTTGCCTCGGGAGTGGAAGTAGCGGTCCGAGTTCTTCCAGTTCGCCTCCCTCATGTCACTGGGTCAAAAAAAGGAAAGAATATAAAAATTTTAATGATTTTCCAATATAATTAATTAAAAAAATTATTGCCTACTTATACATTATGTATAAGTAAGTTTAAGTAGTATTCAGTATGAATACATACGATACAAATATGTGTACAATATGTATACATAAAATATAAGGTAGAATTTAAAAATAAAGAAACTAAACTTTCTAGACTAGAAAAAGTAAATACTTATACATACCGTATTATTGAGAAGTAATAGCACCCACGGTACATGTCATACCTGTACCCACGGTACATGTCATACCTGTACCCACGGTACATGCCTCACCTGTACGCACGGTACATGCCCCACCTGTACGCACGGTTCATGCCCCACCTGTACGCACGGTACATGCCCCACCTGTACGCACGGTACATGCCCCACCTGTACGCACGGTTCATGCCCCACCTGTACGCACGGTACAAGCCCCACCTGTACGCACGGTACATGTCGTACGCACCCCCGATGGCCTCGCCCGGTCGTCTGTACCACTGCGCCTGCGCCGGCAGGGCGACGGCGAGCACGAGAGCGACCAGCGCGCAGAGCACAACCGTGACGCGCATGTTCCTGTAGCACATGTCATGTTATATGAGACATGACAGTATCATATCATAGGTGTGATAATGACATGATCTCTTGATTGAGTCATAATGATGCCACACTTTATATGAGTCGCAATGACATGTAATTTCATAGGAGTTAAAATGATATACACATTATATGAGACGTAATGACATAAAACATCGTATGAGACATAATGACAGAGAAGATTATATGAGATATAATGACGAAGACATCATGAGTCATTATGACTTATCATATCAAAAGATAAATAACGGCATTGAAATTACAAAATATGCAGCTCATTATATATATGGTGCGTCTTTCCACAGATGCACTTTCTGGCAACCAACATCCACACTTCTGAAAAGTGTTATTTAGTCCAGAAGTATTGTTGAGAAGTAACTTTAATAGTTATTGGTGCGAATGTTTCTAAGGACGTGTTGCGCAGAAGTACTAATGATTAATGATATGAATATTTTACGGATAAGGATATCAAGGATAACTCAGTTGGCAACCTCCAGCCTCTAAAATGCATTCAATCAAGAATCTTATTTTCCCAACCCATCCTCATTCGTCAGTACCGGTTCAATCCAAATAGCATTGTAAACTCACCTTGAAAGTTTGCTATGAAGTTCACTAAGTCAAGGACTAGCTAGGAGTGATGATGCCATACTCCTATACCGACATTATATAGTAGTCACCCCCCGTGCGCAGTTAGCTCTAGAGATGCTCAGTCATGCGCGCCAATAATAAGCTGCCTATATTCCACGAAAAAACTTTGCTGAGCAGATCGTTCTGCACTGCCATGGGGAGGGGCAATGATATGCTTCCTAGAAATTTGACGAACCAGGAAAATTACACGCATGATATTGTGGGTTGAAGGTCAGTGAGTGTCGCTGCATGTTACGGATGGAGGGCAGTGAGTGTCACTGCATGTTACGGATGGAGGGCAGTGAGTGTCACTGCATGTTACGGATGGAGGGCAGTGAGTGTCACTGCATGTTACGGATGGGAGGCAATGTGTTGCAAAGACTGTGGTGCTTATAACATAAAGATAGTATATATATTATCAGTTGGTGTCGGCGTATTATAATGTTATTTCTACCAGCATAGCGATGGAGAGGAAACTTCAAGTAAACACAATACTAGCATCATACCGTTCATCCTTACACAGTCGAACGTTAACTGAGATAGGATATTGAATTTTCCGTACTGTTGTTGATAATTAATTCATCAATAATAATTAAGTTATGAGCTTACATTTTTAGCCTCATTAGCCGGGTGTGCAGGCATCGCACAAAAATTAATTGAAAACTGTTTGAAATTTCAACACATAGAGTGAGATTTGGTTTCAAGCATTGCTTATTGCAACCACTGGTAATCTTTAGATTAACTTCAATGAGCAGCATTTAAGACTCGACATAGCTTGTGCTTGCTTAACTAATAACCCCATCTTGTATGCTTGCATTACTAATGACTAATTTAATTAGACTTCGTTCTCAGCATAACTAATGATCCCATCGTTAGCTCTATGTCCTAATACATATCTCGACATAACAATGTAGATGAGCGACGATATACTAATCGATTTTGCTGAACTCTGCCGGCCTGCACCCACAGACATGCATTAGTCATCACTGGCTAGCAACATCCTGCGGGTCGTCGTCACATTGCCAGAACGTTTGTTCGTGTGGGTGTGACGGGAAGCTGGCGTGCGATTATCTGTAATTTGTTAGCACGCAAACGGACGGTCGCACGGTTTATATCACGAAACGTGAAGTTTAAAAAATATTTATGCCCTACCAAATTTTTATTCCATCTAGAATTAAGTTTTCGGTCTCTTATTAAAATTATTTTTGAGCGTAGTTTTCATTTTACTGCAAAACAGACTAACAGATTTGGAGTTTGCATGTACAAGTGCAAGCTAATGGGATAGTCGCCGGTCAGTTGAGACAATTGTTGCAGAAGCGACTCGGTGACTTTAGAATGTTAGATTTAAAATATTCCATTATTTCCTGATATTCAGGTTTATTTTTTCTGAGCTTAAATAGTCAATTTATTTCACGATACGCTATTGACGTATCGATGTTCAAAATTTGCAGCTGGTCTCAAAGGTCATGAAGTACATCAGATACTGTGGAGGCTCCAGTAATTTTTTTATTAGACCTAATAAAAGATGTTTACTCGAGTTAATGCAGGAAATCTATGATTAATAGCCATTCACTAAGAGTTATTGGCAAGTCGGAATATATTTGATGGTTTAAGACGACAATTGCTGCGGATCGCTAGCAAATCGGACTAGCACGTCGAATTGAGACTCCTAATAATGCCAGAGCCTGCATTCTATTAGAGTTTAGATCCATACCAACCTTTTAGGCCAGGAAACTGAGACACATGTTGCAGCAGGTTATATTTGGGCAGCTGAAATCAAGGCGTGCTAATAGGGTTTTCATTAGAGGATTTATTGCAATTTGCATGTGCAAGTTGATATGCAATCGAGGAATAAATTGTTTGCATGCGATTAAGTTCGAGCCAATCAACCTTAATTAGGCCTTCAATGTTTCTACCAAAGTCTCGTAAGAAATGGGATCGGCGTGCACTTGTTATTCGTTCACTAGAGGTTGTTTTTGAGCTGCTGTGTTAATCTTGGCGGTGATCCATAGTTGACCTTCCCTTTCCTAAATGTATCCGTATCTTTCCATCAATCAATTCCATTAATAAAACTTTCTATCAATCACCATCAAGCCTCGCTTCAATCTTCATTGAAGCTTGAAGCGTCAATGAAGCTTGTAAGTTTTTTAATTGCATTGAGTCAATCACGCGTGCGTTCAATGATTGACTTGAGCTCTTGATCGTTTGATTGACGGTCCAGAGCAGAGCCAAGAAGAGGTGTATCTTCTCCAGCATCTTGCAGGCTTGCAGCGGATGCCATTTGGTCTTGCTATGGTATTGTTATTACACTGCCGAAATCTAGTGCTTGTGCGCGGTGGGGTGTTCTGACTTAAAGTCTAGACTCTAGATGCTGTAGTTCATGCAAGGATACGAGGGCTAGGTATTAGGCGAGAGTTGAATCTCCGGCTTCTAATATCCGCGAAAATACAGACATCAGAGGAGCCAGTACCGTTGCCTACAGCTGCTGTTAACGTCTGCCATCGGCTAGCCGTTTACACTCTCACATGGCTGGGTGTAGTTTGCTTCCCGAAACCTTCCGGATGTGTCGACATATTTTTGACATGAAGGGGGATGGAAGTTTTCGAGTTCAGGGATGAAACGCAAGACTCTTTTCGGGCTGCGTGCTCGAGGCACTGGACCAATGCTCTGACTATTTTATTAATTTCTATGCAATTTCACCAACAATGTTGCAACTGCTTTGGAAATGGTGCAAGGTTCATTTAACTTCCCGGTAGGAGCGGGATCAGTCATCATTAGACACGTTGGCGGACTGTTCCACATTTAGAGCGTGCAATTCTCATGACATTTGTGAAGTATTGACCTTCTTGTAAACAGACCAATCGTCGCAAGTCCCTGCAAGTGTGGCAGTGCCCTGAGTGTCTCCTAGTCGGCTATCCTTCTGATACAGCCGGCCTAGTAGGGTAATGTCGTAATGAGTGGGCGTATCTCTACATCTACATCGAGAAGTGATCGCTATCAAATGTGTTGTTTAACGCCGTCCATTTGCTGATAATTAGTTATGTTCTGAATTTTGTGCAGATCCGTTCAGAATGGAGGTACTTTTGAGCTGTTCGGTTGTGCAAAAGTTGCGTTTTGCGTTTGAGGCCGCTGACGAGTTTACGGATAAGCTCGGAGGAATGTCGATCCAGATACACCACTGATTGATGACAGTGTTAAACTTCACTTCAAGGTTAAACTATATCGTCAATCTATGGTTATACTATATACTAGTTCAACCATGTATCACTTTTTGGTATCACACCATGCCGTAAAATACTGAACGCTCGAAACTCTAAAGTCTTGCCAAATCATTGAATTCAATAAAAGTCTTTTTTTTTTATAAATCATAGAAGCAACAATATTTTTTAATACTGATAGCTTTATCAATAAGTGCAAGAGACTCAATTCAACTCAGTGTTGCAAGAATAGAGTTAAAATTTATGACACAGATTGTAATGATTTGAACTCGCAACGCAAAGACTGAAAAGCTGAAGACTGCTGCCATATTGGCGGGCATCGCTTGTTTTGGTTCGCTGTTATTACTTCAACTTTTCAATAACAATTGTCAGTATTATTTTGAAAATGTCTAATATTATTTTGCAAATTTCGGGAATTTTGTGGCATTGTTTCTCATGTTATATCCTATGGTATTTCAGACAGAATTTAGCGATGGCTGACTCTCAGTGTTCAACATCGAGTTTACAACTTTTACGTCATATAAGATGTTAAATTTACGATAAAAATGGTAGGTAATCGGAAGAATAGAGACGTAGGAGGTATTGAGCAGTCTGCATTATCCCCAAGAATTTCTCGTAAGGGTTCCCGAGGAGCGCTTGAAGAACCTGAAGATGAGGTCAGTACGCAATCAGCATCTCTGATCCTTTGCTTTAGTTTACTAATAGACGATTAATTAATTTCATTCCTAAATAAATGAATTGGAAATAAAAAATGAACTTTAAAACTGCATTTGCTTTTGTATATACCTACCTAACTCTGTTCCTGCCTCTAACTTTAGTGACTTCACAAATCACAATCACATGAATGACATGATTTCAGATTTAGAATTCAGATTTCAGGCAGTCAAGGGTGGAATTGGAAATTGGATTAGCTATGAAATTAGCCTATATATCTAATATAGGTATAGGTACCTACTACTAGTCTTGCAGTGAATTTGGTTAGGTTTAGGTATGCTCAAAAATATTTTATTTTATAAATCAATACCGTAAAATGGGGTAACTTAGTCTTAGACCACTTTTATTTTTATAAATGATGCCATTTTTTTACTAGCTAAATTAAACTTGAATTGAAACATGCAAAATACAGGTCTATACTCTAGCTTCACTTTTATTTCTTTTATTTGAAGAATTTTCTTTTTTACCATTGAATTTTAGGTTTGAGAAAGAGTCTGATTTACGGAACAAAACTTTAGTTATATTTCGTTTGAAATTTGTATGAAACTATTTTTTTGAATAGTTATGCTAATAAATAAATAAATTACAACACTTGTTTTGATAATTCATTCTTCTGGCCATGAAAAACGAGTGAAAAAGAAATTTGAAATTAAATTTGTAAATGATCCACCGGTGGTACATATGGCGTTCATTGACAGCTTGTTTTGTGCCACCAGTGGTACATGTGGCGGTTAACGTGTTAATAACCTGGAATATGGTGTGTTTACCCTATTTATGAAGTCCATGCACATGTTACTTTGAATCTCTAATTTTACCCTAAAACAGTCAAATGGCAACAATAACATTTGTCTTTACTGTAAGCTCACTAAGCTAAACACAGGATAGAAAATTCCCTGCTTGTTTCAGAAATCTTGCGGCTCCAATGTGGCAAATTTTTAATACATTTGGAATCTCACGGCCTGATCGTGCAGTTTTGTTAACAATTAGATAGAAGGTAATTCATCTGGAAGAAATCTTGCGGTTCCAGAAATGGGGGGAAAGCTCTAGTTGCGGCCCTAATGGTAGAAGTTTTCCATTCTTGGCTAAACATGTGTTAATGCAGTCTGACTGCTTTGATGTGACCGCAACTATACGCGATCTTCAACAAAACGTTTAGGTTGACTGGTTTTTATTACAATGATTACATTCTGCAGGATATTTTGGTAGGAATGGTAGAGCAATGCTGATAGCAGAAGTTGTAAATTTCATAAAATGACATGTTTGTGAAGTGCAAACCATGATATTTTCAGTCAAACAAAAATTTATGACATTTGAGTGGTAAGATTTCATACCTACTGAAGTTAAATGATATTAGAGCAGCAATATTTCAGAAAAAAATAGAACCATAGGTTGGTAGTAGTGCGCTACATGTAGCGGCCACTACATTTTCAGTAGCAGTAGCGGTATCGGCACTACATTTAAGCAATTATAGCGGTAGCGCCCGCTACATATTCAAGTAGCAATACGAGGGTTTTGCTGCTACAGCGCTATCGCTACATTTATAGATAAAGCCTTTAGATTTTACTTAATAGTATTAAATATTATTTAAAAACCAGCATGATACATACATGATATAAATTATAGAATAAAACTGTACAAAAGATTTCAGTGTAATGTTGTCAACCTCAGCCTGTTACTAGTGTCAACATGTTAGTTGTTACTTGTCAAGTTTTTACCAGTTACCACTTGGTCTTGTTCCATGCCAGCTGCCACCACATGTCCACATCCACATCACGGACATCTGCCTCCTAACTTCAGTTTGCTTACAGTTATTTTTAACACATTTTCTTTTACTCAGCTTCGCGTTTGTCTGTTGTTAACATTGACAACAAAAATTAGCCCACTTCTGATTGCTCTAGATATCTGAAATTTGGCATGCAGGCTATTTTTGCCTAACAATTTCAGATACAATCATAAAAAGTAGCAATTAGAGACCTAAATTAGCTTAATTTAGTAAAGTATATGTATATAGTACTGTCAAATGGGGTAATTTAGACTCCCGGGGTAACTTAGACCACTTTTTGTTTTTTTAACAAAAACCCCCAAAACTCAAAAACTATTTGAAATAGAAAAATTTTGTCAATGAGCATTAAAGGCCTAATACTGAGGCTACATAACACAATAGAAAGATTTAAAAAGTTTGCATATCTAATTGGTTAAAAAATTAAAAATGTGACCCACAAAAAAAAGCTATTATGTATTTAAAGCCTGTCAGAGTACCCCCTCCAATTTTTTTATTTTTTTTTTGTAAAATAACTCCAGGTTTTGATGCATTGTAGTAGAACTCTTCTAGTTACATATGCAAATGACAAATTTTAGGAAAGTGTCATAGTTTGCAAATGGGGGGCGCTGCCCCCAAATGGGGGATCTTAGACCACCTAATGTCAGCCCTGATGGGGTAACTTAGACCGGCTTGGAAGTTGATATAAAATTACCATATATAACATAATTTATGTTCGACAACCTATTAATGTTTTTCTTTGTTTCAGACTCTACAGAATCTCATAAATGGTAATTTTAACTTAATTTCCAAGCCAGTCAATATTACCCCTGGATACCCCATCAGGGCTGCCATTTGGTAGTCACATTTCCCCCATTATGGGGTGGCGCCCCCATTTGCAAACTATGACACTTTCCTCAAGTTTGTCATTTGCATATGTAACTAGAAGAGTTCTACTACAATGCACCAAAACCTGGAGTTATTTTACAAAAAAATATCATTGATTTTACCACCCAGTCTAAGATACCCCAAGAGCTGGGGTAACAAAGACCATCACTTTTTTTTAATTGCATAAAAACTATGAGAGGCAGGAGCCAGCAATTTATGGTGAATGAAGCTAGAGTATAGACCTGTATTTTGCATGTTTCAATTCAAGTTTAATTTAGCTAGTAAAAAAATGGCATCATTTAAAAAAAAGGGGTCTAAGTTACCCCATTTTACGGTATATAAATATAGTATGACGTGCGGGCGCTGATGTTATAGACGAGCAGGCGCTGACGCTGCGTATCATCGATACGTACGTCAAGTCAAGTAAATTGGCTCGCAACTCCGTTTTTCATGTGTAGCAACGGACTAAAAAGGAGAAAATAAAATACTTGAAAAAAAAAACTTTTTAAAAAACACGTTTTTCTTGTGGTCTAAAAAGTAGAAAATAAATTATGGCTCACCCCAAAAAACGTGTGTCGGGCAGATTTATGATTAAAGCAAAAAGCACACAACACACGAATTTTGGAAATTTGATGGCGAACGTACAGCAAAACCCACGTTTTTTGGGGCGAGCCATAATTTATTTTCTACATTTTAGTCCACAAGAAAAACGCGTTTTTTAAACGTTTTTTTGAAAGTATTTTATTACAGTTATTTTTATGGTTCACCTTCCCTACATGGATGTCTACTTTAATCTACCAATCTCAAAAATTATCCACATATATATATATACAGGTTTGGTTGAAGACCAGAGAGTACTTTTTATTTACGATTTTCTTATTGTTCTTTTCGATAAGCCGAACGAAATTTCTAGCTGGAGCTTGGAGATCAAAAAGTAGATTACCGAATGACATTTTATTGCAGTGCGACGTTTCGAATATATCAATATTCATTATCAAGNAGAGCTTTCCAGCAAATCACTTGAGAGGTTAGGGACTAGGGAGCGTGGGACAGCAATTTATACAGCACCACACTTTAGAATAGTTTTTGGCATAAATTTATGTAATCAATTACTGATCTAAACCTGACCTGAAAAGAATGAGAATTATTTTAGTTGAATTTATAAAATAGTTAAACACTTCAATATAAACACACAGTAACACACATAAGAGGGAAAAATGGGACAACATATAAGAGGAACAAGAGGGTGTGCTGCAAAGTAGCCTAAACCACCCCCGCCAACAACGTAGCATGTTGCTTGATTTTACCCCAAACAACCCAATTTCTTCCTATGAACAAGAACAACCTTTTTGCCCTATATCTTGCTATTTGCATTCTCTCACAAATCACATCCTAACTAACAGTCGTAATTCCTACTCTTATTTTGTTTGTAGTTCACAATTTTTTGATGAAAATTTTTGGTATTCGAGTTTAAAATAATTTTTTTCTTTTCAGATATACTGGGACAGTGATGAGGTGAAAGAAGATTGCTCAAGATTATCAGATGCTGCTTCTTTTAAAACACTTCCTACTTCTTCTGAAATGAAGCGTATCAAAGGTTAGCTCTCGAGTTCAGTGTATGATCATTCTGGGTTGGGAAGTGTCTTTACTGTGGAACCTGTGTTGCATCTGTAACCTAGCCTCTGGGCCTTCATGATAGTTTTTGTTCATTTTAATTCTTTCTAGCTCTGTTTTATGATTATTATGATCAGTTGGGAGCAAGTTCCTCTCTAGGCCAAGTAATAATTTCTGAAGTATATAGAAACTCCCGATAGTTACCTGGATTGTCCCTTGAGAGTAAATTAATCATAAATAACTTTAAGATCAATGTTGCTAGTGAGTTTTATTTTCTTTTGTAAGGGACATCTTGCTTGTTCCATCAAGCTACTAATGCTAAAACCTGTAATTTGTTCACCTTGTATTTCCATCAGTCATGCTCAAACAAACCTCCCTTGACTTACTTGCAACCAGTGTTCTGGTGGTTTGGCATATAAATGTGATCACCAATTTCACCATACTTAATATACTGAGCTTTAAAATTTATTATATCATCAAAACCTGTAAGTTCACTTAAATAGACTTGTATATCACTTTGAAGATACGAATTTATTTATACTTCTCAGTCTCCATACATCATTGAAAATTTTCAATCATTTTTCTTGTATCATCCAGAGATTGTTATCTTAAGTACCTGAAATGATTCTTATGATGAAGTGAAGCCATAGGTATAAACATTTTTTATATTACCAACAGGAAAAGGAGCTACTAGCTCCAGCAAATGTTCCCCAACATCCACCAATGTAACGGCATTAGATCAAGGTAAGCTGTATGAGTTGTTGTATGGGAATGTCCAAGTTTATGTTCATCACCATTTGTAGCGTCTCTGATAAAGAATTTTTTTTGTGTTTGAATGTTTATTATGTGGTGTCACTCCATGAGTACAGAACACTTGTTTTTGAGATATTTAAAGTCAAGTTTTTATCTTAAAGTCAAGTTTTATCAAGCGCCTTAAACTCTTGACAAGTCCCAATCTTGTTTGAAACTTACCTACCTTATATACTGTCTGAAATAGACTTCACACTAAATGGGATAGGATTAATAAATACAAAACTTGCCGTAAGGATTGTTTTAGTACAAAGTTTTTTGATAAGGAGCATTGCAAACTGCTCTGGTGAAATAATTTATTCTATTGATTATAGAAAATTTCTTGATGCCGTAGATTGATACTGATTATATATAAATAGATTGTCTGGAGGTAGTAGGGATAATGCTAGGATCCATACATTCTATTTCACTTATTTGTAGATTCTTAGAAATATGCATGTCCAGTAACCAGACTCGAGGATTGGTTAAAACAGTGGCTGTTTAATTTCATGCTCACCTGGACCCATCAGTTGTACGTGAGTTACGCACTCGAGAGTTTAGTGTTTGGGTGCCTCGTGTTAGTAGCAAGAGAATTTGCAAGCCTGTGTGGCCTTTACGTGACCGTCTCTTCTATGCACGTTCAGGTATTTTGTCCCAATCATTTGCTTTTTCTTTTTTAAGAAGGATTGTTGGTCACAAAATTTGATCAATGATGGCAAGAATACTGTCATCAATATTATCATAACTTATGTTACTGAATAGTTTTTACTTAAAATGCATAATTTTTCATATGTTGTCACTTCACTCTCCTGTATTTCAGCATACAGTTATCATGCTATTTGAGTAGTATCTCTTAACCTGTCCTATCATTTTTTTTAGATCCTTCATGGAACTGTTTTCATGATTCCACAAATTTAGTTCCAAAAAACACTTAGTCACCCTTTTGCTTGCTCCTTCTATCTCAATCACGTCAGGAACATATTGAGTGGAACAACATTCCAGAGAATTTCTCGCTGGCAAAGCCTTGTAATTCTTCCTCCCAACAGAAGACAGCTCTTCTAATGAAGGTGAAGAGCGTAGGCCCAGGAAACATAAGGGAAATATCATGAAGAAGTTGCCAAAGAAACACCAGATTAAAAAAGAAGAACATAGCATCGAGACTGTTGATTACGAGCTTCAAAAACCCCAGAAGATGAAGTCTAAAGCAAAAAAACGCATGGTTGAAGCTGATGATATGCGTAATGAATACTCGGCCTCACATGAGCAGACAACCACTGCTGGTGAAGCGTCGGAGGTCACGTTTGAAAGAATGGAGATAGATTTTCAGGTTAAGAAAGAATTGAGAGATTTCATTGCTGCTCAAGACACAGAAATGGAGTCAACAAGGAGCTTGGTGGCTCCCGCTGAAAATGATTCACCACATGTTGATGTTGATGACTCGCCACGTGAGTGCATTGCTAAAATCTCCGCAAATTTATTGATGTTTTTTACTGATTTTTAGAGAATTTACTGATGTGTTTTTATACCCATGTGATTGTTTGTTTGTTTCACAGTGTTTGTGAAACAATCATGTGATTGTTTGTTTCACAAAACAAACAATCATGTGATTGTTTGTTTGTTTCACAGTGTTAAATTTCTAACCTGAATAGACAACATGAACTTATGCACTTCTAACCTGAATAGATAACTAATGCAAAGTATTAGCTAATTTGGTTTGTGCGTGCAGAAGTGCGGGGTGTAAAGCGTGAACGACGGCGACGCAAATCTTGGCTGGAGGAGCGGCGTCGAGCGCGAGGACTGCCGTCCGCAGCGTCCGTCAAGGCGGATAAAAAGGAGATGTACGTAATTATTATGGACATTTAGGGTAAATAATTGTGGTAACGAGGGCAGGAACTTTCTCACGCTGCATGTATGCATTGGAGAATAACATAATAAAAGAATGAAGAGAATGGGAAGAATTTTGAAATTTTTGAAGCGTGATCATACTGCACTTGAGGACCAGGGTTTGTGATTTTTTTTATTTAAAAAAAAATCAAAAAAATCAAAAATCAATGATTTTTTGATTTTTTCATGATTTTTTTGATTTATTTGATTTTTTTTATTTTTTTCAGCTTTTTTGTCTTTTTTGAAGTGTTATTTTTTATGTTGCAATTAGCCTACTAACAATAACAGTATATGGGTCATAATGGATGGCTAAAAAGGGCACTTATTGCCTTCAATAATGGCCAAGGTGGTGTTTACCACTTAGGGATTTTTGGGTAAACAATTATTGATAAGTCTATTCATTAGCTTTGTAAAGTTTGTATGGAGCAAGGTAACGAGCTAAATATTGACCATTTAACTGGCTTCACTATACAACAACACTTCGGGAATGCAGATCTTCTAAACATTGAAGAGTCACATAACAGATAGGTAGCTGATAGCACAGTGCACAGCACTATCAATAGATCTACTAGTTTTATGTCCTATAAATCTACCAGACTCTACCTTCTATATACTTTATACTTTACCCTCTCTATATATATTTTATATATAGTCTTATAGTTGTAATTGTTTTGTTTCTAGTTTTAAATTCACATATTTAAAGATTGAAATAAAATATTTTAATTAGAATACTCGTATTAGGGTGAAAAATCATTCTAATTGCCTAAAAGGTCAATACAATCTCAACCTCTCAATATACAGGGTGGGGCAGAATCGATTGAGCAGTTTTGAGGTAAAATAAAAGAGTAATGAAGGTACATAAAGAAGAAAGTTTATTTTCCTAGAGGTCAGCATAACATACCATTGAGAATACTTATGTTTTGAAAACAATATCTGGAAGATGGGGGCCGTTAGCTGCAACACACTTTGGAGTCATTCTCAGAGGAGGGAGTAACCGTAACAGTGAATTCTGATCGCTATGCTGCAATGTTGCAAAATTTCTTGCAGCCCATGATGGAAAACATTGTTGAAAATGAAACATTGGGAGACGTGTGGTTCCAGCAGGATGGGGCTACAGCTCACACAGCCCGAATGTCACTCAATGTTTTGAAACACATGTTCCCAGACTCTGAGGGGTGATTTACAGTGGCCTGCGAGGTCACCTGATTTGAGCATTTGCGATTTCTTTCTTTGGGGACATCTAAAAGAAAGGGGTTAAGCAGTCGCCCTCACACCCTACCACAGCTAAGGCTGTGAATTTGCTGTAGAAAACTTCCGAGAACGACTCCAACAGTGTGTTGCAGCTAACGGACACATCTTCCTGATATTGTTTTCAACACATAAGTATTTTATATATATATGGTATGCTATGCTAATCTTGAGGAAAATAAACTTTCTTCTTCGTGTACCTCCATTTCTCTTTTATTTCGCCTCAAAACTGTTTAATCAGTTCTGCCCCACCCTGTATAATAAGCTAGCTAACACATTTAAATTGTATATTGTAATCAATATATAACAAGTAGTCAAATAGTTAAAGACCGCTTATAGCCTTATAAGAATTAGCTAAGCTGCTAGCTACGTACAATGTATTGCACACTTGATGCCTCTGTACCAAAAACATTGAATTTATTGGAACCTAATACACACTAAAGGCAACAAGTTTATATACCAATTTGTCACTCATAGTACATTTATACTAAACCATGAATAACAATATCTCAATATAAATTAAAGACTGCCACTCAATATATTTAAATATATGAAAAAATAAAAAAAAAATCGAAAAAATAAAAAAAATCATGATTTTTTTATAAAAAAATCAAGTGATTTAATCACATGATTTAATCATTTTGATTTAATCATTGCCAACCTTGTTGAGGACCCTAGTGACGTAAATATATTGAAGATAAGAAGCAGAATCGAACCAAACTTCTTATTTCGTTGACCGATGAATATAACTATTTGTACTGGTGAAAACCTCACGTTCTGATTTAAATAGTTTTTGAAGGTAATGGAAGTTGTAATTCTCACCTTAACACGAGTGCAATAATCAGAGTGTGGAGTTTAGATCAGCTTGTGGAACCACGTGGTCATGAGCAAAAATTCCAATGCTTTTATGGAATTATTGGATTTTACCTAACTACGATGTAGAAAGGTTTGAACTTTCCTTTGGTAGCTATTTTATGGCTTAAAGCTTTAAAGGCCCTTACTTAATTCACGCGGTATCCGAGATACTTGAATGGTATTTACGCCCACTGAGCTCCAGCTCTGCTTTCATTTAGTGATCAGATGTGTTGAGCATTGTTGCGTATAAGGATATAACATTATAAGCTCAATCTAACATACTGTAAACTTGATCGTGCGCCGGATTCGCATTCTGCAACGAATGCAACGACCATACGTTATCAGATCTTTCACATGTGCTTCCCACCAAAAGAGGTAAAAACTGCAACCAGCTACAGTATACCGGTAATTGTGCTTGTGAACCAAGTTACTGCTCATGCCTTACTGACCTCGTCATGTTATGCTTATCTAAAGGCTAAACGATACCGTGGTGATGGCGTTTCTTCCCGGTGCTTCCTCTCTCTGTAGGATCTCGTGTTGTCAACTTTCTCCCGCATGCCTGATCATCGGAGACTTTTGCGCCAATAATAAATGATGAACACTTCACCGAGGTTGTGGAACTGCATCCAATGAGGAGAATGTTGCTGGATCTGCCGCTGTGTTGCTTTCTTTCTTTCTATTCGGTTCATCTGCTTTGCCCTGGATCTACAGCCCAGTGGATGCTGGTACAATCATCAACTCTCTTAGTGCCGTACTATTAATTCATTATTGAACGTAACTCAACCCCTTATTCAAGTTATTGCGGTCATGCACGTACGGAACTTTCCGCTAGCCAAAGATTTTTAATTTTAACTGGATTACTAAGGAGGGGATTCTCATATAGCTGGCAACGACGTTATTAATGAGTACACAACGCTGGAATAATTGCACCGTCACCGAGATCTTTACTCTGTTTATGCAGGAAACTTCTTAATGAGTGGAAAGAAAAATAGAAGTAACTAGTTTTGAAAGTAAAGAAGGGGTATCACCGAACCTTGTCACTACGAACGACTTATGGAGGGGTCTCTCAATCGCTACTCTATTAGATAACCATTTTCGTCCATGTTAATCGAGCCAGCTCCTCAAAGCATGGACTTTTAAGTGCTTCTCTATTAATACCTGTATTTTTTGTAATGCTCTCTTCAAGTATTTGCTACTACCTTGTACATCCTTTGAGCTAAGCTTACTAAGGCGCACACCGTAGGACTAGTATCTTTACTTAGCCAGAAAATGGTGCTTATGACATTGACTTTCTTTATGACGCTCGAGTGTGATAAATGTATTCGACGGTGTTTGACCCTTTGAGCACCGCATGCTCGTGATATTTTGATCAGTACACCGCTGTGCCAACGCGACATTTGACGTGAGATAGCTCAATCTAAAGTGCTATTAATTGCGGCCAATGAACTAACTATCCCAACATTCGACAGCACGGAGATCAAGAGGAATAATTCAAATTAACTGTGTAAATTCAATTATGTGTGCATAATTAAATTATGCACGAGATCGTGCATGGAAAAGTAGTGCTGGGCAGGAACACTGTCACCGCGGTAGCGTTTAGGCTTCGGATGAGGATAATACCTGCAGTTACGAACCAGTCCCAACTCCACACTCTAAATATTGAACTCGTATTCCAACTAACATGATTATTAAAATTTTCTTGCGTCTTCTAACTTACCGTACCCAAGCAAGAGGTCACGTTTTCACTACTGTCTATGTTTATTTGTGGTCCTTAACGAGATGCCTATTTAAGGGATACTTCCTAACTCTTGTACATTGTCGGTAATAGAATCCTAAAAATTATCTAGATTGGAAAATAGGTATGTATGATAGGATGAGATGTTCGACCATAATATACCGTTAATAGAGTGGAAACAGGTTCAGTAACTCATCTTGCTTCCATTTGTTTCAGGTACGAAAGTGAAGACGACGGAAGTGACCGAATTAATTTTGGGGTTCCAGGTAATTTATTTAATAATACCAATTTTGAATCATTCGTATTTTTGACAATAATGAGTATTAGTCTCGTGTGTCAATGATGATGTATCTTAAGTATTAGTGTTAAGCCATTGATATGTGAAATAGTTTTGTTTTAACCACCACTGGTTTATGTAAGAATTTCTCATTTGCTGCATGATGTGTTGTTTTTTCGTAACTGACTTACCAATAATTTTCTCGGCTATAGTTATTTTTGTACAAGAATGTCTCCTCTAAACATTTTTATTCAAGATCCCAGTTGTAAGGTTTATTATATTGATGACGTAATGAATTATTTACAGGTAGCCGCAGACGCCGTCCTATAACGATGCCTCTTCGTTATCAAGAAGATACTGAAGAGGAGGAGGAAATAAGCCGGGGCGCTGGCAGACCTCGTGGCAATAAAGGCAAATGTCGTCTTTCTGCCGCCACTGGGAAGACGTCCAAGAGCCCACGACAAGCCAAGCGACGTATTTCCCATGCCACGAACTTCGACAGCCCGCGAAGGCTGAGACCCAAACCAATGATGGCAGTGCGCAGGAAAACCTCTATCTTGAGCTGTGAAGAAAACGAGGATGATGAAGAGGAAGAAATCGTCATGAGTGGACGTGGGGGTAAAAGACGTAGCCGCACTGAGGCGATGATGAGTGATGATGAAGATGAATATGATCCCCATCGAGTTTCTAAGAAAAAGAAAGCTACCATAGTTCTGAATGCTGCTCAACGTAGTAAACATAGAAAACAAGGCAAACAGGAGGGTAGTAAATGCAAGCCTCCGCCTCCAAACGAAGAAGGCGATGATAATGAAGAACTGGAGCTGGAGGAACCTGGCTCGGATGCCAAGCGAGGTAATATTACCATAATATGCCTGATGCCAGGTTATCGTTGAAATGAAAACGATTAATCTTATAACTATGCGATAAAAGGAGCTGTGCCTAATATAAAAAATCCAGTATTATGTTCTGTTTGCTTAGTATTTTATTTGATATTGGCATATGAATCATTTCCATCTTCATATTTTCTATGATGTTTTGGTTGAATATGTTGTAAGTACATTACTATATTTATGTGTCAGATTAAATCGAATCTCACGTACAAATTTATTTTCGTAGAAGAAGACCACGCCGAGGCTTCTAAGAGCGTCTCGCCGAGACGCCTGCGCCATCAGCCTACGGCTTGCATCGCCACGGCTCCCGAGTCTGAGGACAAGGAGGAGGAGGACAGTGAAGAAGTCCTACCACGCCGCCGCCCTGCATCATCACGTCGCCTCAGGGGGTCTGACTCCGTCCGGATAAACAAGAACGTGAGAACTGCCTACATTCTTCTTGTGCATGTGATAGCGTCAAATTTTATTAGGTCCTGCTGGCTTGTCGCCGATTCTAAACAAAATTCGCTAGTTGCGTGTTTCAAAACTCCAACTCACTACTCCCTTATTGGTGATGTTGAACACTCGGGCCTCTCGAGCGGCCTGTATTTGTTTTAAATGTCAAGTTAAGTCTAACATTCCTAAGCTTTAACTTAGATTTGCAAATAATTAGAGTGAAAAAAAATGTCATGAGAAAAGTTGATTTCAGCGTAATTAGAATAGGAAACTTGGCCATCATGAAGAAAACATTGTTAAGCAGGATATTTTTCTGCTCGATTATCCCATAAATGTAATGAATATTTTCGGCGTCCATTCATGATTCATCATTATTTACTATAACTACAGTGCCTCTTCCTCGAAACTCTGTTTCTATATTTGTCACTAATTTGTTGTAGCCATTCGTATGTTGCAGCCGAGTTATTTATTTGTATCGGTACACGTGTCATAGTGATGAAGTTTAGTGCACAACTTTTCATTCCCGTGTTTCAGAGCGTTGGCAAGAAGCGCCGTTCTCTCTCCAAGAACAAATCCTCGTCATCTGAATCGTCGTCGTCGTCGTCGTCTGAGGCCGATGATGATGACTATGAGGAGAAAAAATATGCCTTGAGAAAACGCATCCACAAGAAGAATCGAGGTTGGAGTTAATATAAGAACCGCATGCCTCAGTTGGTGCCCACACTAGGGAATTAGTTCGTTAGCTGTAGCAGGGATTATTTGTTTGCTTAATTTCAATTCAACTCATAGTTAGTAGGTAAAATGTGTTTACTGAAAGCTGATCTTAACCCTCCGATGTTTAAACTGTGACTTTGATCACTTATTCAGCAATTTACAGGAAATTCTATTTGATCTTTTCCAATGCGATCAGTTTGATATTAACAAATTCATGTAACTGGTCTTGATTGATTTAGTAATTACAATTATTCGCTAATCCATGTTTTAATATTTTGGTATCATTTTTTTATACTTGCTATATGTGTGCAGTTTTACGGGAGCGTGGTGCCCGTCATAGGTCTCGAGTGTCAGCTTTCATGGGATCGCCAGCCCGCAAACCTGTCGCCTTCAAACACAAGGTCAACTCCTCATCACACAGTTTTCTTGATATTAAAGTTTGACATTTAGACCGGTATATCCGTATTAGGTAAATATTTTTCATGGTGAATCAATTTTCACAGTGATAATAATATAATAAAATACATGTAATTCTCAATGTAACCGTGCGTTTTTTACTTCAGACTACGCACAACAAGAGCTCGACTAGCAAGAGCAACAGCAGCAGTGATGACGAGCACAGGTTTGAGGAGCGTCGTGCCAGGAGCAACGCTAAGGCGCGCAGCACTCTCTTGCCCATGAACATGAATGAGGAAGACATGCAGCGCGGGGTTATTAGGTTAGATTCTTGACTCGTCATTCCAACGCGTTTGACTTTACATTTGTCTTTAAAAATATACTTAAACGTTATGAATAACTATCATCATGAATATTAATTGACGTTTTGAGATGCGTTTTCGTTATTTGTTAATTTTTCTTTTATGCATGTTTATTATGTATACTCTGTGTGCCAGAACTTATTCAGTAATATTATCGGCAGTGTTCTTCATATTTCACGTGTTTTTAATATTTCAGGGAGCGTTCGAAGATCGGCTCGAGCTTGGCGGATGTGGAGCCGATGTCCATTGATCGGGACATTACCTTCAGTAATGTTGGTGGCTTGAACCATCACTTGCGCCAGTTACGAGAGATGGTTGTCCTGCCTCTGCTCTACCCTGAAATTTTTGAGAGATTTGGAATGACGGCCCCAAGAGGTGTTCTCTTCTATGGCCCTCCAGGTGATATAGACAGCTAGGTATATTTTTATTTCATCTCATGAAATTATTATTGAAACGAAGTATTTACCAATATGTTTTTTTTTCACTAAGCAGTGAAGTGAATCTCGTCGACTATACATTAAAACATATCAAAAACCCTTGGTATTTCGCTTCTTTAATGATTTAGTATCGGATCATCAGACACCACCCTTAGGTGGTCTTCCAAAGGGTTCATTACATTAAGCTAGTATATGTATGCTTGGCTCGTCTCGGATTGATTTAAATTACATCATGCTTATTAATTGACGTACTAATGTTTCAGGGACTGGAAAAACATTGATGGCTCGAGCTCTCGCAAACGAATGCAGTATTGGAGAGAGAAAGGTTGCTTTCTTCATGCGAAAAGGGGCGGACTGCCTCAGCAAGTGGGTGGGCGAGTCCGAGAGACAGCTTCGACTTCTCTTCGATCAGGTTTGTACTGATTTAGCTGCAAAATTTCCTTTTGCTTGATGATACACCACTTTTAGTATGAATTTTTGTTCTCGCTGGTAACGGAGATGTCGCCAAATTAGAAAGACTTAGAGAACATTGGATCAATTGTGAACTATTTTACCATGAAAGTTTTTATACGATATGCATAAATTGTGTACAATTTTCGTGAATAAACTATATATTCTACCATACATTTTCCACTTTAAGAAATTTCCAGCCTTTTTATTGAAATCGTTTCAAAATGTATACCGTCAAACGGGGTAAAAAGGGACGATTTTGAGCGTTTTTTATTAATAACTTCTTACCATGAAACATTCCTAAACAAGTTTGGGCTCATTTTAAAGGTCTTTGCAAGGGCTCTCGTATGGCATCTCCAAAAAAATTCCATATGCTATTTATAAGGTGCTAGACGCATTATAAAAGGCTCCTGAATTAATCTGGAAATGGGGTAAAAAGGAACACTTGAAATAAAACTCAATTTTAAACATCTGAAGCATGCAGAGTGTACTCATCTATTACTAACAGTACTCTGTAGTCCTTCTCTTCCTTTGTAGATGATGTAAATGTAGAATAAATGAAATTTTCTGCGATTTTTACTTGGTTTTTCTTCATTGATATAATATTACCTTATCCATACATTACCATATTATTAATGTGATATTACTGTCTCCATGGACATGCCATTGAGCATTAACAACGACCTTGTCTACTGCAAGCTTCATATCAGCAGCCATGTAGCATTTTTTCTGTATCTGTAAGCTTACAGGATGGTTTGTAATTTCGCACAATTTTAATCGAGTCAAGTGATTTCACTATAACAAAAAAGATTGTAAAACATACCTGAAACGGGAAGGAATATTTTAGTGACAACCATCATATTTTTTGGAGAAATAAATCATAGTTTAGGTTAATTACTTTTCATTCTTTGTTGCCCAGTGCGGCAGTGCTCAATTCTATCTTTGACATTCTATGCACAATTTTGTCATGACTGATGCAGTAATTTTGTATTAAGTGAAATTTTTTTCACTGAGCGAGGTAAATATCATTAACTGGAGCCTTTGCTTACCAAGGTTCTACTGAAAATCCAATTTTAGGGGTGTCCCTTATTACCCCGTTTTGCGGAAATGGCTGCCATTTTCTCTTAGAATGAGATATGCAAATTCTTTCAATAACGTTTTTAAGCCAACACTAGTGTGCAACTTTTCTGTAAGTAAAATTTTTCAATACTACAAATATTTTTTCTGCTACAGACCTTAGCGGAGGTACTTTTCCAAAATCTCACTTTTCACACTTTTTTTCAGGGATTTTTTAGAGGTGATAAATGTATGATTTCTCAACTTGCTTTATGCTGCATAGATTTTGTTTTTAATTGATTTTTTCATTAACTGGAGCCTTTGCTAATCAAATTTCTACTGTAAATGCAATTTTAGGGGTGTCCCTTATTACCCCAGGTGGGTGTCCCTTATTACCCCGTTTTGCGGAAATGGCCACCATTTTTTCTTAGAATGAGATATGCAAATTCTGTCAATCACGTTTTTAAGCCAACACTAGTGTGCAACTTTTATGTAAGTAAAATTTTTCAATACAACAAATATTTTTTCTGCTACAGACCTTAGCAGAGGTACTTTTCCAAAATCTCACTTTTTGCACTTTTTTCAGGGATTTTTTAGAGGTAATAAATCAACTTGCTCTATGCTGCATAGATACCGGTAGTAAAAATGTTAAACTTTACACCACTCTTTTTAGTTTTGCAATATTTTTATTAGTTTAGCTGCTACTACATTTCTACAAAATGTGGGAGGACTGTCCCTTTTTACCCCGTCCGTCCCTTTTTACCCCGCCCGTCCCTTTTTTATTAGTTTAGCTGCTACTACATTTCTACAAAATGTGGGAGGACTGTCCCTTTTTACCCCGTCCGTCCTTTTTTACCCCGCCCGTCCCTTTTTTACCCCGCCCGTCCCTTTTTTACCCCGCCCGTCCCTTTTTTACCCCGCCCGTCCCTTTTTTACCCCGCCCGTCCCTTTTTACCCCGTTTGACGGTAACTTCTCGTACTGTGTTTATACAGCGTTCAATTTGTTACCAGGCGTACCAGCTGCGTCCGTCCGTGATCTTTTTTGACGAGATAGACGGTCTCGCTCCCGTGAGATCGTCTCGACAAGACCAAATACACTCGAGCATCGTGTCCACATTGCTGGCCCTGATGGATGGCCTGGACTCGCGGGGGGAGATAATCGTCATCGGTGCTACCAACAGGATTGAGGCTATCGACCCAGCACTCAGGAGGCCTGGGAGGTTTGATCGAGAACTCTGCTTCCCTTTGCCGTCTCTCCAGGCAAGTCTGAGAAATTGCGGTACATAAAGTGTAATATTACGTTTTATAAATCTAGTATTTCGTGTGGGTTATCAAAAGAAGGGATTAACTGTATAACATAATTCGTTCTCTTAGTTGGATAGATTTGTAAAAATGTTTAAGTGGGGCAGTTTATTTACTGGATTCAAATAAAGGCTAAGTTGTATTTATGGATTGATGTTCAAACTAGATATGCACTAATTTGTAATATATACGTTCACCAGATGATAAAATTTCTTTGTGTTGAAAATTCTCAATCTAGGTAGTGCTCGAATCAAGAGAAATTTCTGTATTTTTGTAAGGAAATGCCGGAGTACATTATTTTGTTGAGGAAAAGTTTTTTTTTATGTTTTCATGTATTTCACCCCTAAAGTTGAAAATATGTTATAATTATTTTTCATCTGAATTGTCACTCAATTCATTTGCATTATCATATTGCAAATCATTTGCAGGCTCGCAAGCACATTTTATCCCTGCACACGAGCAAGTGGCAACCTCCGCCGACCGATAAGCTGCTGAATTACCTAGCGGATCAGACATCGGGGTACTGCGGAGCTGACCTCAAGAGTATGTGCTGCGAGGCCGTCCTTGCCAGTCTTCGTGAACGTTACCCGCAAGTCTACGAGTCCACCGTCAAACTTCAGCTTGATGTCAATTCTATCAACGTAAGTGGCCTTTACGAAACTGAAGTGTCTGCCACTTCATTTTTTTAAATTATATTTTAAACTATTTTTATGCTGAGCTACTGTACCTTGATGCCAAGTATAATTGAATTTATTAATACGGCATTTCATAGTATAAAAGACCAAACATTGTGTCTTGGAAATTTTTTTTACACCATCTATTTGGATGATATGATCATCAACATCATTTTTGTATGTGCCTCTATCCCCATGTAACAGTGTTAGGATATCATTTAGAAATATTAACTTAACGTCTTTCCTAAGTGAGACAGTTCGTAATCTTTCTTGGCAGTTTATTCTGTTATGAATGTTGTGCCCTTCAACTCCCATACTTAAAGATTTTCTAACCCTATTATCCGTGTTGAAAAACTTCATTTTTCCTGTACAGTAATTCTGTTTCAAAATTTTTCCTGTACAGTAATTCTGTTTCAAAATTTTTCCTGTACAGTAATTCTGTTTCAATTTTGATGCTTCAGGTGCGACTCCATCACTTCCGCAGCGCTCTGGGCCGCATCGTGCCCGCGGCGCAGAGATCGCGAGGCAACGTCGGGGAACGACTTCGACCTGAAGTTCGGCCACTATTCCAGGCGACGTTGCAAAAAATATTGCACCACTTATCTCAAGTACGTCAAGTGTATTTTTTAGCAAATAGTTTTATTGCACTATAATTTATTTCTTTTGATATTTAGGTATATTGCGAATGATCTCATAAAGTATGAAACTGACCTGGCCTTAGGATTCAAGGACCAGCATTATTTTTTAATAATATTTTGTTCCTTTAACTCTATATTGTGATCATTATAATCTATAACACATTTCAAAACCGCTGAACCAAAGTGAAAGTTTTTTTACTTTTAATTGGGAGGGCGACGGCATGACTTGAGTTTTCCTTGCAGAGTTTCCCACATGGCCTGACTCCAAACAACAGCGGTCATCGTCGCGTGCTCTACTCGAGCTTGACTTACAGACCACGCCTGTTGATATCAGGCAACGGTGATCAGGGGCAGAGCAGTGATTTGGGCCCGGCTATCATACACGCCATGGAACGCGTGCCTGCACACGTACTCGACCTTGCATCGCTCTATGTTAACTCCTCTCGAACTCCTGAGGAGGCTGTCACGCAAGTACGGTTTATTGATGTCACTTAGTGAGCTTGTTGTCTAGCCGCATGCATATTTCTTTATCGGCGATTATGCATTGTTGTCCGTTTAAACAAATGAAACTGAAGTGTTCACTTAATCATTTTGGATAAAAAAGGGATACCGGTACTCTTCAATTCCTTAATTATAGTAAATTTTATTCGATATTCCATTTGATGTGCTCACTCCATCTTAGTTAGGATCTAAACTCGTTTCTTATTATATATCTCATGAAGGTTTTTTTGTCAACAGATATTCCACGAAGCGAGTTCACGTCCTCCATCAATAATTTTTATGCCTCGCGTGGATTGCTGGTTTGAGTCAACGGGCGAGTCCATCCGGGCGACCTTCCTGTCACTTCTGGAACACCTGAAACCCTCCACTCCGGTGCTGCTTCTGGCGACCACTCACAGACCTCTGGCTGAAGTCGATCCTAGAGTGAGAACTTTTACTTGAGATTTACCTTATCATTTTTCTTTTTTTGCGTGTTAGTTTGTTTTCTTAGATTCCTATGTTAGGAGACCAAACAGAAGAACATTTTACTTTATTATTTAACTTCATTATTTCTTCTGGCATTATTTATGTTGGTGCAAAATTTGTTATTTATCTTTGCGAGCTTTTGTCTCAGTTAGTCTTCATATTTTGCGTTAATTGAAATTCAGTTTGCATAGTGGATGTGCTGTATTTGAAACTTAGCTAATTCATTGATTCTAAATTTCTAGGCCTCGGAGCTTTTCAACACATACAACGGAGAGGTGATAGCATTAGGCAACCCAACCCGAGAAGAGCGTGAAGAATTCTTCAGACCGCTCTTCTACAATCACATGGTCAAACATAAGAAGGTAAGATCGCATTCAGGTTTATTTTCCTTCGAAACTATTTAATTTCTTGTCGGACGAAATTAGTTTTTCTCGCCAAACTCAATAATTCCATTGGATATTATACCATATGTAATAAATTGCACTACTGACATAAACTCGATTTAATCACATATCAGCTGTTGCTTATTAATTTTGAAGGAAACTAACAAGCTAATATTCACTTATCAATAGCATTTCATGCTGGTTTTCAGTTTGTGGAGAAAGCTCTCCTTTCAATACAAAATTTTTCGTCATTGCCTCTTTGTGTTAACTTTTTCGAGGTAGCGTAGCGATATTTAGCGCATTTTCTCATCAATGGTAAAAATGTCCTATTATGCTCGTCATGTCCGTCCGTCTGTTCGTGACTTCATGTTTTCGTCGACGAGAAAATGCCCTTTCTGTCACTCACTGCAGTGAGTACTGAGTTCTATTTTATCATGTTTTGCTTCAGGCGGTAGTACGGAAGCGTGTGCTAGAGACGCTACCGATCGCTCAAGTAGCTGTGTCGAGGGAGCTGAGCGAGAAAGAGCTTCAACGTCTCATTGAACTGGAGGAATCCAAGCTCCGAGAACTCAGGATATTCCTGAGACAAATTTGCGCCAAGCTTGCGCGAAACCGACAGTGAGTTAATCACAATTTTATGGTAATTTCATTTGAATGTTGGTATAATTAATTCCTTGATTAGCTGCTGAATTAGTTAAGAGTTTGTGTGAACGGCAATTTGAAACCGTTGCGATTTCCTTTCTCGTATTTTTGTAACTTTATCATTATAATAAGTTTAGTTGCGGATTTTGCTCACAAAAATGAACCCTAACTCACAATAAAACTTGCCAAAGTTTTTGGGCGGTCTTTTCCAAATTATTAATTTGATTCGTTACCCAAATTCCAGATTCATCACATTCACGGAGCCTGTAGATGTAGAAGAGTTTCCTGACTACCGATCCATCATCACTAAACCCATGGACCTGGAGACGATGATGTCCAAGATAGACAGGCATGAGTACACGTGTGCGCAGGACTTCCTTAATGACATCGAGCTCATCTGTAGCAATGCTTTAGAATACAACCGAAGGTTCTCGGCAGATGGTGTGTATATTTTTTACAACACTTCTCTTTAATTTCACTTCTTGTTGTTTGTCTGCTACAAATCTTATAATCGATATTTAACACAATTCTGATTGTCCAATTGATCTGAAATTTTGCACACTTGGGTAAAGGCGGTGACAATGCTAGAACAAATTGACAATGAATAATTTACAAAATTGAAAAAAGCTAAATAATTTATTGTAATACTCAAAAATAAAATTATAAATTCATTGCACATGTGTAACATCGGAAACACTGGTCTCTTTAGAAGTGTTGTCTTTAAAAAGTATTTTTTTTAAACGCATATTAATTACAACTGTTCTTGGAGGTTTGGAAAATGTGCTAGATAGGTTTTTTCCATGTAAATTATTTTAGGTTTCTTTGACAGGTAAGTCAATTTATTGTTTTAATAGCATGATTAAATCATTTTTTAATGATTAGCACTTTCTAAATATGCGCGGCAACTGTTTTCCCGCTGCGTGTCAAGTTCTGTATTATATCTTGATTTCTCACTCTGAATTTATACTTTCATTCTGACCTCAGGGAAACATATTCGGCATTCTGCTTGCGCTCTCGTCGACACAGCCCATACTCTCATCAAGACTGAGATGGATACAGACTTTGAAGATGAATGCCAAAAAATAAGAGAATCAAGGAAGAAACGGAAAACTCAAGTTTCTCATTTGATTCCCGAGTTTGTGTACACAGATCCACCTGTGCCCGCCCAGGTTAGGAATAGCGCTTAATAGTTATTATTGCGCTGCTTAATTCTCAGTGTTCTACATTGATATATCCGTGTTTCCTATTCTATAGTTGTTGTAATTTACTATGTCGACAGTGTAAAACCTACATTGCTTTGTTTAGCTCTTAATGTCATATATTTATTGTGCATGATCAAGTAGCTGTAATGAAGCTTGTATTCCAGGTTGCTGGTAATGAAACCAGCACCAACGGCAGTTCCAGTGGAAACGGTGACAAATCGATCATTTTTCAACATCCTACTCCTAAGAGAAAGAAACGGCGATATAAGTGGTCTCGCGGCACGCTTCCAGCTTTGAAGAAAAGGATTAGTTCAGACAAATCACTCGAGTCGACAAAGAATGAAGAAAATAGTGCCGAAGTGACACCTGAGGTTGATGAATCAGTGAGGAGTGTGGACTCCACTTGCTCAAACGACTTTTCTGTTAGTACATCTTCCAATACTTACCGTTTTGTTTGAGGTTACTCAAAAGAAGAGACCTATTTATTTTGTAATATCTTGCAGCTTGGTTTATTTATTATCCCTTAAACTCGATATTGCAAACACGTATGCATCAAGCATAACCCAACTGCAACTTGATGGGTCAGTTGTCCATGTGTATAATATGATTCAAGTTTACTTCCACGCTTGTGATTGTGACATTCTAGATAATAATTGTAGTATTGTCGATCGCAATTTTTAGTGTTGTCATTGAAGTTTGATATTTATTCCTTAATATTGATTATATTGAAGTGAATTAACAACGGAGTCCCAAATGTTCTTTTGTACGTGCAGGCGCCTGAAAAGTGTGCAATGCAGCTGTGCAACGGCGAGCTGAGTGATGACGTCGAGGCCTCCGCCTCCGTCCCTGTGCAATCTACTCTCGCTTCATCCACCACGACGGGCGCCGCTGACACACCCTCTGCGCAAGGTATGGTTCATTATATTACAACGCTGTGGTGGCTGCAATTTGTCATGGTCTATTGAATGCAAAGTAACAGGTTTCTTTGCTTCCTGTTCTAGCTTGGACTTAACTTGAGTTCATGAACATGAACTCTAGCAACACTTACCCATGTTGCTGCTGTTATGAAATACTTTGTCATGTATGAAACATTCATCTAGCTGAATTCATTGTGGTGCTGTATTACTACCGATTGTGAATTTTAATGAGAAGTCTCTGGTTCTTGACGTTGGTTACGCTTTTCTTATGAACTATTCTGTAGATCTTGCTTGCATCATCCCGAATGACGTATTTGTATCTTCCATTATCCTCATGTTAATTTTGAGTGGAATTTGTTTACTATAACTGGCTTCCATTGCCTGAAATTACTGGATGTAAAAATTAAAAACTCGTTTACTTTTTCAGTTGCTTCCACTTCTGCTGCAGTTGCATCTACCTCCAGAAATTTCACGCTGGATCTGGAGCATGAGCAGGACACAGGTTGGATTTCGTTTTATTTTTATCACGTATAACAATGTTAACTTGACAATTGCTAAATGCATGTATCGAAATAATTTACTCTGACTCACTTTGATGATCTTCAGATGATCCTCTAGTTTCATCAAGCGAGCGCGACGAGGAGAGCAGTGCTAGCAATGGTGTGATCGACTATTCTCATCTTGATGCCGTTTTCGAAAGCTGCGTCTCAGCTTCCGCAGAAGCGGACGTCAGTCAACTCCGCCAGTTGTACACCAACATCTTCAGGCTGTGTCAGAAGCATGCTTCCGTCAGTGACAAAGCCCAGCTATTGTTGGTAAGTCTTACCAGTCATGCCTTTTAGTAAGATCATTTTCTTGGTGTTAGTTCCCTATGTAGCGTCATTTCATTTCATTTTTAACTTGATAACTCCAAACTATGATATATTTTCCCGACGAATGCCCGCCTTTCGATGATGCACTGGAATATGTGAGAGCGATTAATACAAATGCTATGATATGCTTTGAACACTTTATTTATCAGCTTTCGAAGCCCGACATGATATTGGGCGCGAGATAGCTTCATCTGAAGCTCTAGTACTTGAGACTAGTGAACGAAGTCGATTGTTTCTTCATCTCATTTTTCTATAGTTATGTATGTACAAATACAGGGGTTGGACAAAATAAAGGAAACGCCTCAAAGATTGATATCGTAATTTTTTAATACATTACAAAAATGAAAACATTACATATTTTTATGATTTGTTGATTATTGTTGCTACTAATTGATATTTTATCCATGCACAAATACTATTAGTATATATTTTTGGTGTCTATAGCCTAACCTATAATGGTAAACCTTTAGGACTTTCAAAGTGGTAAAATTAAAATTGTTGGTGCCCAGATGGCAGGTGCTAGTATGACAGAAACTTTCCGAATGATTGACGTTTCTAGATGTACTTTCTCAAAATTAATTATTGCATTTGAAAGAGAAGGTAAAACGTCCTCAGCCAAGCACAGGTCTGGCCGAAAGTCGGAGTTATCTGAGAGAGACCTTCGTTACCTAAATCGAGCTGTGAGAGACAATCAAAATATCACGGCTGTTGAAATTACTGCCGACCTCAATGGACACCTACAGAACCCAGTTTCCGTAAAGACTGTCCGCCGAGAGCTGAATAGATCTCGATTCTATGGACGAACTGTAATTAGAAAACGTTAGGTTTCAAATACAAATAAATGCTCCAAAGCGTTTAAATTGGTGTAAAACCTCCAGAATTGGTTCCCGAGCAGTGGAAAAATGTGATTTCCTCTGACGAATCATCGTTTACCTTATTTCCAATTTTCGGCCGAGTTTATGTTTGGAGACAGCCAAAAGAGTCATTTAACCCCAACTGCCTCCTCCCAACCGGAAAACATGACGAAAATGAATATGTGATGATCTAGGGGGCTATTTCGGAAATGAATATGTGATGATCTAGGGGGCTATTTCGTAAAAATCCGGCGGACCAATGATTTTTCTCCATGAAAGAATCAACAGCCGTGACTATTTAGGAATTTTGGAGGACCAAGTTCATTTAAGAAGAGTGGAGGAACACTATCTTTCGCGGTTTCGCCCCCTATCCATACAGCTGAAATTGTTGAGAATTGGCACGAGAGAAATTTTAATGGAGTTGAGCGCCTCATTGGGCCACCACAATCACCATACCTGAATATTATCGAGTATTTTGGTTGATTTTACAGATGTAAATCAGAATTCGATTCTCGCTGCCATCGTCTTGAAAAGAGCTGGAGGGAGTTTTAACTGAAAAATGAGTTGAAAATCCTTTGGAAAAATTCACATTTTTAATGAATCAATACCTCGGAGATTTAAGGCTGTAATTGCCGCAAAAGCTCGATCTACACCTTACTAGAATATATTTTGTGGATTTCTCAGGTGTTTCCCTTATTTTGTCTAACCCCTGTATTCTCATCAATGATTCTTTTCAATAGTTATGGAATTTTATCTTTTTTTACGTTTAACTTACAATTTTAAGCATATTTTTTGCGCTCAAAAGATTACATAATATTTAACCCTACTGTTTTTCCGTAATTTTCTGACTTTTGTACCATAGAAACGCTTGGCTTAAAATGATGCTATCATCATTAACTATTTAAATCGAGTCCGAATCTGGGTCATGATGACCCAGAACTATGGATCACCCTTTCATTTTGTATATAAACAAATATTTGTCATTTTTAGTAAATGTTTTCTGTCTGTGCAGGAAACGGAGGCTGAGATTCGCAAGTTTGTCCAGTTCAAGAAAACGCCACGGCAATGAAAAACGCTACTACCAACAGATAACGTTCTTGGCCCCTTGGGATATAAATGTTTCTAATGAAAAAATCACATTTAGCTAATTTCTGTCCCGTGGTTTGTTTAGTGAGATACCGATAGCTAAACTTTGCTTGTCATGCTAAAACTTTGTTTGAGCTTAACTATCATTACATTTCTTATGGGTTATGGCCAGATATTCTTTGGAATAAACAACTTTTTTAGTTTAATTTCAGCTGCTTTTTGGAGTAGGTACCGTGTTTTGTGACTTAGTGCATTGAGCATAATTAATTATATTTCTGAAGAATAGATTTTGTACTTAAGATGTGTCCAGCCGTACGAACCCAGAAACCGTTTCTGGCGAGCTTAGAGAGAAATATGGTTAGTTCGTATGCTCTTTGTTGATTCAAGACTAATATTTAACTTGATGTAAGATTCCAGGCTGTATAGCTGTCACTGCCGGTGTCTCCGTTGCATAGTATAAGGAAAAGTGTACCTGTGTCTTGGCACGGCGTCTGTGTGTGACAGTTTCTATCTCTGAGCTATTTTATTACGTACGTTGTAAGCGTTGCGGTAAGTTACGCTTATTTATTTCGGTTCCACTTATAATGTGGCTTGATCAGCATATGATTCGGTATTAAATATATTGTATGTTGATGCATGTGCAAGAGATATGTTCCAGAACTTCATTTCACTTTCGTTATATTCAACTTTGCGGCGTTCTCATTCTGACATTTCAGGAATTTCGTGCCTAATGAAATCACTGGATCGAATAGTTTTCACATTTTTTTTCTTTTAGATTAAGAGTATACCGACATCTCGTTCCTATAAGGTATTTAGAAGTCTACCAACGGTCGAATACTCGAGTTGGTTGGTTATTACGTGTCTGTTAACTTCTGATAATACTTCCATTTTGTTGCCAAAGATCAAAGCTTTCCCTTGCGTTTTCCCGAAAAGTCATAAATCGCCATGTGTTGTACCTCATATGTGAATTTTGTCCATTTATCTTAAGATTTAAAACCTGATCAACACCTTTGCTCATATAGGAAATAGCACCATGCCATTCACCTTGAAGTTCGCTATTTCTCTCGTGTCTTCCTTATTTTCCGCCATTCACGAATGATCTCTTAAGCTACATTCATCCTTGCAGCATCGCTTGAATATCTCTGCTCTTCATATCCTAATTTACGTGCGTTAATCAATGGATTTGTGTTTTTTGCTCAAAGCTTATTGTTTGTAGACGGAATTTGCTGGGTTATTTTAGGTTTAATTTATATTGTAGGAAGTAAAGATGTTATTTTGACTATTTTGTGACTATGCGTGCCGGCAACCTTTGTTTATTCCACTCGCAGAGGGTTAGAAGACTACAGCCTCGTATTTTTTTTGAAGAGCCTTGTTTGTCGGTTCCTTCGGATTCTCCTGACTGGTACACCTAACAGTTCTTCATTTTTTTATCGCCTTAGTTATTATTTTTTTTAGGGAATGCTTTTTTACTTGTATTGTTTTGCTAGCTAGAATTTCAGCTCCTGACTTATTTTGGACTTGATTGCGTTACTTATCTTGAGATTGCATGTACTGGTTAGATTTATTTCAATAAAAACTTATTTTTTATAGTAAAAGTTGACCTATGAGTATCCGTATATGTAATTAACCAATACTAGAAATTTGGTTTCATTCATCTTGAACTTTCAAAATTTATACAATCTAAGATCTTGTAGCCAAAATTCTCGTACTTTTGAGCTACCGATATTATATATACCAGAAATGTTGTCTATTAAACTGTGTTCATCATCGACTGCCCAACTTTTTTACTTTCAAATAAAATATTAACGAATTATTGTTGTAATTCACACCCACTAATGCTTGCTCCAGTTTCTTTATAGCTGTACTTATTTTCCAATGTGTCAAAAAGTTTGATTCATATCTAGTAGGAAGAATGGTTAATTCTCTTGAACATCGGGGAAAATTTTCGTGATTCATTTCATGTCAAATGGCAGGCGACGTTTGTTGCACTTGTGGTTAGAAGAAAGAATGAAGTAAATAACATATTAAACCGAATTTATTCAAGATAAATGCTGACAAAAATCTGTCTTGGTACCTCTATAATAGCGGTTTCAGCGTTTATTAGGCCGTAGGCCTGTCACTGATTCTTAACATCGCAGAACAGCCACAGCTTGTTGCGGGCTTGAACTCGCAACGCACTGCTACAATTCTGCTGTGCTTAACCGCCCGGCCTCCTCGTCGATTCTGACCAGAAACTGGCGCACAGAGCCGGGATCGAACCCGCGCCTCTCTGCTCCAATCCTAGTACTCTGAACTGTAACCACGGGGCCACCCTGCCTGCGTCATTGTGAAATGAACGTTTGTTTTCATTTCGGTTATTTGGATTTTTTTTTACTTATGACTTGTTTTCATTGAACATGAGGTAACCATATGCTGTGGACTAGTTGACGAAGGCGACCACAGGTCTTGGCCCAGCTCAATTGACCGCTACCACTATCGGTCGTGCAGTCAATTTCAGAAACCATTATATTTATCTTGAGTTCCTGCGCAAATTTTAATTAAACATCGCACAAGAAGGTCCGAGAACCTTCTGCTTGTGTTGAAGTCGTGTGATTTCATTACTCTGTTCACATGTTTAACTGGGATGCGGCTCATATTCAGGATGTCAAAGAAATATCTCTCAATTGACGTATTAGATTTCATTGAGACATTTTTTCATTAACGCAAGATCAAATTCCGCTAATTTGACGGTCGTTTTTATATATATATATGATTCAATCTACCAGTTATACGATGATACTGGACTCAATATGGATAATTCTTATTTCAGAAATGGAAAGACCAATTTGCGGCAAATAACCATGAAAAATTGGTTATTATAATTTAATCACGGTATAGTGTCAAGATGATAACCACTCGACTACCTCCCACCTGTACTGCCGTAATCAAAAACCTTGGAAAATTATAGGTAAAAAATTCAACTCTCCACAAGTTGACTCTTTCACGAACTTCTGAAGCTTCGCTCCGGGAGTTGTGTGGAGTGGTGAGATATGCCATCAGCTAGATCGATTCGACACAATTACGAAATCGCCCAGTCATAACTCCTACAATACTGAACGGATTTCATTCAATTTTGAAACATGATGGAGTTACGACTGGGCAAGTTGAGCGTTATTGCGTTAAGTTTTGCGTTCGAGTGCGCAGGCGAGTTGGTAAAAGTGTCGAATCGGTTCATGCTCATCAGAACACTCTAATACCGTAGCTGATTTTAAAACGGTTATAAGCATTTGTAATCCTTATATGAACTTTTGTTGCATAATTTAAAATTCATATCCATTCATCGTCGATATTTCATGTGTGATTTACTGAATATTGCATTCGTTTAAAGTTGGTATTTATAATTCCGATATAGGTAACTGTTTGTGAATCATTTTAAATACTAATCACATAGAGAAAAAAGATTAAATTTTATCGTTCAATATATTTATTGTAACTTTTAAAAAATATGAGACCAATTATTCATTGAAACTACCGCTAATTTTATATATATTCTATATACCTCACAAGAAGAAATGTTGGTACGCTTGATTCAGCGTAAATGTGATTCGGCGTTCGCTGTGTTCTCCGTAGTCCGTACTCCCTCGAGACAAATAGTACAAAAATTAAAAATCACGAATACTTCAAGAAGTCATGGGTGTTGAGGTTCAAACAATTAAGCCAGGAAATGGTAAGAAATTTCAATTGTCTGTAGCGATTCTATTGACTCTTGATTTTCTTTGACCAAATTGTGATATTTGGACTTGAAACTTGGTGGCAACTGACTGAACTGGCAGTGGCAGATACCTAGGTGTCTGCCGGCCGGTTGAGATGCTAAATAGTAAAATACTAGGTAGAGTATAGAAATATTGAAAATTCGTGATTAACGAGCTGCAAATGCATAGAACATAGTAATGAGTAGTAATTTTTCAATTTTTGTTGCAGTCCTGTGAGGCTGTGAGACTGTATTATAGTTAGGGTAAATGCGGTATATTCCGACATCGTAGGTAATTCCGTCACTTCTCTAGTTTTTCCTTTATATTAAGCTTTGTTTTAGTTCCATGCATTCATTGATGGTTGAAATGGTGACGTCATACATTTGCATGTCGAAATACTGCAAAAACACTAGGTCTTGGCCATCTAGTGGGAAAATATTGAGATCCAAAGAGAGACAATGCATGCCACGTGGTGAGATCATCGAAAAATGTGTCAAATTTGACAGTTGACATGGCTCTACCAAATAGTGAATAACTGTTTTTATAGGAAGAATATTATGGTTTGAGACTTTTAAATAAGTCTGTGAATATATTAGGAATCCTTTAAGTATACTTGTAGTCATAGTGGCAAACCAGTGATTTTTTAGAATCAGTTCATTTTTAATTTCCTCATTTACTCAAGATTTTAACAGATTTCTTATGTATGATAATTCTGGTATCCAAGATACTTTACTGGTCTACTTATAGGACTCAAAAATGAACTTAAGGAAGAGTCTAAAAAACTCTCTGCTTTGCCACTATGCTTGTAGTTGCCGATTTCTAGTCGTAAATAAATTAATAGATGATTAAGTTAAGAGACGGTTATAGACACATAAAAACTAATTCCGACACAGCTTGGAATTAGGCACACACAGCTTGTTCCAAGCTGTGTGCAAAAACTAAAATTTTCTTGATTAAAAGCTTAATAGCTCTTAATTAATAGCCTGAAGAAGTAGTGTTCAATATTCAATACCATAGTGTTCTAATTCCAAGCTGTGTCATATTCCAATACAGCTCACACAGTGATCGGAATTTGAACATGAGAGTGTCACAATTACAAATTAGTAGAGTTTCAAGCGCGTCCGGAATTAGTCTCACAAAATGCCGAATTCAGTCACACACAGTGTTGCACTGTGTCGGAATATATGGATTTGGCAGGTTTGCATTCTAAAGGCTTTTAAATAAATATGCCAACATTTTGTGATGTTTCATTGTTGCTGGTGCATAGTGCGGTGTTTGGAGAGTGACGTAAAGCAAACAGAACTCGAGTTGTGCGTACAGTTTTTTATAGCTATTCATTTTTTGCTACGTCCTTGAAGTGTCGGAATTAACCGCGTTTATCCTACCCAAGTTTTTTCATCCAATAATTCCAAATTTTCCAATTTCGACTTTGCCATGTGTTCTGGAACTGGACTTCTGGTGTCATTACCAAACCTTGAAGTTTATAATATAAGCCCTTAATGATTGCAGTCTCTGGCTCTCTGCATCTGCCAAGCCAGTTAGGAGACCAACAATCTTTAGTCTATTAAACTTCAGAGAGGAAGTTTTTTTTTTGCAACCTACAAATGTTTTTTTTTTTTATTCAAATTTGCATTTTTATGCTTGCACCATACTCTCTGAGCCTCTGACTGAGGTCTGAGCTGCAGCTGGATTTTTGGAGATGTGAATTTGGGGATTTTCTAGCCATGAATCCATCATAAAAATATAACTGGGTACTCACTGCAGTGAGTGACAGCACGCATTTCATTTCAAGAGCAATTCATGGATCATGATGATGGATGGGCAGACAAAAGGACGGACGGACATGGCAAGCACAATAGGGTAAACACACCATATTCTGACACCTTAAAAACGTAGCAAGAAATGAATGGCTATAAATAGAGCACTGTATGCGCAACTCAAGTTCTGATTGCTTTATGTCGCTCTCAAAACACCACACACACACACTAGGGTAAAGACACCATATTCCAACACTTTGAGGATGTAGCAAGAAATTAATGGCTATAAAAGGATCACCTTATGCACAACTCTAGTTCTGATTGCGTTACGTCACTCTCAAAACACCACACTATGCGCCAGCAATGATGAAACGTCACAAACTGTTGCCATATTTATTTAAAAGCCTTTAGAATTCAAATCTACAAAATCACCGAATTCCAACGCTGTGTGTGACTAAATTCGGTATATTGTAAGACTAATTCCAAAAGCACATCAAACTTGTGATTCGTAATTCCGACGCCCTGTGTTGGAATTCCGATGCCCTGTGTGAGCTGTATTGGAATACGACACAGCTCGGAATGAGCTGTGTGTGTCTAATTACGAGCTGTGTCAGAATTAGTTTTTATGTGTCTAAAACAGTCTCTTAACTTTATTTATCATCTATTAATTTATTTACCACTTAAAATCAGCAAATACAATTATACTTAGGATTCCTAATATATTCACAGACTTATTTAAAAGTCTTGAACCATAATATTCGTTCTACACAAACAGTTCATCACTATTTGGTAGAGCAAAGTCAACTATCAACTTTGACACGTGTTTTGATGTTCTCACTGGGTGACGTGGAGTTTTGCTCTGCAGATCTTAACATTTTCCTGCCAGACCTAGTGTTTTGCAGAAATATTGTGCACAATAGTATGACGTCACTATTTCAACCATCTACGCATGCGTGGAACTAAGACAAAGCATAATATAAAGGAAAAAGTTGAGAGGTGTCAGAATTACCCACAGTGTCAGAATATGGCGCGTGTACCCTAATGCATTTTTTCCATAAATGAGAAAATGAGATAAAAATGCCAAATAGTGGATTGTGGAAAGCCACTTTGAGACCGCAAACTCATTGGCCATTGTATGAATCCACATTACATCAAGTCTCTTGTTTAACCCTCAAAAAACATGCAACAAAAACATTTTATCTTCACTTTAAATGCAATTTTGCCCCAGACCTGAAAGCAAATTGTTGCTATATAGGAATATTCTTTTCCTTCCAGGCATAATTAAATTTGGCACTTTTAATATAGAAAGTCAAGAAGAATAAATTAATTTCACAATAAAAATGTTATCAGTTACTTGATTGTCTCAAAAAGGATGAGGATGGTTGTTCATGTGTGATAACATTGAATATTTTCCTGTGGCTTGTGCTCAACTTATTTTAGATGTCTGTGAAAATGAATAAATTTGCAATTCAAAATGTCTAGCTGAAAGTTTCAAAGTATGATATATAGATAGGATTCATACCTATTATAATCACATCATAATGAAAGTGAATCTTTTACTATAGCCATAGGTAATCTATTGTTAACTTGTTGAACATGAACTTGGTCTGGCTAAGCAGTGCCATTCAATTCTTCTGAACTATCCCCATTGATGTGATTATATTATTTTGTTGCAGTAAATTTACTAATTTTTTTCAATTTTCTAGGTGGAGCTGGCCCCAAGAAGGGCCAAACAGTGACTGTACATTACACTGGTGAGTGGGGGGCAACACTTTCACTGGTGATTATTGATGCAGAGTGAAATACTGAACTGATTTCTTCATAAGATCTTTCCCTAAATTTCACTAGAGTCAAATGTGGTTGTTAGTGTAGTTTGATTCCAGTACAGAATATGCTGGTTTCACAGCAAGTGTGCTACAAATTTGTACCAGAGCATTTGGCCTGTGCAGGATATTGTGGCAGTAAACTCTAAAACTTGGTATAAACCAACATCTTCCTAATCGCAGTTCCAGTGCTGATGGTGCATTATACTGACTATGATCCTGTGTTAGTAGGCAGATTTTAATGTTTTTGTATCTATTTTTTAAGTACAAAACTGTGTACGGGAGATTTCAGCAGCATTATTATGAAATTTGTTTTGTAAATTTGAAAATCCTTGTAGTGTAAATACTTATGTAGGTCATTTTGACTGAAAATATTTTTCATAGAAATCCATTTTAACATCACTTTACATAGCATTTAAAGTAAAGCCAATACTGAGTATTTGCTTGTGTTTTAGTTTGTGATTGTCCATTACTATTAAGTCCTTTTTCTAAAGAACGCATTTGGAATTTAATTGAACAAAAGCCTGCAAATGTTGAAAATTTTGTCTGGTGGCTGCAGTGAATTCCTTCTCCCCAAGTATTTTTTAATACCAATTTGATGAGTCTCAAATTTCTTATGGTTATTATGGATTATTTCTGTTATTGGTATCAAAGTTGATGTGTTATCTGGTTGTATGAGTTGATATTTTTGCATTATTGCTAAGAAATAATTTCCTATCTTGTGTCCAGGTACATTAACTGATGGCAAGAAATTTGATTCGTCACGTGACAGAGGCAAGCCATTTAAATTCCGAATTGGAGAGGGAGAAGTTATCAAGGGCTGGGATGAAGGAGTTGCCAAGGTATAAGGCGAGAGTTAGATTGTCAATGCCTAAATTTTGAATGCTTTGTTGCAATTGCCTAGGTTTTGCACAAATTTTGAGTTAAGAACTGAATAAATATGCAGAAATTACTTAAACACTGCACGCCGCTGTAAATCACCAGAAATATTTTTATCGATTGCTTGTCTGATTTGATATTCGCATCATTTTCAGATGACCATTGGAGAGCAAGCTAAGCTGACATGCACACCCGACTATGGGTATGGTGCTCGTGGCTATCCAGGAGTCATACCAGCCAATGCAACCCTCATCTTTGATGTGGAGCTTCTCGCCATCAACTAGTTCACGCACCTTTCTGCTGCGTTGCTGATGCCTCTGCGTCTTCTTATTGAATATTTTAATTCCTGGAACTTGCAAGTCATCAGTATCAACCAAAACCGTCCATGGGCTCTATGACGTGCAAGTAGTGTAGAGAAACACCATTTAGAGGGTTCTTTGTTGACTATTCCTGCGACTTGAAATTATTTATTATTATTTTTTTGATGCTGTATACGTGTGTAAATCTTTCCTAAGTAATCAGTATTACCATATGCTTTACTCGTGGTTCGCTTCTACTTTGAAAATTGTTAATGCATGGATTATGAGTGGTGCAATTTAATATTAATTAATTTGTATCATATTTAACATCATTCATAGTTCAATCCTAGTTTCAACAACGTATGGGTCATCAGCAGCCACGCAGTTTGGATGAACTGGAGCGTTACTAACATCTTATTACTAGACTAGCCCTAAGTTTGCACATCCTCCCTCGGAGACCAGCTGCTGCGCACTGGTCCCAGGCCTCGTCTGACGCACTCTGGAACTGTTGACTTGTTTTAGAGTCAATTTATCGTTTTTCTAAGCTCGTGAATTTTTAAGTCACTTTTTAAAAGTTCAAATATAAAAAGTTGATAAATTTGTGGCAATTTTCGTGACGCATTTAAACTGATGCTAGTTAATTTTGTTGTATGTTATTTAGTTCTCTTAAATTCTTTGCAGAATTGTTTCTTCTTGTAAACAATGCCTCTGTCGTAAAATAACACATGTAGCAAATCTTTTGCCCTCGAAATGTTCGTTTCATTACCTATTTAGTTTGCGTTTAGGAAAGCTTCGTTATTCATGACGGATATCAAATTAAATTAACTCTATCTACTGATCCTGATATCACCAAAATCGTTTTGCGTACGAGTATTCCCAGCACATTTATGTTAGAGAAGAGTTTCAGATATACTTAATCTCCGCAACTGACAATCTTATGACCTCAAGAGGAGACTGAACCTTTGTGAAAAATATCGATGTTGGGCAAAATTGAGCATTTACAGACTAATGTTGTAGGTTGGTAGAAACTGAAGCTATGGTTTTTAAATGAAAAGATTCATGATAGGTTTCAGACATTGTGGTGAGCGCAGACGTATGTCATTTGCTTTGAGCAAGCAACGAGATCGCTGAGTGCAGTTACGAAGCATCGAGCTACAAAACTGTTGAAAAAATTCATGGTTTGCTAAGAAAATGTTAGTCGTAATTTGATTTTGAGACACTTGTTGTCATCTGCACTTGCGAAAGGCAGGAAACTTCATTGAAGAGAGAATTTGACAGCGCAGAAAAATTTCGAGTACTTTGCGCGTACGTAATTCCTGAGAATTTACGGATCTCGTTTGAATACATGTTTTTAGGTTCTAGTGAAACCAGAATATGTTCACGTTACAGAATAGATGTTTTAGTTGGAGCCACTAGAGATGTACTCAGGGGTATCTCTGAAGATACTGAAATTCTTTCTCATTGTGAATAAATCGGATGACATAACGAGGCACCAGCAATGCATCTCCGAATTTACTGCCTTGCTCACTTCGAATAACGCTCGGTAGTTAGAGATTTGGTAATAGCACCAGTCATATTTCGCTATTACTAAAATCTTTGGACTCTATCATGGCAGAAACCTCATATGCAATTATGTATATATCGCACAAGTTTAAAAGATTCTGCGCTGCAATAATCCACCGTTGAGTCATTTTCCATCGAATGCGATCCCTAATTTAGTACAGTATTCAGAACAACTTTTCATTATATTTTAATAAGCTGTTTCTCAAGTTGATATACTGTCACTTATTTAGTCGTGTAATTTTCAAGTCCTCTTTATTACTTGATTTACACAACCACATAATTACATTTTTGCAATGTTATGAGTATTTGTACATGAAATATTTTTAAAATACGCAAAGCAGCTCTGCCAACCTGCCATCTTACTAGCTTTGTAAAGGGGAGCGTCTGGCCAAAATTTTATCTCGGCTATTTACAGACGGATCACTTTAAAACTTGGTACACATATGCAAAACCGAAAAATAGACTGCTTTTATTCATGTTAATTTTTTTTGAAAAATGAAAGAAAACATGAAATTCTTAGAAAACGGCCAAAAAAGGGGTACTGTGGAAATCTATCTCCTCCTGGAGTTTTGAAGTTACAGCGATGAGACATATACCATGCGATTCTCAATTAAAATATCTATCGATTCATCGTACCTTCTTTTGAATTTCGAATTTTTGTGGATGTGGGAGCAGTTTTCCCAAAATTTTCCTATTTTTCCCCAATTTTCCTTTTTTCAAAATATTTTCAAAACGAACGAAATTCAAAAAAAACTACAACGAATCGATAGATATTTTAATTGCGAATCGAATGGTATATGTCTCATTGCTGTAGCTTCAAAACTCTAGGAAGAGATAGGTTTGCCGTGACAATAAGTTAACTTTTCAGGAGACCGCAACAAAGTCCCGCGCGAATCGGAATAGGCACTTGTGGGGGTTTTCTTTTACCACTCCACATTAAATTATTTAACTCCTATCAGAGAACTGAATGGCCTGGCTAGTTGACCTGAATTGTTTACCAATGCACGGACAGAAACATAGATATCGGCAGGACGAATTTGGTTGGGAGAAATGAACACACAATAAATTGTTAGGTTATTGACCAGCTGTAGTAAAAATTACACCCTGCTCTGAACAAAGCACCTATGTCCAAGAAGACTGGTGCTTAAAGATAAATCAAGATAAATCAAGAAGTTGTAGCCGGTTATTTCACTGAAGCAACTCCTGCACCTGTGAGGTTGTGAGCCTGTGGCTCAGTAGAAACTATTTAACACCTCATTTTTTAATGTACCAAATTTCAATTATACTACTGTCTAAGCTCAAATGTTAGATAAACTAGCTGACTGTACTCACTGTAGCACAGTAGCAGTAGGTACTCATATAATTATAATTCATTATAAATAATAATTCATAGTGATAGTGTCAAAGCAGAAACATTTCTAGAGCTCAAGATCCTGGACGCTGGACGTATGTTGTATTGATTCTAATTTCTATTGAATACATTATACCTACATGTATGATGTATGTTGCCCAGCAGGGCCAGCAATTGTCTTCTCATACTCATAGCATTATAGCATAGCCTATAGGCATACTAAGCATAGGGGCTAATCAGAGGTTTTTTAGAATCAGTTCCTTTTTACGTACCGTAAAATGGGGTAACTTAGACCGGCGGGGTAACTTAGAGTCTTAGACCACTTTTCGTTTTTTTAACAAAAACCCCCACAACTCAAAAACTATTTGACATAGAAAAATTTTGTCAATGGGCATTAAAGGCCTAATACCAGTCTCTTATACACATCTAGATGTGTATAAGAGACAGGTCTAAGTTACCCCAAGAGCTGGGGTAACAAAGACCATCACTTTTTTTGAAATTACATAAAGACTATGAGAGGCAGGAGCCAGCAATTTATGGTGAGTGAAGCTAGAGTATAGACCTGTATTTTGCATGTTTCAATTCAAGTTTAATTTAGCTAGTAAAAAAATGGCATCATTTATAAAAAAAAAAGTGGTCTAAGTTACCCCATTTTACGGTACAACACTTCTCTTTAACAGTTTAACTTCACTTCTTGTTTATTTGCCTGTCTGTCTGCTACAAATCTGATGATCAAAATTTAACACACTTCTACTTATTCTATTTCTATCAATCTGAAATTTTGCACACTTGCATAAAGTTGGAGACAATGCAAGAATCAAATGACAAAATAAATTGTTTTAAAATTGAAAATTAATTTTTCTATATTAAAAAAATTGAAAAAATTAGGGTAAATGCAGTATATTCCAACATCGTTGGTAATTCTGACTCTTCTCAACTTTTTACCTTTATATTAAGCTATTCTTTAGTTCCATCTTCCATGCATTCCTTGATGGTTGAAATAGTGACGTCATACTTTTGCACACCATACTATTGCCAAAACACTAGGTCTGGGCTGTCTGTTGGGAAAATGTTGAGATCCAATCATCCAAAGAGAGACAGTGTGCATCACCCAGTGAGAACATCAAAAAATGTGTCAAAGTTGATAGTTGACCTTGCTCTACCAAATAGTGATAAACTGTTTGTGTAGAAAGAATATTATGGTTGGAGACTTTTAAATATGTCTGTAAATATATTAGGAATCCTTTAAGTATACTTGTATTTGCTGATTTCAAGTGGTAATAAAATTAATAGATGATTAAGTTAAGAGACAGTTTTAGACACATAAAAACTAATTCCAACACAGCTTGGAATTAGACACAGACAGCTCATTCCAAGCTGTCTGCAAAAATTAAAATTTTCTTAATTAAAAGCTTAATACCATCAACCAGGGGCGGGGCTACTCAGGACAGGCGGGGTAACTTGAGACAGCCCTCTGACACGGCCTAAAACTGTTTTAGTAGCAAAACTAATTGGAATATTGCAAAACTAAATATAGTGGCATAAACGTCAACATTTTTCCTATCTATGTAGTATAAAGGAAGTTCAAAAATACTACATTTACTAGCTTTGAAAAATTCCTGAAAAAATGGTGAAAAACAATATTTTGAAAAGTTACTTCTGCTAAGGTCTGTACTCTGTAGTAAAAGAATAATTTGCCATATTAAAAAATTTTGCTTAGAAAAAAGTGGCAGACAAGTGTCAGTATGAAAACTTTATTTGCGGAATTTACATACCTCAATCCAAAAAAAATTGCGGCCATTTCTGCACGGCGGGGCTACTTGGGACACCCCTCGGGGCTATTTGGGACACCCGCAAAAATGCATTTACAGTAGAACCTCAGTTTGCAAAGGCTCCAGTTGAGAAAAAAATTGATTAAAAACAAAGAATATATATTACATTTATCTTGCTCAGCAAAAAAAATTCACTTATCAAAAAATTAGTGCATCGTTGGTCATCACAAAATTGTGCATAGAATGTCATATATAGAATTGTGCACCAGGCACCATAGAATGAAAAGTAATTGACCTAAACTATGATTTATTTCTCCAAAACATATGATGGTTGTCACTAAAACATTCCTTTCTGTTTCAGGTATGTTTTTCACTAATTTTTTCACTAATTTTTTCATAGTGAATTCACTTGACCCAATTGGAATGGTGTGAAATTACAAGCTGTCCTGTAAGCTTACAGATACAGAAAAAATGCTATAAGGCTGCTAATATGAAGCTTGCAGTGGACAAGGTAGTTGAAATGCTCAATGGCCTGTTCATAGATACGGTAATATTGCATCAATAATACGGTAATTAATGTATATGGTAATATCATATCAATAAAGGAAAAACAAGTAAAAATCACAGAAAATCTCATTTATTCTACCTCTACATCATCTACAATGAAAGAGGAGGACTTCAGAGTACTGTAGTAATGGATGAGTACACTCTGCATGCTTCAAATGTTTTAAAATTAAGTTTTATTTCAAGTGTCGTGAGTAGCCCTGTTCAATGGGGCTACTCGGGCCACTCTTATTTTTTTGCTTCTGGCACCTTACAAATAGCATATATAGTCAGATGGGGTAAGACAGGACCGAAATCACTAACAAGCCTGTAGCATCTATACCATGAATAACTAAAAAACCCTAAACCTATCACAAGGTGTAATTATGCAATAGGCTTCTAAGCTACAACTCAGACATTTTGCATCAAACATAATTTTCTGTACAGATTAAAAAAAGTGAGCTGGTCCCATCTTACCCCACTGGGGTAAGATGGGACCAGGCATGTGGTAAGACAGGACCAACTGGCAATTCTTATGTTACGAGGTTTTTAATAAAAGTACAAATCTGATATTCAATATTATGCATCTAGAAACACATTATTTGATTAATCAACCACTTGTTACTGTTTTGTTTTGCTGGAAGACAACTCTTACTTATATCAGTCACATTGAAGTTTTTGTCACTACACAATAATATATTAATTTAAAAACTATTTTTGATAAACTGTAGGGTAATAGAGGACCATTTGTGGGGTAAGACAGGACCATTTGTGGGGTAAGATAGGACCACTTGTGTGGTAAAACAGGATCATTTAGTGGTCCTGTCTTACCCCATGTCCGGTCCTTTTTTACCCCATTTTAGAATACATGTCAAGCAGTGATGGTAGGTAGCAAGCAGGAATGCCTAGTATGTCTAAAAAGTTGCCTATTACTTGAGGTTACCTGCCTACATCTACAAACCCGGCCAAAAAATTTTTTGTCATTAGATAGAGCTTATTTCCCAAACAGGGTTATATAACTATTTTGTGACCCTTCTTTACATAGGTTTTCTTTAAAAATTAGCCAGAAATTCATTATTTGCAGAAGAGGGTTGCCACAAACACTGAAGTGACAGGCAATGATTGCTCTAACATCTTCTTTTGTCAAATTGAATTCAGTGCAATTAGAATGCACGCCATGGGCTGGTCCTTTCTTACCCCATGAAGGCTGCGGTCCTGTCTTACCCCATTTGACTATATAGAATTTTTTTGGAGAAGCCATGCGATAGCCCTTGCAAAGAGCTTTGAAATGAGCCTAAACTTGTTTATGAAATGTTTCATGGTAAGAACTTATGAATGAAAAACGTTCAAAATCGTCCCGTGTAGCCGCAGTTGATGGTATACATGTGTAACATTGGAGACACTGGCCTCTTTGGAGTGTTGTCTTTAAAAATTTATTTTTAAACACAATATTTTCTTTTCTGCTTAATATTTCAATCAATGTCTTATACAGTATATGATAATGCTGGTATCCAATATACTCACTGGTACTGGTTTACTTGTAGAACTCAAAAATTAACTTCCGTGAGCCTGTGTTTCCTCCCTGTGTGGGAGGGCAAAGCTGGACCTTCAGTAGTGTATACAAACAAACTCATGTGAGGCACCCCAAGGAATATGTAGGGCATGCTGGTGTCTGCGAACTTGGGATTAAATATGTTTTTTATGTATATGAATAGTTTTATAAAATATTACTATCAAACATATTTCAACTCACAATTCATGAACATAATATTTCTGTTGAGCCACCACAGTTTTTAACAATTGTCTGCCTGCCTGCAGCTGTGGAGCAACTGCCTGGCATCATCCAGTCCTGAGGCTGTAGGCAAATTTTCAAGGCTCTTCTAGACTGTCTGCAGAACAAAGATCACACTGTGGCAACTAGACCACTCCATTCTGACTTGAGGTCACATTGGACAAGTCTCCCACTAATTGTCAATAGAAAAAATAAAGGTTGAGCTGTGATTCAATTTCATACGTTGTGAATACTTCACAAACGAGAAAAAAGTCTTAAACATGCATCAAGACTAAGATTGTGGTTGCTGGTTGATTGTATGTTTATTTTGATTAAGAAAATTGTTGAACTCCTGAATTAACTTATTAGTTTGAACTTTGACCTAATTTGACTCAAGTTCAAAAATGGGAAAGCTCAAATCCTTGCAACTGTTTTTACCAACTATAGAAAATGTTGTGAAGCTGCGTTCTGTTCTTCAGACTAAAACCTATATCAATAATGCCTTTACTAAGTACCTCTTGGTCACCAATGTTTCAATTTCCATGGCTTTGTCAGGTGAGTCACTAGCGTCAACCACCAATAGGTAGATACCAATATTATAATTAAGATATTAAATATAATTTTGAACCAGATCAGGGAATTAAAAATGAAATGGTTTCTTTGAAATATCATCTTGTTAGTGTCAACTGTCAATGTGCGAATGAGGCAAACTGCCCATGCTTCTAGTAAATTTCACCTGTTTTATGCCCCTTCCATAATTTCTATCATTAAAGATAAGATCAGCGCCACATTTCTGCCTGCCTTATTTGAAAATCAACTGTATTTTTTTTAATACTAGCTTGTTTATGTCAGCAATTTTTAAAATTGAATATAAAAAAAATCCTACCTATTTACCCTTGATTTTTGGGAAATATGGGATGCTATTCCTGATTTGTGCCAAGTCAGAAAACCTTTTGGAATTGTTACATACTTGATTGGCTCACTGAGTAAAATATGTTGTTGCTGATTTATTGAGTCATTTTTTTAGTCCCAATTATCTGGTGATTTGATTAAAAACATTAATAAATCATTTCAATCCTAATTTCTTAACTGCGAATGAATTTGAAAAATTGTACACCCTTGCAATTTGGGCCCAACTTAAAAATAACATTCAGTGGAAATACCTCGGCAGGATTTCTAAAAAAAATTCTTTACATTGCAGGTTGTGGAGACCTGTTGCAGCAACATTACAAGCTCTCAAGCAAGCCAGCTGTTGTAGCTGCTGGAGTTCACCCCTATGATGTTGTCCGCACAGTTAATATGACTGCGAGTGGTGCTTCTGTGGGAATGCTCTGCCATTACTGGCAAGTTCATTTTATTGCAAAAGTTTTCAACGGGCATAATTCTATTTTTAATTATTTTCAGGATTGATATACGTAGTGTTATTTACTTATTCAATTATTTGAGCATTAATATGACAGAAAATCTTGTGTGCGAGTCAATTTTTAGCGCATTTTTTCTTAATAGAAAAAATGCACTATTGTGCACGCCATGTCCGTATGTCCGTCTGTCTGTCTGTCTGTCCGTCCGTGACTTCACGTTTTCGTCGATTTTAAGAAGCAGGCATGCCTGTATCAAAGATCGACATCTCTAGCTCTAATGCACTGCATTAATCGCAATGAAAACTGATTAATGCACGAGAAAATGCGATCTCTGTCACTCACTGCCGTGAGTACTGAGTTACATTTTTTTTATGGTTGTGACAAAAATTTTTCATTCTATGTAGTTCATGGCTGCCTGTCACACATCCTGTTTGATTTCCAAGTGTTGTCTTTAGCGTTTTACTAATTATTTTTATGTCTCTACAGGTACCAATTCTTGGATCGTGCCCTTCCCGGTCGTTCATTACGAGTGATAATGAAAAAACTTGCGGTTGACCAAATACTTTTCTCGCCCGTTTGCTTGTGTGTATTTTTCGGCTCTTTGGCTGTCTCTCGGAAATGCATTGCTGCTTTTACTGATCATGTGACTGAAAACTCTGCTAAGGTCTCTTCTCAAAAAGATACGTCACACTCCATATCGTCTCAGTTATCTAACTTCACGGAAGATCTTCGACACAAGGGCGCGCTGATGTACGTGTCAGAGTGGATAGTTTGGCCTCCTGCACAACTCGTTAACTTTTATTTCTTACCAACTCGCTTTAGAGTTCTTTATGATAATACCATAAGCTTGATATACGATGTGTTTGCTTCACACATTTATAATGACATGGCGATCGAGGACGTTCAGCTGCTGGCTTCGAGAGCCAGTAGTCTGATAACAGGTACAGACAATTCAAGCGATGAAAAACTCTTGAATAATGAGAACTCCTCTGACAAGAAATTGGATTCCTCGTTGTCCTCATTAGCTAATTCTCACTCTCTGATGAGCCACAAAAATAGATGAAATATGTTTGCATATGCTATGGTGAATTACTGTTTGTTTTGGGGACCTCTTATCGGACTATGTGCAGAGCAGTCGTATAATACATACTGTAGGCTCTAAATCTAGTTTTTTTTGTCGAAGATATTTTATGTACTGCTTATCTTCCAGATAAATTTTTCTCATTTTTTGCCAGGAATCGATTCAGGGAATACCTATCAGCTACCATTAAGAAGTAGTATTGCTTATTCATCTGCAAAAGTATTTGCTTGTTTGGCGATTGAGGATCGAAACTTCATTCATGGTGTTGAATCATTTATAAAAATAACTTTTTCTTGTGTTCGTAAACAATAATTCTACGCATTGGATTATTGTTCCAAGCCCAACACAATCAATAAAATAAACTGTACTATTGAAGAGTTTGTTATTCCCTTATTGTCATGCGTTAAGTCTTCCGCAGTAAATTTTGTAGTTCAACATAAGCTCAAGTAGCCAATTATCTATTACACTCGAAATGGATCTAATACCGGTACCGTATTAACGCAAATTAACCTTGCTGGCAATTTTATGATACTAACAATGCTCGAGTTGAATATTTTTAGTACTCGTTTCATGATACAGGGCAGAGGCTTGAACCATTCATTATATTCTGATTTACGAGAGTGAATTTAAAGCGGTTCTACACTCGTGTATAAGAAAGGGAATTAAGTACGTGTCACTTTGTTCCTGGATAACTGAATATTCCCAGAGAAATTATCTTTATAATGTTGCGTGACTTTGGCGCAAACCTAATGCCTACTCCATTGAGACGTCGGACATTCGACAGGGTGTGATACAATTCCCAGAGCAATATGTAAGCAGAGTTAATATTATTGAACGTCATGGCAATTGGTGTAAAGTATTCTTCATAAGATCTTCAGCAGAAATAAATTTTGAAGCACGGTAGCAAACTGCACTCATGGAATCATGCAGTGACCTTACCTCACACGGCCGCTAGCACCGAGATATTTTCTCTTGCCAGCAACCAGGCTCGAGAAGCTTCAGAGACTTCACTACCGATACTCTTGGTAAGGTACTGCGCAACGAGCGGAGCGATCGGCCGTTCGTCTCTGCGATTTTACTCTTTTGTATGATTAAGGATAACAAACATCGAATTGCATATTAAAAACTGGTAGAAGCATGACCAGAAGCAGTTGCGTCCATAACTGCTTTCGCCAAGTTACAGGAAACCGAATTGTCGCGTGCGCACGGTAGGAATTTCGATCGCTGAAACTGGGGATGTACATTGCTCAGCGAAATTGACGTCTCCTCAACGACAAAAGTATTTAATGCAACTTCGAATTTGTAGTAATGAGAAAACCGTAGCAGATTTTTTTATGCAGTGTTATATTCTTGGTTATCGCTAGGACGAGCTTCCTGAGTTATACGCCAAAATGTATCGTTATCGGCGTCGGTTGTGTTCACTGCTAGAGAATAAATTAACATTATTGGAAAAAAATACCCATTAGTGTCGAATGCTACTCTTTAATTATCTGCCGGACATATGATAGTCTGGCGTGGCATATGTTTGGTACTTCGATATAACTTTTTGTTCATTTTACTCGTTAATTTTAACGAAGTCGTGATGCATACTCGAATCTCCTTAGGCGACGCCCGCCATGAATATTCGTGCAGGGCGATGTTATCTTGCGCGGGTCACTGACGATCAGAGAAAACCCGTAAATACATCATGATTCCTTATCCTTTTCGAATTTAACGTAGCTGTAACTAATTACGATATATAATTTTTTAAAAGCTAAGCTATCACATTAAACTGGCATCTTGCACTTATAAATTCATTTGATACATTGTTCATCCATGTACGAAATAATTTTTTGTTGAATTTGAGTTAGAAATTCACGGGTGGAGGAATTTCCTTTAAACAATTTCTTCATTCCTATGATGAGATTCCTAAACCAATGGATGAAAGTAAAGTTTTCACAGACATTTTAGATTTCTTGCTCGAATTATTCACTGTATAATTTTGTTTCAAGTGGCTCAATTATTTAGCGAGAATGCCTTTCAATGTCGTTCAATTTAGAAATTCGGGTAAAATTTGTAATCTAATAAATCGCTAACAAAGGAATCGTAATTGTGATCTCAGTTACATCAAAAAAGCATTTCACATAAACCCTTTTGAAACATTCACTGGAGGATGATCAGTAAACTGAATTTACTCAGATCCATCATGATTATGTTGCACCCTCACCCTATACTTGCCGGAATTTTGCTTTCCAATGTGTAACGCAGACGTTTTCTAAATGCTATGTGTGACCCCCACCTCAACTGAAGAAACCCGTTCACTCACACCTTCCTGGCGGTCAGTGAAAGCCAACCGGTCGAGCAGCTGTTATCATAGCGCTATTAAATGTTGAATCATGTTAACATAAATCTGTCATTTGATGCATGTGAAGCAAACCAATTTACTGTAGATAACATGGAGATTTAAAAAACATTACAATTAAAAAGTTCAATTATTTAAATAAATCACTGTTTTCTCCCATTGAGATTCGACATGATCTGTCAATAGGGTACAAAACGTATTGATTATTAGCTGAAGAACTGAAGGCATCAAATTTTGCCTTTGATGCTGGACGCTGAATTTCAACCTGACCGTTTGATCTCAGTGACGACACAGAGCTGCACTAAATAACGCGCAAAGCTTAGAATATTGTAAAGTTTTTTGTAAAACATCCAAGTAGTAGTTTCTGTTCATAGTAAAAATTCCTGTTTTACGCGGAATGTATAATCAAACGTTTTCATCAAACCATAATAATGCAAGAATCTGCTGCGGTCCTCGGGATTCTCTCTACTCATAGGTCCTCTCGGATCTAAAATATGCTGTTATTTGGCACAAGCCCTCGGTCAAATATTTCAAGGGATTAACTCATGCACTCATCGTAAAACACGCCGCCAAACACTTTTTTTCGGATCAGCAACTGTACTAAATTTTCTTTTCCGATATGCCATGCAGGTAAAGTTTTGTTCCCGCTCTGCGAAATAGGTTCATATAGCGTGTAAAATGAGTTTCTTTTCTTCTCATCAGCAAATTTTGTGCAATTCTTTGATGGGATAAAAAATTTGTGATTCGCTCATGACAGAAACTTCAAGCATCTATATTGTCAATTATATAATTCACGTTAAAAACTAATAGTATAAATATCAAAGGTGAAAAGTGAATTTGCGATGTTGAATTTGCAATCATCTGAGGATAGTTTTAGTGCCTATCTTCATGGCTTGTTTCCTACCGTTTTTCCGCTACCTGCAACACAGGAAGCGGCTTAGCCTGTAGCCGTCACAAGCTGACAGACTAACCGTATGCAGTTTGAGTATGGGCAAGACTGATTGATTAAATTTCATTAATGTCTTCTAATCTCTAAAGTCAGTCCAGATTTAGACATCGAGAGATACTGGTAACAAAATTTCACATAATCGTGATTTTTTTTGCAGCACTTAATGTTTTTATATTACAACAGCAACATGGAAAATCATGGCGTAACGATGTTGTGGACTGGCAATGCAGTCTTGCACGAAGCCCCCAACAATGCATGCCAATATATTCCTTCTCTATAAATGAACGGGCACAAGTCACAAAAACTTGGTGCCAAATCCGACTCTGAAAAAGTGGCCCATGGCGGCCTTGCCCCACGTGCGTCGGTTTTCAAGCAACGCACGCATGAAAAAGTGACCTCTGGCTGGTCCGCCATTCATCCCTTGACCGTGAGCGAGTCGAATGGATTTGCATAGCAAATTAATAATATATGAAAAACAACGCCATAGAATCCTATTTATACATGTACCTCACAATTTAATTCTAACGAATGACGTTGAAAAATTTTCCCTGGTTAGTGCTGAGGTATCGTTGTATAACATTATTTACTGTCATCTGAAAAATTTGATGAATGAATTATATCTGTTCACGACTTCTTAATTTTATATAGACACATATGTAATGTTACTTAATTACAAACTAATTTTCTTGTAATCTCGAATAATATAAATTTGAATATTCATGATTACAAATGTTTATTAGCTAACTACTGATTTTAAATCGATGGTTTTGAAGAATAATAAAAAATGTAATAGTTGAAACATCACCGTAAGTCTTCGAACAATTAATATCTTCAACTCTAAAAATATTTTCAAGGCAGATTTAAAGTAAGGCGTTCATTCCGAAGTAAATTTAGAAAATTATTCTAACTTTTATCTACTGCTAAAACAAAAATTTTAAACAGAGCTTTAGCCGTCAAGTGAGGCTGGCACTCACTCATCTAAGATCAAATCTTTAGGATAAAATTTCTTCAACATTCAGAACACGCTCGAAAGTTTAACACGTCGAATTGCACTTTCAGATATAAATCTTTAAGAATATCATGCTCTGTTAACTATGCTCTCAGTGCCAACCGACGCTTGTAGGTTTAGAGTAGCTGGGCAGCGCTTTCTAAAATTCCCTCAGAGGCTGCAGGCTTCGTGGCAAGCTATAATTTTGTCATCGTAGATCGTCTCTGAATAGGCTGAGCGTCTCTAATTTCGGGAGATGTATTGCCTACGGCGCGTTCCTTTGCATCCATAAGCCTAGGTTTTGCAGGGCGGTCGGTTTTCTAGAACAGCTTGTGCAAAAGAAAGCTAGATTTTCATTCGTGGCTTTTTCAAACTGAAATAAGTTACGGTTGTCCGGTTAAACGAAAAAGTATCCCAGAATTCCATGTCGGCAAGTCTACTACTTCTCTTTCTTTTTACAATGAAAGTTTGTGGCGTTCTAAAAAGTCGTTTGAGGATCCGTTGCATAACCGGAAAAGTGCGAAACGTAAGAAAATTTAAAATATATTATTTCGATGCCCCCTACTTGTTATCTTGTTAGATCATTTCTATGAGTTCCTATGAAGAGATCATATTAAAAAGTGAAGATATAAAAGAGTAAGACTTATGACTTGCAATTATACGGACAACGGATACTTGCAGATAATTTGAAGCTCAATGCAATGTTCCGTGGTTAATGAGGTGCTGACAGCCGCTCATCATTAGCGCACAGCTAATGAAAGCTGCCCCGGCAACTTACATTAGCGCGGTCGAAAAATGTAATCTTCAATTTAACGGGGCACGTTCTTTTGGCGCAAATGCCACTTGGTTTTGATTTATATATGATTCTCACCCCTTCGTTGGTGAAAATTTGTTAACACCAATTCGTTAAACAGTTTCGAATTCTTTTTTTTTAGTCGAGCGTGAATTTGCTTGCGCAGGAAAGCGTGTTATGCTTTGATTCATGACATATTTGATTTAAAATAATGCATGTAGGTTCATGACTCGAAATTGGTTCGAGCAATCGCCTCATTTAAATTAAAAAGGGGAAGAAACTCTACCTTGAATGCTTCGAGAAGCTGTC